TATGACCACGAAATCAACCTCAAGGAGGGCTTCGTGGACATGAAGCAACAGGTCTATCCGCTCAACTCGCAGCAACGAAAGGAACTTGACAAGTTCCTCGAGGAGAACCTGAGTAAAGGGTACATTCGCCCTTCGAAATCCCCTTTGGCGAGTCCATTCTTCTTTGTTGGTAAAAAGGACGGCTCACTACGCCCCTGTCAAGACTACCGGCTGCTCAACGAGAACACAGTCAAGGATCGATACCCACTCCCTCTTATATCGGACCTCCTCGACAAGTTGAAGCATGCCAAGGTATTCACGAAGATGGACCTCCGCGCCGGATACAACAATGTCCGAATCAAGAAAGGGGACAAATGGAAGGCAGTGTTCATTGTACCCGGAACTGATGGCAAACCGCCGCAGCTGTACGAACCAACAGTGATGTTCTTTGGGCTGTGTAATTCCCCCGCTACGTTCCAGCGGATGATGAACACAATATTCGCAGACATGCTTCAAGAAGGCTGGCTCTGCATTTACATGGACGACATCCTGATCTTTTCCCAGGACAAGGCAGAACACAAGGAACAAACACGACGTGTTATCGAACGACTTCGACAACACAATCTCTACCTCAAACCGGAGAAATGTGCCTTCAATGTCACCGAAGTCGAATTCCTCGGCATGATCATCTGCCCAGGAGAAATCGCAATGGACCCTGTCAAACTAGCTGGCATTGCAGACTGGCTGGTGCCATCCAACCTCAGGCAAGTGCGCGCCTTTGTTGGATTTGGAAACTTTTATCAGTGGTTCATCAAAGGCTTCTCAAACAAAGCACAACCGCTGGTCGCTCTCACCCGGAAGGACGTTGCCTGGACTTGGGGATCCGACCAACAGAAGGCCTTCGAGACTCTCAAAAAGGTGTTCCTAGAAGAACCGGTACTACACATGCCGGATCCCAACCGACCCTTCGCTATCGAAACAGACGCCTCCAAGTTTGCAACCGGAGCAGTACTACGCCAGCGCGATGACAACGGCGACTGGCATCCTTGCGGATACCTCTCTCAAAGCTTCAATGCAGCAGAGAGAAACTACGACATCTACGACAGAGAGTTATATGCGGTCATCCGCGCACTAGATGAGTGGAGGCACTACCTCATTGGCAGCCCATACCCAGTGACGATTCTCAGCGACCACAAGAATCTCACATATTGGAAGCAGGCCAAAGACATGAACCGACGACAAGCATGCTGGGTGAAACATTTGTCTTTCCGCTTTATTCCTTGTACTACTAGCGCCCATACTGGCGCCTGTCTTAGTGCTCACCTGCAGGTTGAACATTATGTAGCTTACATAATGGGGTCCGTGCGCACTTCGTACTCGGCATTGTACCACTACATTTCTTTCTTCACTAACACGACCACATAGACATGATGGTCCGTGCGCAGTCGGTACTTGTATAAGTAGCTGTACCATTAGTCGGTCGAACCCTAAGTTCGACCTGGTTATTCATTCAAGTCTCTGCTCCTCTTCGCTTGGGGTAGTGGTCATCCTCGACTTCCTCGCTCGATCTTCAGGACGATGCACTGTCCATAAGCCCTTGCTCGTTGTCTATGAGTCAGGCATCGATATAGGAGTATAGACCATTGTATCACTGGGTGAGTAAACTGACCAAATTTGACTTCCGCCTGGTACATGTTCCTGGTACCCAAATGGTGCAGAGCGACGCTCTTTCCCGCCGACCTGGCCATGATGACGGCTCTAATGACAACACCGACGTCGTTATGCTCCCACCGGAAGTATGGGTCGCTGCCATCGACATCGACACCCGCGACACCATCCTTTCTTTTAAGGACGACCCAATAATGAAGGAAGGCCTCACTGCGGTGCGCACTGGAGGAACACCACGCACTGGAACAGACTGGTCCATCGATGACGACCTCCTCTTATACCAGGATCGGGTCTATGTACCCCCAGATGAGTTTCTTCGCAAATGTCTCGTCTCCCACTATCATGACCTCCCCTCTGCAGGACACCCCAGTGTTCAGAAAACCCTCCTCGGCTTGCGCCGCGACTACTGGTGGCCGAGCATGGCCCAGTTTGTCACTCGCTATGTCAACGGCTGTGGCATCTGCCAGCAAATGAAGGTTAACACGCATCCAGCCCGACCGCCCATCACCCCCATTCGACCCCGCGCAAATGCCAAGCCCTTCAGCACATTCTCGTGCGATTACATCACCGACTTGCCACTGTCCAACGGCTTTGATTCCATTTTGGTCGTAGTGGACCACAACCTTACGAAGGGGGTAATTTTCATCCCATGCAACAAAACAATTGATGCTCTTGGAACGGCAGACACAATGTATTGAGAGGTCTACAAGTGGTTTGGACTCCCAGACAAAATCATCAGCGACCGAGGACCGCAATTTGCGTCCAAAGTCTTCCAGGAACTTTGCAAAATGACTGGGATTCAATCGGCCATGAGTACGGCATTCCACCCGCAGACCGACGGCGAGACAGAACGAGTGAACCAAGAGCTGGAGATCTACCTCCGCTGCTTCACTGCCAATGATCCGGTGATACGACCTACGAAACCCTAACCCCTAACCTGGGTGCGACCTAAAGGGACTAGAGAGACAGATTATAGTCTTAGTGAGAGGGGAGTTAGCAGCAAGGTGTCCCGCGGTTCGAGTGAACACGAGAAACACCCTTGGAAAAGGCTACGAACAACGGGGAAGGTACGAGGTGGCTTCGACACGTCGTCGAAGCTACTCGGAGGCTGTGGATGGTTAGTGGAGAGGATCGAAGCTCGGCAGAGCTCTTCGATGTATCGTAGAAGGAAGGGACACGACTCGATAGGGGGGACTTAGCTAGGACGCGGTTCACAGTTTCTTCGACAATAGTCGAAGTCGAAGGGTTCGTCGAGACGGTATCGACGAGTAAACGCAGTGGACGAGGTTTCGAGGTTACGCAGCGAGGAACGAAGTGATGCAGTTAGAGGCTTAGACGCGGGGCGAACTCGACTTATGAGCTCTGAACTCGAGGGGGGAACCGGATCTTGTATTTTTGGAGAGAAGTACGACAGATTTTATACTACACAGGACGCTACGACTATCGAGAGTGGCACACTGGTACAAGGGGCTTTGCATTGTTCCTCAAGAAGCTGCCTCACCGAGGGGCACATATCAAGTCCATCGGTAGAGTGATGTCATGCCGAACGCGGAGATGAAGAGAAACATGCGAGACACTTCGGACCGGTGTCCGTCGTCGAAGGCATGCCGCGAGGTTCGATACCTAATAGGGAAAGACCGGCTACGTCGGTGTGGCATGGAGCGATGCGCGTGCTTGGACGAGCAGCGTCAAGTGGCCCTATTGTTCGCCGAATGCGGAAGATGTCCCGAGATCTACGCGCGAGGCATCGGGACGACCGTGCCGAGCTTCGAGCAAGTGTCGCACACCGTCGAAGATGTCGAAGAGTGTCGAAGGCGAAATCGAAGTGTTGGGAGACTGAGTCGAAGTTCCTGGCGGGATGCGACTGCCGAAACGAGGTGTATCGGGGCCCAGAGGGGCTTGGCGCCTATCACCGGATAAGTGGGCTGACCATCTTCACACCGCGCAATTTGCTCACAACTCCCGCGAGCATTCCACAACAAAGACGTCCCCATTCAAACTCATGATGGGATACGAACCTCGCGGAATACCCACCGCGCACCCTGGATCAAACACGCCGCAAGCAGCTTATCGCCTCAAGGACTTGCAAAACATCCGTGAGGAAGCACATGCGGCAATGGAGATGGCCCAGAATGTTCTGGCCAAGAGAGTAAAAAGGAAGGGGGTGATATAACAGTCTACACTCCTATATCGATGCCTGACTCGTAGATGACGAGCGAGGACTTATGGACAGTATGTCGTCCTGAAGATCAAGCGGAGAAGTCGAGAATGACCACTACCCCAAGCAAAGAGGAGCAGAGACTTGAATGAATAACCAGGTCGAACTTAGGGTTCAACTGACTAATGGTACAACTACTTATACAAGTACCGGCTACGCATGGACCACTGTATCTATGTGGTCGTGTTAGTAAAGAAGGAAACGTAGTGGTACGATACCAGGCACGAAGTGCGCATGGACCCCATTATGTAAGCTACATAATGTTCAACCTGCGGGTGAGCGCTAAGACAGGCACCAGTATGGGCGCTAGTAGTACAAGAGATAGAATGGAAAGATAAATGTTTCATGAATTGGTAACCAGGTCAAACTTAGGGTTCAACTGACTAATGGCACAACTATTTATACAAGTACCGGCTACGCACGGACCACTGTGTCTATGTGGTCATGTTAGTGAAAAAAGGAACGTAGTGGTATGATACTGGATATGAAGTGTGCACAGACCCCATTATGTAAGCTACATAATGTTCAACCTGCAGGTGAGCGCTAAGACGGGCACCAGTATAGGCACTAGTAGTACAAGAAATAGAATGGAAAGACAAATGTTTCAATTCACCTAGACAACGCCTGCTGTGGTGCTGCAACGCTCCCAGTTGAGAGATTGAATTCCAGGGGTGCAGTGTCTGTGGTGCACACAATGAACAGGAGCGAGGGCACGCGAGGTTCATTCATGAACCTCCTGTAGCAGTGGGGAACATATAGAATTATAAGTACTATGTTACATGACCTTTGGTAGACCTATGCTATAGCAATATATCAGATGTGCAATGAATGACCTTGCTGCGAAGGACTTAGCGTGCAAGAGCGCCACAATACAAACAAGTACAAACACAAAATGGTCTGCACGTGGTGCCACATCTCTGTTTTGCATTCCTGCATTTGTTGTCCTGTTTGCGACCTTTGTTGCCTGGGGGTCTTGTCCCAGTACCTCACACCTGTAGTGAGAGCCTGTGATGCATGTATCATATGTGACTACTAATGTTTAACGACAGGTCCAGAGGCTAACGAGTGTTCTTGGGACACCTCTGGCGGCCGACACATGTGGACCATTGGGGCTTTAGTTGAGTGCCAGCTTATTATGAGGTGGTTTGGATGTTATTGCTCAGGTTTGATAACATACAGGTTGGCGAAGGCAGGACGGGCGGGCAGTAGTAGATGGGCCTATGGCCGTGGGTGCGTGAGGGCGCTGGTAAGTCTCCAGAGGTGTTCACAAATATGACTGGCCCCTGATCTGTTCATCTCATTGCAGGAGCAGCTGCTGGAAACACAGAGTATGAGGCCAGGAAGGGAGCACGTCACCACAGTGTGGCCGGCGGGGCTGTGCGGGGGTGGTGCAGGTGCATTAGGAGGGTGAGCCGTGAGCCGTAGGTGTATGTGCTCGCTGGAAGGTCAGCGCCTGATGCGCCATGCTTCTCCATCTCAATATGCTACTACTAATACATGTATTGCTGAGCGTGCATAGTCTTCATGAAGCCTGACCTGGTTTGCAGGACGAGCTGCTTATGGCACTTTCCGGATCACATGAAGTGCGTTTCACAGTGCAATCACACCTCTCATAGAACGTGTTGCAATATTGTACACAATTAAATTGAGGGTCTATCATGCTGGTAGAGTGTGCTATTTGCTCTGTTCATTTATGGTAACATTTCTGTTGAATCTCAAGTATGTTATTCCACTAGAGGCCTTAAATCTGCCTCAAACTGCTCATCTGATGGGCTGCAGTAGAGAACATATTCTTGCTGGAAGTCTACCAAAAGCAAGGATAGTGCATGATGATAATTTGAGTGCACAATTTGATAGCACAGGATGCGGAATATAAGTCGAAGTCGACACTAATGGCAGCAAGCTGCAGCCGCATTTCCTTTTTGGGATGTAAGGCAATGGTCCAGTAAAGTGGGTGGGCTTTCCGGCAGACCATATACTAGATATGGATCGATTGTCATCCATGTCCGTTTATGGTCAGCCACACAGACTAGAGCGTGCGGGGAGCGCAATTAAATGGACAGGTTTGTTTGTGTACATATACGGCAATGATAAATGTGAAATGGATGGGTTTTTACGCGGACATAAATGGCAATGATAAGCTCAGAGATAATAATGGAATATGCTATCTGGAAAGCAATGCGGCACGTGCTTTGACGAAGTTTTGTGCGTGGGCTAATGTCAAAATAGTGCTGGGGCGGAGTTGCGCGCCGATGGACTGAGGTCCGACTCTCTCAATTCCGCCCAGACTCATCGACTATCCACCTGGGGTGGAGCGTCAAAAAGTCCGCCCGCGGCGGATAGCGTGAGCTCCCTGTGTACCGCTAGATTAACCGGTAATTTACCTAGGGTTGGAAACGTGGGTGTTAATCTGGGTTAATCTGGGAGTCTTCCTCGCTGACAGGTCTGTTGATCTGACTGCTGAATTCCTGCGGGATGTTCTGGCTGATAGTGCCTTCTCCCAGAAAGAACGGCAGGAATGTGTAGTGTTAGCGAACATCGCGAGCTCAGTCGAAGTTCGCGCGGAGGACCTGGACTGGGACACGTGGTAATTGACGGTGTGGTTCACACGTCACCTTTAAGCCATCCCTTTCGCAGCAATGCAGTGCGAAAAGGATACAATAGCTGACTGTCACACGTCACGTCAAGGCTACTTGGGTCGTATGCTCTGCCTATCTGAGGTTACGCTGGCAGGAGCGCTCATAAGCTGTGAGTGCGTTTTGGAAGGCTGGTCCATAAAGTGTGATTGACGCGAGCAAATCAGATTAATGACCGACTGCACGCACCGCAAAGCTTTGGTGCGAGTCGTTGCTCGAAGACAAGTGCAGTGTTCGTTCATGAAGTATGGTAGCAATAACAGTTTGCGCGGTGCGCGTAGGGCGATCCGAGGTTTGTGATGAATATATGTGTTGCGAGAACCCCATCGGCGTCGAGTGACATTCACGGGTCGGCGAGGCACCCCTGACCGCACGGCAAACCATATACAGCAACACCTGAGATACATCCGCAATGATGCCAAGACGCCGGAAGTCCAAATGGTGTCGACTGCCGGAAGGCTGTTCACCTCCGAAGGACTGCGTGTCTAGCGCGCCACTCCCCGAAACACCCTCCTGTCCTGCATGTGGACGTCTTGAGGAATCGCAGTGAGCACGTACAGCTGACGACATTCAAACAATCAAACACGTAGCAGAGTGTCGCTTCACAGGCGATGTCCATTAATTCCGATATCCCACACGACTCGCGGCCAACCAGAACTCGCCCCCGCCCTCCTCACACCATCCTAGCGGCCCAAGGTCGCACTCCGCGCAGATCAGCAGCTTCAGCTTCTTTTTTGTCGCTGCATCACATATCAACAACGTCAGCGTATCACGCTAGAATATACACTCGCAGCTACGTTACCTTGCAGGGCCACCGGCCGCGTGAATCCAATGTTTTCAAACGCCATCGCATTCGGAGTCACCAGCCACCAGTTCGTCGTCGCCGGTGGTGGCGGAAGAGGCGCGAGCGGACTTGCAGACATCCCAGAAACCCCTGGTGGGTCAAGCGGCACGCTCTCGCGCTCTACGAGAGAGCCTGCGCCAGCCTTGAGAATAATGCTGCCACATCCGTCTCGAGGACACAGCAGGTCGAATTGGTTCTGCTGATTGCCTTGTCCATCGTCGGCGACTAGATCCCGTGCGCCGTTGGGGAATGCTGAGAGGGGCACCGCCTGTGGGCGGTTTCGCGATGTCGATGCACGTTGTAGCTGCTCCCAGATGTCGGCAGGCACGGAGATCGGCTGCTCTGGCTGCGATTGCGGCAGCTTGAGCACCGTCCGCATCTCGAACCACGGCCGTGAGCCGTGCACGACCGCGCTTTCACCCACCCACTCGAAGCCAGCCTTCTCGTACAGACTGCGCAGATCCTCGTGTGTGATGAGCAGTACCCGCTCCAGCTGGTATCCCAGACGGTCTGGCTGAGTCTCCAGGCGCGACAGGTACTCCTTCAACAGAGCGAGCCCGACTCCTTTCCGGCGGTGATCAGGTGCGACGCAGACGGAGTGTATGCAGACAGACGGGCCAGGCTCGTGGGTCGACATTGACTTGTGCGTGAGCGACGGGGATCGCGACGTCGTCGCGCAGACATAGCCGACTAGTTTCCGACCGCGCTCGTCTGGCAGATAGGCCCCGAGGAAGAGTTCAGGTGCTTTGCACTGGCGATACCTTCAGGTCTTTCAACGTAGCAAGCAATAACGATTGGAAGGAAACAGACCTGAACGCCTCCAAGCTGGCAGCCTCATCCTTTGGATATCCTGATCAACACGGTTGATGCGGACAGAATTGTTGAAGCAGGAAAGTTGTCCTACCTGCTAATTCGATTGTGTGGGCATCTGCAACATCCTCATCCTTCAACAAGTCGAAAAACACAGACATGCTGTGGAAAATAGAGAAAACAAAGACTACATGCTCTAATCCCTGAATAGCCGCCCGGAATAAGGGTCGCTAATTCAAATGAATGAGACCTTACCCGAATATAAGTAGAAAGACTATGCACATAAGTTTGTACTCTGTTACCAAGCGAAGGTAACGCGCAGCACCAATTCTCATCGTGTTGCAAGCATATGCAAAGAAGTCAAGAGTGCAGACAGATTCAAGGCAGATTGATACAACGGTATTTCGACAACGACCAAGGCTACACTTTGCAGAACTAGTCCATGCTGCGACGTACGGATCCAGGACACAGAGTGGGCAATCATAAATAAGCAAGCATCGGCTGACAGGACAAGAGGGATCATGCACGGCAGATCCACGACAACAGGACGATCAACACAGGAGGCAGACGACTGGGACACACCAGAGCAGGAGACCGGGGACAAACAAAGGCAGCGACAGAGCACGTCAGATAGCTCTACTCTACGCACGGACGCAAGGACAGCAGAGGCAGAATGTACAGGGGTCATTGCGACATCTACGGCCCGCCCACTCAGCCCATCACGCTAGGATAGCTGACGCTCTCGCTGAGGTACTCATTTCCGGGGTTGTAGGTGAATCCGCGGAACTGATCCTGCACCGTCTCGGAAAGGGGCGTGGCGTCAACGTGTGAGTCCTGTGCCTGCTCTCCGGTGAACTCGGAGTCAAAGTTCGCAGTGTCAAGCACGGATTCCTGCGGATCGGATGTACAGCGTCAAAGATATGCCTGGCGAGGGGAACACCAAGATGCGACATACCACGCTGGGCTTGAACGGCGGCTGGATCTTCTTCGCTATCAGGCTGCAGCCACGCGAATGTTAGGTACACAAAGCTGCATGTCGAGGCGCAAGGGACGTACCGGTTCCAGTCGACGTGTTTTGAAAAGAAGGGGTGGCGCTTGATGTCTTCAGCACCGTTTGCGCCAAGACGCTTATCTGGATTGCGCTGCAGGAGCCCAGTGACAACGTTCCGCGCATCTGGGGACATGTCGGGCGGGAATACGAGCGGATCGGAGAGGATCCGCTGGTACATCACGTTCACATTCTCGTCATAGAAGGGCGGCAATCCGGTCTGCGGATGCAAAGATCACGGAAGCGGGGTCAACGTGAATGCCCAAAGTGTGCCTAACTCAGCCTTACCATCATCTCGTATAGGAGCACACCAAGTGTCCACCAGTCGACCGTCTTGGTATAACCTTGACTTTCAAGGAGTTCGGGCGCAATGTACTCCGGAGTTCCACAGAACGCTAGTGATATCCACAATTAGCGCGGTCCGCTTAGATACATGTCGACAGGAGACACACTGTTCGTTTTCTCGGTCTCGGACATGTTAAGCTTGCAAAGACCGAAATCGCACAAGGCAATATGCCCCGTGTAGTCGAGCAAAATGTTTTCTGGCTTCAAGTCCCTGTATTTTGCGAGATTGCACATTAAGAAAGGATACGGACGAGCATCAAGCAGGGCACACACCGGTACACGACGTTAAATCCGTGCAAGTGTTCCAGAGCGCAAAGTAGCTCGGCGGCGTAGAATCGGCTGCGATTCTCGTCGAATTTGCCTTCGCGCTGCAAATGATAGAAGAGTTCGCCCCCATTGACTATAGCAACACCATCAGTACGCCCCGTGCATTGATGAGAAGACGCGTACCGAATGACATGACGAGGTATAGCTTATCGGGGGACTGGAAGGAGAACTTTAGCGGCACGATAAATGGATTGTTCACCAACGCGAGCACGGTGCGCTCCGCCAGGATGTGCGTGATCTCGCCCGGCCGCTGCGCAATGTTCGCCTTGCGGATGGTCTTGAGCGCGTATATCCGCTGCGTGTCCTTCTTCCGGACCTGCATCACCTTGCCGAAGCTGCCCTTGCCGATCACCTTCAGCAGGTCAAAATGCTCGATTGTCAGCGACTCGTGCCGAGCCGGCTTGTAGTCGACTTTCAGATGAAACGCGCCCGTGCCCGCAGTCGCGTTGTACCATTGATCGGAGGCGCGCTGCGCGGAGATGCTTTGAGTGGGCGCGCGGGGGCATGGCAACGCATACGCACGTGTCCGTCCAACGCCGGCGTCAGCTCTACGCGGGCCATGAGCAAATCATTGCCCATATCACCCTGCCCACCCGGCACGCACTGCGCCGTTCGCAGGTATGCCGATACCGATATCGTAGACGTTCGCGACACATCGCTGCAGGACGAGTGGGATGAGCTATGAGTAGACAGCCGCGCTGGGGACTTACAAGTCCGCCTTGTAGTTCCACTCCGGTTTCATGAGATCTCCTCCGAGCGCGTCGATCAACACTTCGTTCTTGTCGAATTCGAGCACGACGTAGGGTAACCACCAGTAACGCCGCCTCTGCAGGCTCTCGCGTTGACCAGCGCGCGCCGGAGGTGCATTGCCGATGGCCTTCTGGATGATATCGGGGACGGGTACGCCGGACGGCAACGACAGGCCACGGCCTGTAACACATACAGTGAGCAAATCGTGTTATCATGTCCGAATCAAGCACAGACCAGAGAATATGCGGATAGTGAGGAGACCCTGGCGAAGGTTGTTCTCGGAGGCATCAGGCGGTTTAGGGGTCACCGCGCGCGACGGTATAGGCGTTACGGAGCGAGATACGACACCGTTTTCCCTGCTATCCTTGGACTCTGCGCAGACTGGTCAGCACCGCTCGCAGACTGGCACAGCTAGACGCACTCTTCGAGCCCAACTTCCAGGAGGACATGGTGGTGGTGAGAGATAGCTGTGGGCGTCGACGGCTAAGCGCGGCTTGTACTGAACTGATATATCCGGTGCGGGGCGCTCAGTTCATCATCACCGCTGAAGAGTGACACAGGCTCACCAGCTGGATAATCTTATCGGTTCGCTGGATCTCTATCCCGACTTTGTCAAAGTGTGTGCTGGCAATGTTCAGCACTATGTTGGACCCTGGAGGAGTAATAATGAAGGGCGGAAACAAGATTGAGTTGCTCTGGACTTGAAATAGGAGGTGGGCCCGCGCACGCACCTGAAATATCAGCCAATCGCGAGGAGACGGGTGGAAATGATGTTGTCAATGTCGATGTCGTCAGGTCAATTGTGTCCTATGTGCATCGTTCAAAGTAAGAATGAGAGGTAGGAGCTCGGATGAAGTCGCGGTTGAGCACGATGGTCAGATCAATGATGATGATGACTTACGTAAGTTATCCTTACAAGTCAATATTGTAAGCGCCGAGATAGTGAGCCATAGGTGCTCAGTCATCTTGACTCTTGAGTCTGCTTGCAATTCGCGTCCATCAAAGCCAATACTCGACGATGGCCCCTCAACGTCGCATCCGCATAGCCCTCTTGCTCTGTGATACACCAATTCCCGACGTAATCGCGTCAGATGGCGACTATACTGCCATATTCAACACTCTTCTCCGTAAATCCCTTCCCTCCGACACCAACATCGACTATGTTCTTGATCCCTACGACGTCCGCAACAAGCTGGAATACCCGGAGAACATTGACGACTACCAGGCCGTCATCCTGACCGGATCCGGTTGGTCTCCTCAAGAGCCTCTGTAAACGCATCCTCTCACTGCTGCCGCCAGCGGCGTCTGCATACGACAACCTGGAGTGGATCAACCGCCTTGTGCTCTATGTGCGTCAGGTGGCGCTGGAGAAGCCGCCTATTAGGCTGATTGGTGAGTGCTTTGTCCCTCAAAATTCATCCGTGAGAACATGGTTGTTCGATGTGGTTCCGTGTCGATTTCAGCCTTGTACGCTGCCTAAACGCTGCTGCCCTTCGCGGAATCATACACCTTCAGTTCAGCATGATACTTACACCGTTCTTGTGGTTCAGGCATCTGCTTCGGACATCAAATCATCGCTCGTGCTTTGGGCGGCGAATGTGTGCCTAACGATGGCAAGTGGGAGGCGGGCGTAACCGAAATCGCTCTCACAGACGTCGGAAGACGTCTTTTCGGGGCATCAACGCTGGTACGTGGTTTCTCCAAGTCGACGGTATTGACCTTTTCATGCACTTACCTCGGGTTCATAGAATATACAACAAATGCACCGCGACCACGTACCGGATGTCCCGCCGTCCTTCGACTTACTCGGCTCGACGCCTATTGCGCCCAACCAGGGGATGGTGCAGTTCTATCCATCTGCGGACTCCGACAGCGCAAAGGCCGAGGATGTGCACATTTTTACAGTGCAGGGCCACCCAGAATTCACGCAGCGCATTTCAGACAAGATTGTCAACGCTCGCGCCTCCACGGGTGTGATCAGTAAGGACGTCGCGGAAGATGTGCGTAGGCGTGCAGCGTGGAGGAACGATGGGGTAGACGTCATTGGGAAGGTCATTTGGCAGGTCATGAGCGCGGGGGTATAGAAAGCATGAATGCTTGGTTCGCGGGTAAGACGTGAAACTTGGACATACACTTTGGAGCCAGTATTCACATAGATCAAGGTCGGTAGTGTAATATCATGCCGTTGAATGCAACACTGTTTTGTCTTCGGTACACGGTGTGTATCCGGGACACCGCAAATAGACGGGTCCCCGCTTTGACAGTGAGAGACAGGTTCTTCCTTGCCAAGCAATCCACTATCACAGGAGTACACCAACATTTGGTGAGCGGATTATAAATTAGCAACCCCACACAATGACATTGCAACATTCTACCGATAACCGACCTTGCAATGTTCTGTTGCATCCAACTTGAAGTCCGGGATCAACGCATTGTTGTACTTTATACTTTTGTCAGTCCAAGTAAGGGATGTGCAGCTGTCTGCTGCTCAGATCGCGGAGTACTTGCGTCGTGCATAGAAATACCGGCGTTGCTAAATAGGCCGGGTTATTTCCGGTGATCGATCGGGGTCAGCGATCAAGACTGCTCCTACTTCTACGCTCTCCTGAGGCGCAACTTCTCCTACCAAGAAACCCCAAGAGCGACTGATCCCAGACCGCTACAACATTTGTTGGACATTTATTGTGAATCCACTTGCGCTTCCATCCCAGAAAAAAAAAGGGTTTGACTAAGAGGCGCGACAAGCACCTATGCCGTCACCACCCAGCGCCTTCAAATTCACCTTATCTGGAATGTAAAGAGCTGCAGATAAGTGCGGGGGAGCGATAGCCGACGTTGGTGGGTAAAGCGGCTATCCGCAAGGCCCACGGAAGCGCATCAAGCGCTCTGATATCTCTGACATGCGGGGTATATATACGTCGTGACTGCGTATCTTCGCGCCGTGTCCTGTTCTGTCTCGCTTCCTGGACTTCTTCGCTGAAGCCCGTGGCCTCGTACGGAAGGTGCATTCCTTGGAATTAGCTTGATCAAGACAAACAGATCACATCATGTCTACACACGAACCAGTCCTTCCTCAAGGCGCTGGCTATGGAGTCGGTGAGTCACTGTGTAGCCACTGGATGAATTTGCATGACTAACGGTGGGCGCAGTCATCGGTATGGTACCGCTGTCTACTCTACATTACAGGTCTTGAGACGATCGTACTATAGGGATCGGACTGTTTTTTAGCGTGTTCATGGTCGGCTTGACCGCTGTCCAGACTCGCTACACAGGTTTCTCCCCCAAAAATTCAGAAGAGTTCAACAGCGCGTCTAGAAGCGTGAAGCCGGGGCTCATTGCTTCTGGCATCGTCTCCGCATGGACGTGGGCCGCGACACTCGTGAGTCGTTCTGGATTTCCTTCTCTGTCTCATTTATAACACTGCACATTCAGCTACAATCAAGCGCCGTCGCATATGAATACGGCATTTCAGGCCCGTGGTGGTACGGCGCAGGCGCGACGGTGCAGATCCTCCTTTTTGCACAGGTGAGTCGTGTCGATCATGATCGGTTCGATCGTCCACTGTTCTGACCGCATTTGATGCGTGATGTATGAAGCTCGCGGCCAAGCTGAAGCTTAACGCCCCGCACGCACACACATGGCTCGAGATCGTATCTGCCCGATGGGGCAAGACTGCGCATCTGGTCTTCATGTTCTTCGGGCGAGTACTACGGCGTTGACGAGTTACTTGCGTCTGCTCACGCGAGCTCCTTTAGGTTGGCGACGAATATCATCGTGTCGTCCATGTTGATTCTGGGTGGCTCAGCAACAGTCAGCTCCCTGACTGGCATGAACACACTCGCGGTACGTGCCGACTGCACTGACCCGTCGCGCCTGAGCACGGCTGACATCCATACGCAGGCATGCTTTCTCATTCCCGTCGGGGTTGCGATCTATGTCGTTGTTGGTGGTATGCGCGCGACGCTCCTCTGCGACTACACGCACACGAGCGTGCTCTTCGCGATCATCTTCGTCTTCGTGTACACCGCGTACGCCACAAGCCCGAAGATCGGCAGCTTCAGCGCCATGCACGAGCTCCTCACCAAGGCGGCCGTAGCGGCCCCGGTCGCGGGCAACGCGCACGGCTCGTACCTCACGATGCGCTCAAAGAACGGCCTCATCTTCGGCGTGATAAACGTCATCGGGAATTTCGCGACGGTCTTCCAGGATCAGGCTGTACGTCCCCTCGAGTCCATCTGATGCATACATACTCAGCCGCGGAACAGTACTGGCAACGCGCCATTGCGAGTCGGCCGGCGACCTGCGTGAAGGCGTACCTGCTTGGAGGTCTCGCATGGTAAGTCACCGTGCTATCTACGCAAGCACTGCATTGCCTTACAGAACCGCATCTGTGCAGGTTCGCCATCCCGTTCATGTTTTCCACGACGCTCGGTCTCTCTGCCGTCGCACTGCGCGGCCAGCCCGGCATGATGGTACTCACCCCCGAAGACGTCTCCGCCGGCCTCCCCGCGTCCGCCGCGGCGTCCGCGCTGCTCGGTCAGTCGGGCGCCGCCGCGCTGCTGATCGTGCTGTTCTTGGCCGTCACGTCCGCGACGTCCGCGGAGCTGATCGCGGTGTCGGCGATCTTGACGTACGACGTCTACAAGGTGCGTGGCGGGTGATCGCGACGAAAGCCTGTGGTGTTGATGGGGTCGTCCGTGCAGAAATACATCAACCCCCAGGCCACGGAGGCGCAGATCCTGAGGGTCTCGCATGCGATGGTGCGTTGGACCTGGTGATACCGAGCCTGGGGTATGAGCTCAATATGCTGCAGGTCGTCCTCTTCGCCATCGTGATGGGTCTCCTCGGTCTCATCTTCTATTATATCGGTATTTCCATGGGCTGGCTCTATGTACGCGGCATTTCCTTCTGTCGCACATGCAAGGCCTCATAATCCCTCTAGGACTTCATGGGCGTCGTCCTCGGCTCCGCGGTAGTACCCATCGCGCTTTGTGTAACATGGCGACGCGCGAATAAGTGGGGCTGCATCGGTGGTGCCTGCCTCGGCTTCTGCTGTGGCCTCATCGCGTGGCTGGTGACGACCGCCACGCTCAACAGCAAAATGATCAATGTCACAGTGCGTACCTCGGATTTTCACCAACATATCGCCGCTCACGGGAAACGCACCAGACGAGCGGCGGGAACTATGAGATGCTCGCAGGCAACCTCGCTTCGATCGGTGTTGGCGCCATCGTCTCCGTTGTGAGCTCGCTGATCGTGCGTCTTATTTCCCTCTTTCTCGCTGAGACATCCCAGGCTGACGTGACCTCGTGCACGGACAGTGGCCCGACGACTTCAATTTCGATATCACGCGCGCCATTAATACGCCATCGCAAACTGATACCACGGAAAAGGAGCGCTCGTCCGAGGACCTAGACGAGAAAAAGCGCGACCCCAGCGACGTCTCCGCCGAGCCAATCGTCTCCTCGGAAGCCGCGGCGGCAGAGGAGGAGCGCGAGCTAGATCCCGTTGCGCTTGGCAAGGCATACCGCCTCGCCGCGCGGTCGTCCGTCGCCCTGGTGCGTCTCCTTCTGCTCACCCGTCTGGCAGTGTGCTAACAGCAATGCCTGTTGCAGACGCTCATCATGCTGATCATCATCCCGCTCCCGCTGTTCTTCGCACAGACGATATATGGCGTGCGCGGGCTGACCGCGTGGGTCGTCATCGGGATGATCTGGGCGTTCTGCTCGGCGATTTCAGTCGTGCTTTACCCCCTGTTCGAGAGCCGTGCGGCCTTGAGCCTGATTCTGCGGGGCATGGTCAAGGTACGGGCGCTCGGTTGAATTCCGCAAACGATTCCGCTGATCTCTTGTTTTCCTTGAACAGGACATCTTTTCGCGCGGCTCCGGAAGGTTCTCGCACCCCACGCCAAATACGCATGATGCGTGAATGACTACGAGACTACGATATGATGCTCTCAATATAAATATGTATACCTAGAGTCTTTCTAAAGTACCAGACTTCCGTTGCCTGATGGCATTGTTCATGCGAATAGCAGCCAGCAGCCAGGAGGACGTAGTACGTTTGCAATATAAGTATCGCAGCAGCTAAAGCTTTCAATCACGATGAGCTTCTATGGGACGGGATTGAATATTTGGGCATCTGCCTTCACTTGCGAGCGATGTCCACTACGTTGAAAACATCTCATTTAGTAACACTCGCGTGCGGGCACACTTACTGCAGGATCTGAAAAATCGCGGCGCCCAATAGGCACCCAGGGGGATGGGCGATGTAGGGGGGCCTGAGAAAGTGGAATGCGCACCCGTCGATGGTTGATAACACCCGGAGTGCTGAAACGCAGGGTGTGTGTGCAATGTGCCGTCGGGACTCTGGATGACGAGGGTAATCCATTTCTGCAGGTATACCGTTCTACGACATTGACTGTCCGGGGGCGTCAGCATGGCGTATGGCCTCGGGATGCGGTAATCAGTGACGCCTACGAGATGTATTGGCGGCATGAGACGGATCAATCGAAGTCAGGCGTGAAGCATAGGGGAGGCGGGGGGATGCCGGAGTTCATGGGAGGCTTCTTATGAATGAAAGTAGCTACTAGGGCGCGAGTGATGGGCGAAGATTATCATGGTTGAGGGGTTCAGGACTTCTTCGTCCGCTCAAAGTAGTCTCAGAGGAGTGTATTTGACTAGTATATGATTTCTGTTGCACCACACTCGCAGCATGAGAAAGATGACACCAACTGTTGCTAGAAGTAGTTACCAAAAAAAAGGCAGATCAACGCAATGATGCTTCAAATTTGACCCTTATTACATCGGCGCTTATGGGGCGCTAAACGGAAGGGCTCAGACGTTTCATCAGGTGGGGGGGTGCGGGATTGAAACGGGAGGGTACGAGACAAGGCGCGATATTACGTCTGCGGAATCGCCTCGTCAGGAGACGACTGGAGTCATTTCTAAGGCTGATGGAAGAGCTCATAGGCCACATAAACGGCCGACCGCGCCCGAGCGCACATGGGCTGGAGGCACATAAGGGCCTCCCCAGCTACTGAGCAATTTGCAACATCCAGCTCGAGACAACCATCATGTCAGGCATCAAACCCCCGTTCACCGCCGAGACCGCGCAGCAGAAGGTCAAGGTCGCGCAGCGGCTCTGGAACACGCGCGACCCGGCCAGGGTCGCGCAGGCGTACACGGTACGTCGCGTCTGGCCGCCTTGTTGCGACATAGCCTTGACAGGACCCTGACTCCGTGCGGATGCAGCCCGACACGATCTGGCGGAACCGCGACCAGTTCATGCGCGGCACGGCCGAAGTCGTGCAGTTCCTGTCGAAGAAATGGGAGAAGGAGAACGGGTACCGGCTGCGAAAGGAGCTGTTCGCGTTCTCGGACAACAAGATCGCGGTGCAGGTGCGCGAGCCCGCCCGCTGTGCGTATTGAGTGCTGACGCGATGAGATCGGTTGCGGCAGTTCTTTTACGAGTTCTACCAGACGGCGGCGGACGGGCGTCGCCAGTGGTACCGGTGCTACGGTTTGGAGGTGCGGCGCGGCGGCTCGGCCTTGGTGTATGCGTGCTGACCTGCTGTAGGACTGGACGTTCGCGGAGGACGGACGGATGCGCAAGCGCCAGATGAGCGGGAACGACGTGCCCATCACGGAGGAGGAGCGCTGGTTCAAGGACGACGTCGCGGACGAAGACTCGGTCGAAATATCGGAGAAGCATCTGTGAATGAGAAGGAAAGTATGAAGCCCAAGGTTGCGTTGTATCAAAAGATTCCGCTCGCGTTCCTGTACAAAGCATGTTGTTTGCGCCCCACTCAGTCTCGACCTCGGTGTCTTAGAAAACATACTATCACATTCAGGCGTTTGCACGATGTCCTCCCTTTGCTGCCTCAAGCACAGGGACTTCTGCCAGGCATTGTTGCCAATGCACCCAGAAAGTCCTGACCAAGTTACATTCGAACGGCAGTGTACTAATATTGCGGTTCATGGAGAGATGTCGCCATGGAGTAGTTCAGCGAGGTAATTCTGCAAAGTTTTGTTGGCACGCCTGGGCCGTCTATGAGCTAGTGTTGTGAGCGGAATCCCCAAAGGCCGACTTCTGCCAACTACAAGCAGAACCGCATTTGTCACCTGAGGCAGAATACGATAAATTGTAGGTACAGAGTGGTGACCTTGGCGCCACAGGTGATCGGAGTTCGATGGCCATCACACTATGGCGGGAGCTGTCACTGTTCAATCCAGATTGGATTTACACAACAGCGATGGACCCGATCCACCACTCCTTCCATGTATCGGCACGCATTTTCACGAGCTATTTGACATCTTCTATTAGTGCCCGGAGCGTAATTGGTACGTCGAACATGTATAGACGGGGGATCATTCTTGTCAGATGTTTCCAGGAGGTTTGAAGACCGTTATTTCACCCTATTTCCATTCTGCTTCAATCGCCCTTGAATGCAGGGCGGCGTCCAGTATGATCATCAGGGGGATTGACTTCGACATGTTGGAGGAGGGCGCGCAGCTCTGCAAAAATTGATTGGATCTGGCACAATCACGGCATCATTCGTCTCGCGTTCCGGTTGGCGTCGTCTCCCGCTACACAAGGGGGACATCGCGCACGACTGACAAGGGTGCTCGCAGAACCACGTCTCAGCGACGCCTCGAAGCCGAGCGGAAGGCCTTTTTATGCGGCTCAAACGCGACTCGACGCTGCGATGCCGTAAGGGCTGCACCCACGTCCGATTGATGCGCCCGCCAGCGCACTCAGGCTGACGGCTCGCGCAGGATTATATTACCGCACAGTGGGTTGTGGGTGTCCGCGTTTTCTTTTTGTTTTGGGGCCGGCTGACCGAAGACACGGAAGCGCAATATCGATATCCCTGGCTGCGGCTGCCACGAATGATGCGCGCGGCCCTCGCCCCGGCGCCGCTGCGCCAATGTACGTACTTATGCGCTGCCGCCCATGTCAGCGTGCGTGACATCTGCAGAGGCGTGCGGGCGAGGCTCGATGGTGCGGAGCTCGGGCGCCCGGAGGCGAGCGGTGGCAACTCCGCCTCACACGTCCGGCGCAACGCGCCTCAGCTGCTGATCGACATACAGTACGTGAGCGAGCGCGGGCTGGAGTCACACATGCGCAGCGGTGTCGCGAGCCCGAGCCCTCGCTGACGATCCGCCGGAGAGGCGGGCCCGGATCGGGGGGATCCCGGCGGTGAGCTTCGTGGCGTTGGGCTATACGCGCATCCTGGCGTGTCCTGTGCAATCTCGGTAGACGACAGCCAGGATCGCCTGTCGACACTTGGGGAGGGGTTTCCGCCGTATTCGCGCCTCTGCGGGTGCGGTCGCGCCGATGCTTCCATGCCGGCGAACGCGCTTTGCGGACGGGACGGCTCCAAGTTTGGACAAGCTGCAAGCCCGACCGCCTTCGTGTGGCAGCTTCTAAGGGGCCCCACTCCAGTATGATCTAGTTGCCCGATAGGGTTAGCGCGATCTCAGTCTATCGAACCCAGACGTGTATGCTGGCAGCACAGTCCGTCCTAGAAGCAAGCCATGAAACTCCGGCTAGGTGTAAGATCCATACATAGCTGTATGCTTCTGTATGCGGAGTTCGCAGTGTTTGCCCCCTACAGATTTCCCACGCCGAACGGTAACTGTGCGGCACGTAGAAACAGTAAATTCCAAGACAGACTCAATATTGAATCGCGACCACATCATTGTGGTTTCGATCTGGGAAGTTGGCCAAAATCGAACCCCGCGTTCTGTGCGCCTGCAAGACGATCGTCCGGGCCATGGAATCAGGAATCGCTTCCTGAATCCTGATTAACCGTAAATTAGCAACCTGAACGGGTTAGAATTACCGGTATCATTGACGGTTATTCAACTCACAAGCGTCTACAGTAAACTTACAGTTCAAAGAGGTAATCGCGGTCCAGCTCCTCCGTGCAAACCTTTCCCGAGGTCGCAATGTCCGCTGACAGTCTGCGCTTCTGCCGTCCCTCTGGAGAGACAGGACCAGCGAGGACGTCTTGGAGAAGTCCGGCAGGACACATTCGCTCCGCCGAGCCTAGGTAAATTACCGGTAAATTAGGTCGATGCTAATTAAGGTTACGGGATTCACTGCGAGTCTGTCTCGCAGCGCGGATCAGCCGTGATGACTATACGTCGATACCGTGCCTGCTCGGTCCAAATGCTACGTCAGTCGCAGTGACATTGGGGTCCGCGTCGCATGGAGGTACAGCGACCAGCCGCACACCTCGGATGCTCGCGTGGGTAAGGAAGACCGCACGAAAAATTGAACATCAATCAGAGCAGTCCAACCGACTCTCGCGCACTCCCACTCTCACGACTCACGACGGGGCGTGTCTGGATTCCGACGCAGAGACGACTCGCATTTCCCGCATCGTCTGCGCGTGCATGGCGACCACGCGGGGGCTGCCATGGCAAAGCGCATACTTCGTGCGCCCCAGGGAGATCCGCGCGGGCGACGGACCGCGACAGGGATCCTCATATCCTGGCAGAGGCGCCACGTGCTGTGCCTGGGGGAGGAAGCGCGATCAATGGCCGGCGCCTCGGGGCTTCGCTGCTTCTTCTGTCGACAAACACCTGCCGCGAAGAGGAAAGGATCTCGCAGAGGGCAGCCGCAATGCCCTTCCCCTGCGCCGCCCCCGCTCCCCCGGGTTCGTATGCCTCTGCATGTTGTGCGGCGACGTGCGCGCGCCATATGCAGCAGCTAGCGTGCGCCGCCGGCGCCGGGCCTACGGGACTGAATGGGGCGAGCAGATCTCGTTCGCGAAGACGGCAGCGGTGAGCACCAGATGCGGGTCGGTGCGCGCAAACGCCCAGCAGGACGTTCTAGCCGGAGACGCGCAACGTAATTCTCGAGCCTAGAAACGCGGCTCAACGCGCGGTATAAAGCCCGCCGCGTGCCGCTCGACTAGAACATATCCGTCCGTCCTTGTTTCGCGGGGTCCTCGTTCCGCCGCTTGTAGTCTGATATTACTGCCCCCTTCGCCCGGGTTACTTATATCGCGTTCGTTTTCCCTCCCTGCTTCCCCCAACTCACCGCGGACGCACCTGAAAGTCAGCTGGCTCTGGCGACCCCTCCCGGCCGCACGTGAACCTCTTGACTCTGCCTCGTCCCTGCGGAGACTACATTCTTTGCTAACTTATCTCGAGTTCTATCCTGCTATCACAATGGGCCTCAGTACACTCGTGCTCGGTCTTGTGGCCGCGTACTATGTCTGGCTATACCTGGACAAGCCGAAGAAGGCACTTCCGCCTGGCCCGAAGCCGCTCCCCATTGTCGGCAACATCACAAACCTGACAGCGCAGGAGCTGTGGCTGCGCGCGTCGCAGTGGGCAAAGAGCTATGGTGAGCATCTCGTCGCGCTCTGCAGTATCCTAGCAACGCGAAGCCTGCCTTGTGTCTTGCCTGCTTGAGCATGCGTTCGCTGTGGTTTGCAAATTGAGTGGCAGGATTCGCATATATTATTGCCATTTGCGGAGGCGCGCGTATGCCGCGCTGAAACGCACGGGAGCCGTGCTCGGTTGGGTGTGAGCAGTTCACTGAGGCGCCTGCTGTCCGCTGGCGAAGGTGCTCAGCCGTCGATGTGTCTGGCTGTCTGGTAGGCACCGCACTGATCGGGACCACGGGTCTGCTGACCCTTGCTTCTGTCGGGACATCGCATGTGCGGGTGCTTCCTAGACACCCCAATCTGCAAGCGTCTGATAGCGGTGGCGCACGCGCATGTATCGTGTGCATGTATGACGCACCGTGCGCGCGGGAGTCCCAGCTGATGCCGAGGAAGCTGCGTGGACGCATCCTAGCCCGGCGTGTCGCGTTTCGGACAGCGCGCAGTTGCACTAGCCTTCCGAGGGTGTCCGAGGCTAACTGACCGCTGAAACAGGGGACGTCGTGTACTTGCACGTCTTCGGCCAGGGCCTCGTGTTCCTCAACGACTACGACGCTGCCGTCGACCTGCTCGAGAAGCGCGGCGCCATCTACTCCGACAAGCCCGGCCTCATCATGGCCGGCGACCTGTGCGTCCCCCATTTCTTCTGTCGCAGCTCGATCGATCTCACCATGTCCTCGATCATAGATGCGGATGCGAGAACATGGTACGCATGCCCCGCTAGCTGATTGTGGCGCGCTGCTCACCCACGCGCCTCGCAGGTCGCCTTTACCCGATATGGAGACAAGTCCCGCCGCCAGCGCCGGCTCATGCAGCAGGCGCTCGGCGTGAACAGCATCCGCGCCTACCAGCCGCTCCTCGAGGTCGAGACGCAGGACCTCCTCAAGCGGCTCCTGCTCGACCCCGAGGACTACGTCGGCAACCTGCGCCGCTACGCGGGCGGCCTCACGCTCAACACGGTCTACGGCTACCACGCCTCCGCGAACGACGACAAGTTCCTCACGCTCGCCGACGAGTGCGTGGACATCCTGTCGAACCGCATCGCGTCCGGCGGCGGCATTTGGCCCGTGGACATCTTCCCTTTCTGTAGGTCTTGCGTGTGTATACGTCTGCGGTTATGGGGGCTGATCGGCGCCAGTGCAACGTCTCCCGGATTGGTTCCCTGGCGCGGGCTTCAAGCGCAAAGCTGCGGTTTGGAAAGCCAAGATGGAGGAGTTTGTTGACAAGCCGTACGAATACGTAAAGGACTGCATGGTACGTGGCGTTACGCACAATGTCCGTTGGGCAGCCATCTTGATGTACTTGCTCGACACAGCGCGACGGGACGGCAGTTCCCTGCTTCTCCACTACACTCCTGCAGGAGCTGCAGGAGCGATGTGACAAGGAAGTCGACGCCCAGCGCGATTTTGACATCCGCTGGACGGCGAACTCGATGTACTCTGCCAGCATCGACACCGTGAGTCCCACTCATGTCCCGTATCAGCGGACCGCAGCTCACGCGGCCTGCAGACAATGACAACTATCTCGCACTTCATCCTCGCGATGGTCCAGCACCCCGAGGTGCTCGCGAAGGCACAGGAGGAGATCGACCGCGTCGTCGGCCCCGGCCGGCTGCCCACGTTCTCCGACCGGCCGTCGCTGCCCTACATCGAGTGCGTGATGAGCGAGGTGCTCCGGTGGGGCGTGCCCGTGCCGCTCAGCCTGCCGCACCGCCTGATGGAGGACGACGTGTACAACGGCATGCACATCCCCAAGGGCTCGCTCGTGTTCGGCAACGTCTGGTAAGCCGTGCCCGCCCCTCCTCCGCGGCGCACCCGGCGCTGACGCTTCCCCGCACACAGGAACATGGTGCGCAACCCGACGCTCTTCCCGGACCCGGACGCGTTCGTCCCGGAGCGGTACCTCGCGCCCGCGGACGAGGCGACGGCGCGGCGGCGCGACCCGCGCAACTACGTGTTCGGCTTCGGGCGGCGGCGGTGCCCGGGGATGCACCTCATCGAGCAGTCGCTGTGGATCGTGATGGCGAGCATGGTCGCGACGCTGGACATCAGCAAGGCGCGCGACGCGGCGGGGCGCGCGGTGGAGCCCGAGGTGGTGTTCGACAACGCGGTGTTCCGCACGCCGCGGCCGTTCCGCTGCGACATCCGCCCGCGCTCGGAGCAGGCAGTGCGCGTGGTGCGCCAGGCGGCGGATGCTGCTGCGTGAGTGCGTTTGGGGCGTGGTCGCTGGGTGAAGTAAAGTTCGGTTAATTAATGTACCATACCTGCGGACTAAGTCTGGGACTTTTGCGGTTGGGTTTCGTAGTACAGCTATCTTGCTATCCGTCATCGTCCAGTGCTATCTGATTTATTCTTTCTTTCTCACTGTGCATCCTTTGGCGATGTAAGGGTGCAGCTACATATAAGGTCTATAGTACTGTGTGAGAGATACTTGTAGTAGGCGTCCGAAGATTGAAGGGTGTTTGCGCTAAGTAGCTAGATAGAAAAGGAAAGAGAAATAGTTGGCGGTAGATCTGACAATGCAAAAGTATACCTAAGTTATCGACAATATATGCGACACTGATGTCAGCAATGCTCTAGATATCTAACAATGATAGCGTAGCAATCGATGGCTCTCAGACTGTGATACTCGATACACGCGAACATGGCAGCGTTTGATAGGCTTGAAACACGATATTACAACGACGACTCACCAAATACGTGCGACTCTTGGGTCGCTGTCCAGGCCGTACCTCCACACGAGGAGAAGATATGGGTTTGAAGGAAAGGGGAACTAGATTCCTCGGCTTTAAGATCGGTAGTTAAGAGAACGTAGTATAGTTCGACCTGCAGATTACCAATGATGCCATACGCCACAGCTAGCGCGAAGGATCACAAACAAGCGTGATCGGGAATGAATGAGAGCCGGGTTCTTGGGGATGAGTGACAACGCGATGCGGCGATAGCGGTGCAGGTTCTCGATATGGTCCGACGGCGGCTGCGCCTGGTACCGGTAGGCCTCCCGCCTTGTGCGCTGGAACGGCAGCAGCGGCCGACCGAACTGGTGCAGATACGCCAGTTCCTTTTCGGTGCCTCTTACGAGCGCTACCTCGGCGTTTTTGTCTATGGTTATCGGTTAGCTTGAGGGAGTAGTAATAATAAAAAGGCAGAAAGCGGCTTACATGGTCCTCGATCTACGTCGAGCTGTGATCTTTGGCCGTACCATAGAGACAGACGTGTGTCGGGGCCGACGCAGAACTGCGCGTCCTCCAGTGTGACGCCCGGCCTGACAGTCATCTTCTCTATGTCTTTGGTATAGTACAGGCTCCCACCAGCAGGGAAGGCAATCGACATCATCTTCGCCTCGAGCTCAGCAAGCTGGCGCGTGAGCGACACAATATCCCTTTCTCCTAGGTTAAGCCATATGTCGCTCAAGGCAGTGCCGTACACGAACACCATGAAGATATACTCGGTCTCCGCCGCGTTGTCTGACGCGGGCGAGTATCCGTACACCTCGGGCACGGGCAGCCCGGAGGAGCGGAGCAAGGCCATGGTGGCCACCTCGCTGGCGATAGCGAAGTACTTGGGCACAGTGGCCGGGTACGGGACGCGCGCCACCATCTGGAAGCCGCCGCGCATGGTGATGAGAAAGGCGCGGTTGCGCCCACCCTCGGCGAGTTTTACCATGCCGACGATGTCATCGGGACTCCGGTCAACGGACGCCGCTGCGAGTCGACGGAGCCCGTCGACGTTGAAGACGCGTCTGCGCTCTGTGTGTCGGAGTTCATCGTTGAAGCTGAAGACGTTTAGATCACGGGTGAGACATTATACCCCATAGAATAACACGTATGAGACTTGCAGCCACCGCCCTGACGTGTAGTCAAAAAAGTTGTTGCTGCGAAGATGCGCCACAACAGAGAACGCGCGACGTGGCGGCTGGCGGGTCGGGATGGTGGCGATTGATCTCGAGTAAGAGTAGGGAACGTGAAATGAACGCAGTGAGGAGCAAGGACCGCACAGAGACCGCCAGCGAGGAACTGCGAGCAAGTCAAAGACGAGCCTCGCGCTCCTGGCAGGATGGGGCATGCCAACTCGCCAGGCGTGAGTGCCGTTTGTGGCCGTCGAGCGAAGGTCGAATCATTCCCAGGCACTAGAAGAAGCATAGTGTGACCATCACATGCGGACTCTTCAAGTGGCTGATTGACAGGATTGGTCTGGGCATTACGAGACAAACAGGCTGGATCCTACATAGCGATTGGCGGAGAGTAGCTTTGACTATCTCAGGCTGAGAGGTAAATGCCGCTGGAGTACCGAGTTCATCGAGAACAAAGATGGTTCTTCTAGAGCAATCAATTCATCTTTGATAATGATGACATCGATGGATAGCTCACCGAATCACAGTACATGGCGATGCGTGAATGGCCAGACATATATGGATACACATGCATGCACATGCAACAAGAAGGATATAGATAGATGAACAGACAACACACGAGCTTCTCGAGCTACACGTTCGGCCACAGCTATTAGTACAAGCCAGCCTCGCGCGCTGGCCAACAATACACGGATACACGGCTTGCTTTCCTCCGGTCCCAGTCAGTGTCCCAGCGCCCGCGTCCTACATCTCCATCTCCATCTCCATCCCGTCCCATTCCTCCTCGATCTTCTCGCGCCCAACGCCCCCGCGCGGCACGTCCTCGCACAGCCCATCGACGTCGACCAGCTCGCTCTCCTCCGACGCGCTCCGCGAGCCCGACCGCAGCGACGAGCGCGGCAGCGACCACCCGCCCGCGCCGTCCGAGTACGACCGCGCCCGCGCCGACCCCGCGCGCGAGACCGACGACCGGAACGACTGCGCGTAGCTCGCGGACACGGGCGAGCTCCACGCGTCCGACGGCTGGCTCGCGAAGCTCGCCGCGCGCTGCGCGTGCGCGTGCGCGTTCGGCATGGGGATCGCGGTGGAGCGCGCGTACTGCGCGGGGATGGTGGGCACCGCGAGCACGCCCGGGCGCAGCTGCGTCACGCCGCCGGGGACGGGCACGGCGTAGTCGTGCAGGCGCGGGCCCGTGCTGCCCGCGCGGGGCGACGCGCGCATCGCCGGCGCAGGCACAGAGCTCGACACGGCGAAGGCCGCCGGGGGCTCGATCGGGAAAGAGGACATGGTTGGCCTGGAGGAGCTCGGGCTGGCAGCGGCGTTTGCTGTGCTGGGGGGCGGGAGCAGGCCGCCAGACAGGTACGACGGCCACAGCGAGCGGTCCTCGGGGAGCGACGTCCCGCCCGTGGCGGACGGCGACAGGTGCGACAGGATCGCTGCTGCCTGCGCCAGGCGCGTGAGTGCGGGTCGAGGGCGCAAGGGACAGACAACACGCACCTCGAGCAGCTGCACCTGCTGGTGCTTGCTGAGCAGCAGCTTCGAAGCCTCGCGCCAGTGCGGCGAGTGTTCCCACCGGTGCTTGATCAGGCAGGACGGGTGCCGGTACACCTTCGAGCAGCTCTCGCACTTGAAGATGGTCCCCCGCTTCTTGCCCGTGCCCGACTTGGCACTCGTCACGCTGATGCCCGTGCCGTTCAGCTCCAGCTCGTCATCCTTGGCTCCCGCGGTGTGTTTCGCAGATACCGGGTCCATCTCGCCTGCCGCGGACACGAATGTTGTGGACGTCTGCGGCGGCGGCGTGCCAGACAGAGATAGCTTGGCCAAGGAGGTCAACGCTGCGGCGGCGGTGGAGATCGTGACGGCTCTGCAACGGGTGCAAATATATGTGCGCGACACGACAATGCAGAATAGGAGACACCCACGAAGGTCGACTGGCGGCCTCTCGCGCATCGCTCAGCCGCCGCCGAGCGTGGCCTGAAGACGACTGTCTGCGGGGCTTGGAGGGTGCATGTACCTTGGTGCTGATACCTGTGCTGCTGCTCAGGCTGCTGGGTCCCTTGAAGCTGCCAGGTGCGTAGGACGTGTTGTCCTGCTCCCCAGCCTTATCCACCGGTATGGGGGTGGCACTGGCGGCTGCCAGTGACAGGGAAAGCAGGCCACCCGCTGCGGTCTGTGTGCTGCGACGTCAGAGCGAGAAGGCAACACCTCGACTGAAACGTACCGGAGGGTAGCTCATGTTACTCTGCCAGCGGACAGGGAAGTAGATACAAAAGTAGTGAAAAGGAAGAAAAGTGTACTATATCATGAACTAGTACATAATGAAGCAGCGACGACTGCAGGAGCTGCTACGTGTTGCTCACCGTGCTGGACGACGAGGACGACGACGAGGGCAGTAAGGACAGCGCTCCTAATTCCTGAATTTCGGGAAATTTCCAAGTCCGCTGACAAGGAAGTAGATGCCCGATCTAGCCTTCTCCGCACGTGATTGGAATCATTATCAGATTAGATTGGGTTGTTGACGAGTTTTTCTGTCTTCTCACACTGCAAATCGAGATCTCGAGCATCGAATATTGAGGTCTTGCAGAGTTCCGTTGAAACGAACAAACCGTCAATGTTGAAGCTGACCAACATGATGTAAGGTAAGACTCGACCTTAAATTCGAATTGGAATCCAGCGCTACTGTTAACGACGATAAGTATTCAATGACTCTAACCAGCCGTGATATTGAGTCAGAAGAGGGGCGAGAAGGTGCGTCTGTCCGTTGTACGCCCACAGTTCTAAAAGTGATTGACAGGATTTTGCTCATGGTGCCATCCGCTTGCCGCTAGGCCACGTAAGGCGTGACATACGAGGCCGAGCAAGCCGCTGGCGATATTGACTGGGAGATCGAGATGCACATGCGCGTGGGCACATCTGGGCACATCTGGCCAATCGCGTTGCCTCCGTAACACGATTTATTACCTAATGTGGAGGAAACTCCCAGGAACAGGGCCGAACCACTCCGCAGCGGATCTTGATATGTCACTCTCGATCACGTATGCCAGGGAGGGGCTCGGACATCACACTTTGTGCAGACTCGCCGCGTGTGCCCTACGAGTCAAGCCACCACTGCGCAGACTGCGCCCGGTGCCGGTATAGCACATATATCGACGTGCTCTGACTCTTACACGTCTCTCGCGAGGGCAACATCATGCACAACCCGTTTCGTCCGCCACCGGCTCCTCCTGCGTTCGGAGAGGACAAAGTGGTTCCTCAGCAGCAGGCCTCGTAAGTGCTCGCTGTATTGGGAGTGTGCTGCAGATGTCGGACGCCCTGTGCGACATTGGCCGATTTAATGGTGCACAATGCGTTCCGCAGCTGTGACATTCTCCCCTATTGTAGTGTGGAGACGATGTACTGACCATCGCAACGCACACGATAGCCCTCTTTCGAAGCTCATATTCAACTGGCTCAACCCATTCCTTTCCGTCGGATTCTCTCGTCCTCTGCAGAAAGAAGGTTTGCATTCGGTATCCCCCTGAAATGTTGTCCGATTGGTAATGAATGTTTGTCGCAACCCAGATCTATGGCAGCTACCCAAAGAGAAGCTGACAGGGACGCTGACCGACGTCGTCGAGCGTAACTTCTACGACCGCTGTCCGCCTGAGAAACGACCCCGCTTCCTGCGTGATGCCAAACCGGATGCGCCCACACGACGGGACTCGGTTGCATCCACCCAAAGCATGACTGTTGAAGAGATCAGCAGCGCCTCGGGAGACAACGAAGCCGGCGACGAAAAGGCAGAGCTGGGCGCTGACGAGAAGACGCTGCCCGCCACAGAGAAGCTGCCTAATTCAGCGAAAGGCGGGTCCAAGTCCGAGCCGGGGAGTGGCAAGAAGAAGTACGACGAGTCCCTTCTCAAAACATTGCACGACACGTTTTTCTGGCTCTGGTGGCGGGCCGGAATCCTCACGCTCCTTGCCAGTATGTTGGGTTACTCGTGGTGAGGCGTAGCGGCTGACGTGAACGGCTAGACACTCTGAACACGACGACGCCCTTGCTCAACAAGGTATTGCTCGCATGGCTCACCGACTCGTATGTGTACTGGAAGGCCCCTGCGGACGAGCGGGCGGCTCTCGGCATTTCCCAGCCGCGCGGTGTGGGGTATGGTGTAGGCCTTGCGTTTGCGCTTTTCGTGATGCAGGGTAAGCGGCCGTATTTTATTCCCGCGAGTCCACCTTCTGAGACATAAATCCCCCGACCTGTAGAGGCATCCAGCTTGGTGAGTCTGTTGCTCTAGCCGTGGCCAATGATGGCTGACAGCAGTGCCCGTGTCTTGAAGATGACATGTCACTATATGCTCAGTACGTTTCAACCATATGTCCTAAATGTTGGCGCTTACGCTCGCTCCAGTGTCCATGGAAGTCGGCCTGTACCTTCGCACAAGTGTAGGTCACAACCACCAGATATCGGCCGCCTGGTGTTGACAAGTTGCAGGTGATCGGTTCCATCTTCCGGAAAGCGCTACGCCTCAGCGGGCGCGCACGGCTCGAGCACAGTGTTGGGAAGATCACGACCATGATTTCTACTGATGCGACCCGTCTAGAGCGGAACGCTGCGTTCGCACATTTGTAAGTACCCACGTTTGACCTCGGTGTACGGTAAATAATTTAGTTTGCCATAGGCTATGGATCGCGCCCACGCAGATTGCCATTGGGATTGGACTGCTCCTGCACAACGTGAGTTGCCCGGAAATGATTCGATCCAGGGTACTGAATGGCGCGACCAGCTCGGGTATTCTGCGCTCGTTGGACTCGGTGTAAGATAATTACCCGTCTCTGCGCGATGCCTACTCACTCTGGGCGATGATCCCCAGGTCCTGCTGATAGGCTTCCCGATCCAGTTCCTCTGTGTCAAGGCGATGTTCACCCAGCGCAAGAAGGGCGTTGTCCTGACGGACAAGCGCGTCAGGACGATCACCGAGGTGTGCGACATGAGCCAGCGTGAGGCCGTGCGATGCTGAGATTCCGTATGAATATAGGTGCTCCAAGGCATCAGGCTGATCAAGTTTTACGCCTGGGAGGAGTTCTTCGCATGGCAGATCGCGCAGATCAGAGAGAAGGAGATCAGCCGCGTCCGCGGTCTTGGGTGAGTGGCGTCGATACTGTGCACGATGCGGCAGACGTCCCTGACCGTATGGGTGTATGCGCCTGATTTCGTTAGCTTTGCACGCGCTAACCTCATCGGCGCCGTCACGATCATCCCTACGCTGGCATCTATTCTGTCCTTCGTGAGTGCCGCGAGTGCACCTGCATCCGGCCATGTCCTCACACCTGCATGAATTCAGATCACCTACGGACTGAGCGGGCACGACCTCAACATCTCCATCATCTTCAGCTCCCTGCAGCTGTTCAATGTACGTGCGGAGAGTCTGCTCCCGATACACCGCGCTTGAGCGTATTGACCTCGTCATGCAGATCATCCGCGTTCCGCTCATGTTCCTCCCGATGGTCCTCGCCGGGTCCGCCGACGCCGTCGTCGCGCTCCGCCGTGTCTCGCAGTTCCTCGTCGCGGAGGAGCTGGACGAGCCGTACACGATCGAGCCCGCGATGAAGCACGCGATCGACGTGGAGGGCGACTTCACGTGGGAGACGGCGCACAAGCCCGCGCCGTCCGATGCGAAGCCGGAGCCGGGGAAGCCAGGGAAGCCGGGGAAAGACAAGAAAGACAAGAAGGATAAGAAGGACAAGAGAACGCCTGGGGGTAACGACGGGAAGCCGAAGCGGCGCTTGTTTGGCCGCAAAGGCAAGGAGGAGTCTGTGTTGCCGGTCGCTGCTCAGAACAGTGAAGCGGCGGAGGGCACCGAGAGTGAAGGAAAGCCGTTTGAGCTGAAGGACCTGAAGTTCAAAGTGCCTGCGGGATCGTTTGTGGCCATTGTTGGACCCATTGGCTCAGGCAAGGTGAGCTCTGAGACGTGATCGTCCCATCCGACATCCCGATCTGAGCGCACCTGTGGCAGAGCTCGTTGCTTCAAGCGTTGATCGGGGAGATGCGCAGGACACGCGGACACGTACGTGGTGATGTTGCTCGAGCATCTAAGACGCTGATGCCGGTGTGCCTCCCCTCAGTCGACATTCAAGTCGTCGGTGTCCTATGTTCCGCAGAGCTCGTGGATCATGAACGCGACGCTTCGCGAGAACATCACGTTCGGACAAGGCGAAGACGATGAGAAGTGTGTATCGAAAACGTTTACAAGCACGGGGTGGCGCTGACGCACACATACGTGATCAGGTTTCACGAGATTGTGCAGGCGTGTTGCCTAGAACCGGATCTTCGGATGCTTCCCCATGCGGAGCGCACGGAAATCGGAGAGAAGGGTATCAACCTGAGTGGTATGTCCTCGAGCCATTGTCCCATTCGGTGACGCCAATAACGTCACACTTATTAGGCGGACAAAAGGTACATTAACCACTGATATCAGTTACTTTGTTGTGCTCATGAGTGCGCTTAGGCGCGCGTATCTCTCGCCCGAGCAGCGTATTCCGGAGCGGACACTGTGCTTATGGACGATTCATTGAGCGCAGTCGACGCTTTTGTCGGCAAGTCCATCCTGGAGAACTGCCTCCTGAGCGGCCCTCTCGCTGACAAGACACGGGTCCTCGTTACCCACGCTCTGCATGTACTCGACAAGACTGACTACATCTACGTCATGGACAACGGTACGATCGTAGAGCAGGGTACCTACAATGTAAGTGGACTTAGCTGCGTAAAAAGCCCTTCGGCATCTGATATCACTGTACAGGACCTGATGGAAAACAGCGTCGTCTTCTCTCGCCTCATGGAGGAACACGGAAACCTCGAGAAGGAGGACAATAATGACGTTCAGCGCGTCGAAGCCTTGATGTCGACGGTGCTTCGTGAAGACAAGAAAGACGGTCCCGCTGACGCCTTAATGCAAGCAGAAGAGCGTAACATTGGAGCAGTGACGTGGTCTACCTACATCACGTACTTCCGCTACGCCGGTGGAATCATCTGGGTCCCGATCATCATATTCTGCCTCGTCTCATACCAGGGTGCACAAGGTGAGGTTTGTTAGTGGAACGTATTGGCAAAAACGCTGACTGTTATGGCAGTGGCGAACAACATATTCCTGGGCTTATGGACAGCGGAGAGCATTGAGGGTTTCACGCAAGCAGACTACATGGGGACGTATGCCGCACTTGGTGCCGCTAGCGCTCTCTTCGCACTTTTGCTCAGTTTCACTCTCACGTAAGAAGCTTATTCACTACCGGTTTCCTGGCGAGATGCTGACTTTGACAATAGTCTAGCGAGTTTGACCGCTGGGTTCAGAATGTCCATGAAGGCTTTGAGAGCTGTTATGCACTCGCCGGTCTCGTTCTTTGACACAACCCCGTTGGGTACGAATCAGATCAATTGCGTCTAGTGACATTTCACCATACTGACTTCATCACAAGGCCGTATCATGTCTCGGCTATCAAGCGATCAAGATACAATCGACACGGAGCTGTCAATGATTGCGTGGCAGGTAAGTGTCGAAAACAGACGCAGGATAACTGATTGAGTTCATGACGCCCGGTATAGCTCTTGTCCACATTCAGGTACATCATGCGCATCATATCCTCCATTGTACACTACTGATTTTCCACATAGCTCTGTGCTCGGGACAGTGGCCCTCGTCTTCTACACGTTCCCGTATCTCGGCATCATATTCGTGCCGTTGATGACATTCTACTACATGGCGGCAGCATACTATAGGCGGAGTTCGGTGGAGACAAAACGGCTTGACTCTATCCTGCGTTCATCACTGTATGCTGCATATTCTGGTACGTGGTCTCATCATTTGTCCATGATTACAGGAAGGCAATCTGATTCCTGTGCAGAATCGTTGACAGGTCTGAGCACAGTAAGGGCTTACGGAGAGGAGGTATCCGCAATTGATTTGTTTTAATACCTTCTACAGCTCTGATATTGTTCTCGCAGCACCGCTTCATCCACAAATCCGAGCGCGGACTTGACCTGGAGAACAGAGCGTATTACATGACGATCGCCATTCAGCAGTGGCTGGGCACGCGTCTGGATCTCCTAGGGAACCTTCTCGTGCTCGGGATTGCTCTTTTCGCTGCCGGTTTCAGTAAGACCATCAGTCCTAGCAAAGTGGGGGTTGTGCTGTCGTACACGTTAAGTAGTAAGTGCCGCCGTCTACTCTTGTCAATAACAGAACAACTCATATTGCCTTTAGTCACGCAGACTTTCTGTAAGTCATTTTATGTCCTCGTCAATCCTCGATAGCTGATGTTCCCAAGCGCAACTCGTCTCCACGTATGCTCAGAACGAGCAGGACTTCAACGCTGTCGAGCGTATTCTGTACTACACCACGCTGCCTTCTGAGGGTGACCTAGTGCAAGCGAACGATCCTCCGCCGACGTGGCCCGAGAAAGGTCAAGTCAATTTCAAGGAGGTCAAGCTTGTCTATCGTGAGGGTTTGCCTCCAGTCTTGAAGGGTGTCACATTTACCGTCAACCCCGGAGAGAAGGTAAATATTACGTAGCATATACCCAAAGTTCGTGTTTCTGACATCCCTGTTTAGGTCGGTATCGTTGGCAGAACAGGAGCAGGTAAATCATGAGCGTCATGACATCGAAGTAAAGCGTCTCTCTAACCGTACGTATAGGCAAGAGCTCCCTGCTTCAAGCTCTGTTCCGGTAGGTGGTTTTCACGTACACAAATCTGCTACAGCTGAACGGCCTGTAACAGCATGGTGAATGTATCGGGAGGGAGCATCGAGATCGATGGCGTCAACATTGCCGATATCGGTCTCAATATCCTCCGAAGTCGTCTCGCGCTTGTGCCGCAGGACAACATTCTATTCAAGGGAACCCTTCGTGACAATATGTACGTGCATTCGCATGACGTGTGTTGATCATAGAGTTGATAACATCGAGGTGGCAGTGATCCACAGAAGACCCGTACCGACGCGGAATTGCTTTCTGCGCTTCGCAGAGCGTGGCTCTTGCCGAGGGACGGTGCACAAGACCCAGTTGCTGAGGCGAAATTCAGTCTTGACTCTGTCGTGAGCGATGAAGGTCAATTGCCTGACTCTTTCCCCGAGGTTATATTGGGCTGACATAAGCTATGCCAGGATCGAACTACAGTGCTGGTGAGAAGCAGCTTCTGGCCTTGTGTAGGGCACTGGTCAAGAACAGCCGGATCATTGTTCTGGTACGTTGATGTACCACGCGCCCTCAATGCGCCTGCCCTTATTGTCTCCGGTACGCAGGACGAGGCAACGAGTAACGTTGATGTCGAGATGGATGCGCGACTTCAGAAGACCATCCAGACAGAATTCTCGTCGTCGACCCTGCTGTGTATTGCTCATCGACTGAACACTATCGGTAGGTGTTGTCTCACAATTCGCAGGGCAATGAAGCTAACAGAACAAACCAGTGTACTACGATCGCGTTCTCGTGATGGACGCTGGGAAAGTTGCTGAGTTCGACACGCCCTTGAATCTATTCGACAGGGAAGACTCCATTTTCCGCTCGCTGTGCAACGAGGCCGGATTGTCCCGACAGGACATCGTGCGTATCAGAGCGAGCGTGCCTGGTGCCATCGAGACATAGCAACACCAATATAGTATTAGAGATAGACTGTGCCAAACACCATGCTCAATGACTTGATACGAATCTGTACGGACTGTCTTCGGATACACGATACTGTACGGGGCTAGGATAACGCTAATGAAGTACAAAGTAACGCTGAGTGGGTGTTGCATACAAACCTTACTGAGTTAAGTTGATACAATATCCAATGTCCATACATCAATTGCTGAGAAGCTACAAACTCGACATGCTTTCCTGTGATGTACGACACAATACAGATAACTGAAAACGCGAACACAACATTTGAATTGTGGGAGAGTAACACGTATTGTATGTTTTTGCAAACGAGAACATCACTACATGACACGGGGTGCGGATACGAGGGGATGGGTACGAGAGTCGAGACAAACAAAACACGACCATGTGCGCAGGCGCAAGTGGGCGCGTATACGGTTAGAGCTCGTCCCTGTTCTCATTCAAAAACATTGAAATGCCCCTCCATTTCATCATATGCCTGTTTTCTTGGGCTCGGTGAACGACGAGCAAGTAGAGGATGCCCACGCACTCGAACTAGATCGACCGCTTTCCCTGCATCAGCACGTCTTCGGCATTGACAATTGATGAGGATATCCAAGTGACCGGGAGGCTGCCCGCTTGGAGGCGGTCAGGTCTGTTTCCTTCCAACCGTTATTGCTGACTACATCGAAAGACCTCAAGGTACTGCCAGTCCAGAGCATCCCAATGCTTCGTCGAGGCCTGTCTCCCAGACGAGCGAGGACGGAGACTGGTTGGCTCATCCACGCGACGACGTCGCGGTCACTCACGCACGATTCGATGTCGACACATGAACTTGGCTCGACTGTCCGTATACACTCCGCCTGCGTCGCGCCCGATCATCGCCGGAAAGGAGTCGGGCTCGCGTTGTCGAAGGGGGGTACTTGTCACGCCTGGACACTCAGCCCGGCCATCTGGGACATCTGCTCATCACACACGAGGATCTGCACGGTCTGTACGATACGGCTGGCTCTGAGTGGGTGAGTGAAAGCGCAGTCGTGCACAGCTCGCGACCATGGCTCGAGCTGCGCAAGGTACTCAATCTCTCGCAATCGCCGTCAAAACAACCGCCCTCCGTGCCCGCCGACGTCCGGGAGCAGCTACGACGGGCGTCGATATTGAGTATCCTCCCACAAATGGTGCACCTCTCAGCATGGGACGCCGACCACGATGGACGGGGCACCCAGCGAAACGGAACCGACTGTCGTGTCCCCAGGACGGGCGTGGCATCGATATGCTTAAGGTTGGCGCAGGCTCCCTAGGGGAGCGCGAGAGCATACCACTGGATCCACCGAGAGCTTGTGGGCTGCCTACAGGCCTGCTCATGCCTCTACCGCCGCCGCCGGCGACGATGAGTCTGCGATTAGTAACTCCGAATGCGGTATTCTTTGAGGACATTGGATTTCACGCGGCCCGTAGCCCTGCAAGGTAACGTAGCTGGAAGCGTATCCTCCAACGTAATACGCTGACGTTGCTGATTTGCAATGCAGCGACGGACAAGAAGCTGAAGCTGTTGATTCGCGCGGAGTGCGACCTTGGACCGTTGGGATGGTACGAGGAGGGCGGGAGCGAGTTCTGGTTGGCCGTGAGTCGTGTGAGATATCGGAAATGATGGGCCTCGCGCGCGAGATGATACCTCCTGCTACGTGTCTGACGGTCTCGTTGTACATGCTCACTGCGATTCCTCAAGACGTCCACATGTAGGACAGGAGGGTGTTTCGGCGAGTGGGGCGATAGATACGCAGTCCTTCCGAGGTAGGGCATTATTCGGTATGCGATGTTTAGCGTTGTTGGTACTGTCAGCGTGCGCACCCGGGTGCCCTGGCGCGGCAAAACCCTATCTTGCATGACGGATCTTGAGGTCACATCGACCACTCGACCGCACGAAGCGCGCCATTTCGGCAATTTATGTAATATATACAGCACTTACTGAGTGAGACTCCGGTCACTGCGGGATGCCCCTTTGCATTCATCACGATACTGTAGCTTGTAGTATATGGTTCACACGTCACCTTCGAGCCATTCTTCTCGCAGCAATGCAGTGCGAGCAAGATACTTCGGTCGTGTGCTCTGCCTATCTAAGTTCACGCTGCCTGGAGCGCCCATAACCTGTGAGTGTCTTGGAAGAGTAGTCCATGAAGTATGATTGACGCGAGCGAATTAGATTATCGGCGGGCTGCACGCACGACAAAGATTTAGTGTGAGTCGTTGCTTGAAGGTTAGTGCAGTATTCGTTAATGAAGTATGGTGGTAATAATAGTTTGCGCAGTGCGCGCAGGACCAATCAAGGTTTGTGATGAGTATATGCGTTGCGGGCCCTTCGGCGTCGAGTGACACTCACTGGTCCGCGAGGCATCCCTGACCGCACGGCAAACCTTGTACAGCAACACGCGAAAGCAAGTTAGGGGAACTGTCTAATTTGTTTTCTTTGTATCAAAGTATCATTATATCCCCAGCATTCCTGTGCACATGTGTTGCACTCCCTCTTGACCTGCTGGCCGTCGGCGGTCCCAGGCAATCCCTCCCACCTACACTCATCTCACACTCCTTCTATCAACATGTCTGCAACGACCGCTGAAGCGTCACCTCGCCGCCCTACTATCTCTGCAATCCGGGAATGTGCTCTCGAACGGCACTGAGAGGACACGGCCATCGACATCACCTCTGACTTTGTATTCCCGAAATCAAGCTCTGTCTCCGTTCAAGATAGACTGCTAACGTTTGCTGAGAATCGCCGCCTCGCCTGTGACGTTGATACGAGGTGGGACAGCATCACATCAGATGCTCTTCGGCCCATTTGCGAGAACTTTGCGTTCCTGCTTGATATCATAACAGGCAATAGCAGCCTGGTGAGCAGACTGATATCTAGAATGTGAGAAGAGCATTCTGACCGACTTGCGGGACAGGATATAACCAGAGAGTACATTCATCGTGCTATTGGAGCGTTGTTCAGGGTATGTCCAGTTCTCTGTTTGCTCCAATGTGTGATGTCCTGACCATGCGCAGGCTGCCATGAACGACGTAGCCTACAAGGCGATCGTGGCCATGATCCAGCAGGTGCCGCATATACCAGAAGAGCTGCGCTCGTCATCACCGGACATGGACGTCGATGAAGAGTCTTGCGTGGAGTATATCTCGACGGTCGTAATCCTAATGGGCTCGTGTCACAAGATTGTAGACCAGAAGTTTAACTACCTCAACGGTGAGTAGCTGGCATAATCAGGACAAATCGTACAGTGCTGATGCATATGCAGTTGTCACTGAGAGTACCCTCGTAAAGGAAGGGTCCGTACGACGTCTCCCTGAGGAGCTCAGACTCACGGTCGACGACCTGCGATGGGACATCGGTTAGTCATTCCATCACGGATCCCATGTTCTTAGCTTTCGCGACTGCACAGGTCCTCTAGAGGTTCAAGTGAAGAGTGCGTGGAGCAAGATCGAGGATGCTGCAAAACAGGCAAAGTTGGGTTTGCACAATGTCACATCCGTGAACACCATCGATGACCTTGTCCTCCGTTTAAATGGATACTGGCGTCAGGCGAAGATAGAGGCAAAGGATCAAAGGCGACTTCTTGCAACACTTCGTACAATGGTAGAGCCACACCCGGTGTCGCTTCACAATATGGCGAAGCTTATCAGCGTTGTCCATGCCTATGTCTCCAATTCGGCTGCCTGGACTAACACTGATCATGCGTTCAGGAGCCTGATCCGTGGAGAAAGGTCTTTGGTTCGATTCTGCTGTTGATTAAGGTAAGCATGTCTCGTGAATGTCCTCGGCATCACACTGATAGCAGGGATCCGTATGCAGACGGTAAACGGAGATGGCGCAATCTACAGCGTGATCATGGACATATTTTCACGCCTTTCTACCATCCTCCAACGCGTTTCTCCACAGCCTTCTCTTGGGGAATGCATGAGATCCAGCAAAGTTTGTTTGCGCATCTTGCTCGAGATGATCGCGATCATGGTTCTATCTGTGGGCGTGGTCACCAAAGGCCAGAATCTGCGTCGCATGAAAGCGTGGGCAGGGATAGAAAAGTCGGTGTTGCTCACACATCAGCCTCTGCAACTGGCGGTGGACAACATTGACGGCCTGGTTGGGAAGCTGGTGGCTAGCACGTCGGACTCCAGTATGTGTTCCGATGTCATAGATTGACTGAGGCTCACGTTTGAAATTGGCAGAGATGGTGTCCGTTACTGAACAGCTATGGAAGAATGCGTGCAACGTGTATATGAAGGCGACGGGAAAGGATTTCCGATCTACAGAAATACTGCAAGGGATGAGCAGCGTGGATGGCCTCCGGTCTATGTTGGACACGGAGACGTATCAGTTCATGCGCGAGATGCACAAATATGACGCAATCCACAAGACGCTCGATCTTGTCAGCAAGTGCGTTAGCCAACTCGTCGACGTCGTTTCCGACGCTGTAGAATCGGTAAGCTGCATCCCATCCACCCACACGTCTGTATTCATTGCTCCGAAATAGCATCTCAGTCATAGCAAGGTCATCTTCGGTGCTATCGGACTGCTGTTTAAAGTACGGTTTCATCTACCCGAGATACTGACTGACGCCATATCCTTTTCGCGCAGGCAGCAAAGGAGGTTGGCGCCGCATACGAATCCGTGCATAAGCTGTTCACCATGCTATCGGACTTCCTCGGAAGTCTAGTGCTAAGTCTAGTGCTGTACACGAAGGAGGGGTGGTCGGCCACCATGAGGTTGATCCTGACACAAATCTTGTGCCAGCTGCTGGTAGTATTGGGAGTCGCGACGAAGGCCATCAAGCAGAATTGCATCAGTGAGCTACATTATCAAACGAATATGGGAGATTCCTATTCCACTAACAATGAGCACAGTTGCTTTTGGGAAGGCGATTGTCGGTCTGCACGACCAGGAGGCGCACGATGCGCTTGCCAAGCTAGACCAACTGATTGACAGCGAAGGCCGATTGGTGCGAGCGAGCATGTTCGATGTCGTCCGAGGGATTCAGGAAGCTATCCGTGGCGTAGATGGCAAGATCACCTATGCGCTGCAAGGAGTCGAACATGTTCAAGAAGGCGTCAAACAGGTCCAAGTGGGTGTCGTAGAGGTTGTAGAAAGTGTCGGTCAACTCCGAGGGGATGTCACAGTGATGCGGTCGATTTTGGAAAGTGGGTCCTTCGATATCTGCATCACCGCTGCTGCGGGGACTGATCCGACATGCTTCAGGAACGAATGACGAGAAGTCCGACAATGTGGATATCGCGGAGGTCACTCATTCCTTGTATAGGAAGAATACATTAATATCTCCGTTCCTGTAGACCTGCTCCTCTACCGTCCAAGATGGCTGTATGCATTGGTCGCCAAGACGTCGTCGAGGCGTTCCGAGGGTTCTTGTTACAACGAAGCCATGTCCTGATATCTGGAACGGGCGGTATTGGCAAGACGACAATCGCGCTCGAGTTGCTCCATCTCCCAGAAGTTATCTCTGTCTTCCCGACTCGCTACTTCGTCTCGTGCGATGGTATTCCAGATCTGGGAGCATTTTGGCTTAAACTAGCCGATTCACTGGGTGTTCCGTCGCAGATGCGAGGCCAACAGCTGCTTGCAGGCATCCTACAAACGCTGTCCGCTGGACCATCTGTTCTTTGCGTAGACAATTTCGAGACGCTGTGGGAACCACCCCACTCTCGCAAGGACGTCGAGGAGAATATAGCGCAGCTAGCAGGCGTGGCCGTACTGATTGTTACCATGCGCGGAGTGGAACGACCAGGCGGTATCAAGTGGGCACCCACGACGTCCCTTCAGCCACTGTCCATTGACGACGGGCTGACGATGTTCGCCGAAATCAGTGGCGCCTCTGACAACGAATACGGCGAAAAGCTAGTTCGAGCTACCGATGGCCTCCCTCTGGCTATCAGCATCCTCGCGCATCTTGCACAGCCTGAAATGGAGACGACTGAGTCCTTGTGGAGACGCTGGGAGAAGACGGGACCGGCGGTCGCCTCTCGAGGTGACGGAGCTAACGAGAGACTGTTCAATCTAGGCACATCCATCGACCTGTCCCTCAGCAGTCCACGCATGCTCAGTGATCCCTCGGCAAACACCGTACTTGCTATCATTAAGGAGCTGCCTGATGGCTTACCTCAGTCGTCTGATTTCCTTGACGAGCTTCAGGAACATCTCCCCACAGACATCGACCTTCAGGCATCACTCCGAACGCTCAGGCGAGTGGCCTTGGTGAACATGGACCAGTCGTCAGATGGGCGTAGCAGGTACCGCATGCTCTCCCCGACGCGAGAATATTGTCTACGACTGCCTACCCTTCACCTACCGGACAACATCGCACACGGCTATCGCACATTCTATGCGGGTGTGATTGCCGACTATCATCACAGATGTACCGACGCCACTGCTCACGCGATTGTGCGTCCGGAGTTGCTGAATGTCAGCAGCATCCTCACAGAGTGGCTGAAGGTGTCGCATCCTGATCCCATTCTGATCCATGCGATCATTTCGCACGCCGAATGGTCACAATATATTGGATCTCCGACAAGCGCACTACTTGAACAGGTCATGAAACACCCAATCGATGACGAGGAGCTCCTGGCGCAATGTCATCGATGTTTAGGAGATGTTCTACGTTACCGTGATGAGCTCCCAGAAGCAGAGCGTTATTTTGACATGGCACTTCAAGCTCACGTTAGTGCTGGCAACTCATCCGAGGCTTCCAACGTCCATCAAGATCTGGGAGAGCTGTACCTGCGCACAGGTCGACTAGCCGAGGCAGAGGATGCGCTGACGTCTGCTCTGCGGCTGCACAGGGAGGTGCACGACTCCCTCGGCGAGGCTAATGACCATCGAGCGTTGGCAACTCTCTACCAGCGCACAGGTCGACTAGTCGAGGCAGAGGGTGCGCTGACTTCCGCTCTGCGGCTGCACAGGGAGGTGCACGACTCCCTCGGCGAGGCTAATGACCATCAAGCGTTGGCAACTCTCTACCAGCGCACAGATCGACTAGCCGAGGCAGAGGATGTGCTGACGTCCGCTCTGCGGCTGCACAGGGAGGTGCACGACTCCTTGGGCGAAGCAAATGACCATCGACAGCTGGGAGACCTCTATATATCCACAGGGCGTCTCGTGGAAGCAATGACCTCCCTCCAGCGTGCCCTGCACCTATATGAGCAGATCGAGGAGAATCTCGGCAAGGCCAACACTCTTCAGTCCTTCGGGAAGTTACACCTAAAGAGTGATCGGTTCCAAGATGCCGAGGACGCGTTCTTACAGGCATTCAATCTCCACGAGGAGGTCCAAGATTATGTAGGTGCGCGGTGGGATCTGGCACAACTAGTCAGTCTCTATATCAAGCTCGGTCGAGATGAAGACGCAGCTGGAGCACTGCAGAAGCTCATCGGACGTCTACGTTGCACGCAAGATATCGACGAGCTTGCAGACGAGCTTCAGCGCCTGGGAGAGACCTACATTCGAATGGGTCGGCTGGACGAAGCTGAGACGTCGCTAAAAGAGGCTCTGCAGTTGCACGAGGGTCTTGACGATGCAGACGAGGAGATCGCGCGTGACCGCGAACTGCTGGATGAGCTGCACTTGATGCGTGTTGACCAGGAGGTGGATGAGCAATATGCCAGCCGTAACGACACGGAGTGCAGTAAGCATTCAAGTCTGAGAACGCACACGCCATGGTATACGCTGACGCTGCGTGTCCACAGGAGTTGACAATGATGAGGAAGCGGCGGACGTAACCTCTTGAACTCTCGGTTCATTCTTGTGCGTGACGCTGACGGAGTCTGACTGGTCGACGTCACCTCGTACTTATCATCACAAAACTTCTGCATATTCCACCGATGACTGAAGATGATGTTCTCCGACGGAATTGGCGACGCACATATTATGTTAAGACTACGCTACATCACATATACTACGCTCTGTGATGATTGATATTCATCGAAGAAATAGACTACTAATGTGTGAAGTCGTGCGGAAGACGTCGTGGCCCCCGAAGCCTCGACTCGAGTGTGAATCATGATGCGGGTACGCACTGGCAGTGAGACTTGCGAACATTGAGAGCACCTGCATATCGTGAGCGTAAGAGCATATAAGGTCTTGCGCATACGACTAAAGGTGGACTTGCGATCACAAGAGTTTGTGCATGACGAAAAAACGATTTTACACTGCAGGGCTAGACGTTGAGTGCTCGCGTGCAGGATGAAGCCTCGAAGGGGTGGAGGGTTGCTTACCACAGACCACTATGGCTCACCTTATGGATTGTAGCCAGAGCGACTACTATAAACGGCATCTGGATCCAACTCCGGTGACGTCAGGAGGTTGTTTGTCTTTGTTGAATTCCAAAGGCGATGGCTTTGACGCCCCCGTGCCTTTTCCGGGATGTCGTTGGACGCAGACAGCAAGTGGATGCCTTCTTCATATCGTCGCGAGCTGCCGTCGTGCAGCACTTCCACAAGCTCCTGGTGTCAATGTTGGTTCAGCGCGACCGCCATGTGTGGTCATGGGCGGATAATTCAAGCATGATGCCGACAACGACGACGTCGGTCGCTTGTTCATCTGGTGAGGGCAGAGCTGCGGGAAGGAGATAAGAGCGTCCGAGTATGACGAGCTCTGAAAAAGATCCGGTAATGTGCCCCTGAATCTAACCACGGCCCGGAGTTCAGGATGAGCTTAACGCAATATACGGTGTTGTGAAATCTAACAAGGTTCGACTACGTCCGCGCATAAACATCCCGCTCACCGATGTCATTTTAATTCCCGCGTGTCTGATAGGTGCTCTGTTGGCGTCGGGATCTGGTCTGAATCTTGCTCGACGACAATTTTCATAACATGCTCGACGCTAGTCTCATTATCTCCCATAGTTCACATACGGGGGGAGGCGGGGGCTTCTTGATTACTTCTCGGTACTCTAAGGTGAGCCGTCTTACGTGAAGGCTGCAGGTGGACATACATGGTGCGGCCAAACTATAGCCAGGGCAGGGAACTGCAATGTTTACGGACAATCACTGAAGTAACACGCGGCTCGATGTCAATTTGAGCTCCGTGAGGCGGACGTGTTGACCCCGCAGCTCAATAAGGTCCGAGATTAGTACAACGGCAAAGAGTCCGAAATCAAAGCCGCTAGTCCCTCTGGACGGCATGGTGGCCGCAGCAGTGCGCTTACAGTCGTTCTCTTAGGCATCATGCTGATTGAGCGCATCGCAGTTTGCTGCCAACGCGACCCCCAAGCCCTCGATCACCGTGAGGGAGCCATGACGGGTGGCGTTCCGGCTGGAATATGCTGTGGCTGCCGGCTTGTAGAGTTGTGGCTGCTGTGGCTGCGGCATCTCGGATCATCGGCCGGAGAGAACAGTTGCTGGAGTTCCAATGAGAGGATGTCTCACAGCGAGCAGAAAACCGAGAGCAGCATTAAAGACCGAAACCTGAGATGGTCAAGGATCAGAGTGCTTCATATTGAGTCGCACAAATCTTATTCGGAACGATCACGTGATCGACGCGCAACGCGATGGCTAAAGGCATGACTGATACTGCTAGACGGGTCTTGCTACATATAACGCAGTGCCCTCTCCTTGCGGAATATGTATAGTATATGTACCCATACCGCCTTCTGGATTTTCACTATTTTCACATTGTGCTTGACTGTCTTCGTATGCAATATGAGTATGTAAAGGTACCACCACAGAGCTCCACTTTGCGTTGTATCCTGCGTGCACTACACTCCTGAGGCTAAGCAAATAGAGCACCGCCCTTCTCATTTCTCCGTCCTTTCCCGGCTACATAGCGTTCGAATAGCAAGATACATGCCTCTGATGAAGTGCACAGACGCACGGCACTATAGCTATCGTGCTCGATCCCGCGGTGGCTTCGTCGGGGTTCCCGCTAGAAGCATCCGACTGTCCTTCTCGTGGCCTTCATCTTCATAATCCAGCACATCGACGTTATGTGAGCTGTTCGGCAGTGTGAGTACGGCCGGGGAGCTAGGGAGGGTCCAGTCCTCCTCGTCGGAGTCATCCACAATCCCTTCCAGGCTACGCATGGCTAGCGGAGATGGAATGCGACTAGGGCGCAGCTGGGATGCCCCGTCACGTTGCGCGGCCTCGCGCCGTTGCTGCGTCTTCGGCTTGACAGGCGTCGCCGCGACCAGCGTGACCCCCTTGGAGCTCTTCGTGTGCGCGGCAGCACTGGCGTGTATCGTCTTCCTGGTCTCGTCGCGAACCGTCTTGGCGCGCGCTGCAGCCTGCCTGGCTTGTTCGCGCTCGCGCGCCTTGATCTTGCCCTTGAACGCGGTCGTCATGCTTACTTCGCGCGAAAGAAGTTGCCTCCGCAAGTTGCCGGTGCCGATACTGGCTGAACGTGAACGTGCACGCTCCTCTTCCAGCGAGACCGATAGAGATCGCGAGCGCGAGCGCTGCAGGTCCTGAGCTTTGTATGTGCTCTCCGCATGTGCGCGTGGTGCACGCTGTGCAGGCATGGAAAGATTTTTCGAGGACGAGGCAGACGCTGCGGACTTCAGCCGCTTGTTCTTCTGTCGGGGGGACGGGGGAGGTGAAGGTGACAGCAGCGAGTCCGAGTCGTCCGAAAAGGGCGATGTCTGGAAGACCTTGGATCGGAGAAGGTCGCAGAAGTCCGGTAATGAGCTTCTGAACCTAACAGCAGAACAATGAAATTAATACAACCGAGGATATTGTGAAATCGTACTTTGGTTCGACCACATCCTCGCAGAAGATCTGCATCCAGTCCCGTTCGTCGACGGCTTTTTGCTTACCTTTGGCGTCCGAGCGTCCACCTTGCGCTCTCTTAGCCTCCTCTTCGTCTATCGACGACATGAGTTGCCACATAGACATCTTGTCCATGAACGATTCCAGGCGGTCTTGCATCGACATGGGTGGCGGAACGGGAGACGATCCTCGCCGCTTACGCTTCTTTATCTTGGATGGGGACAAAGATGGCGGCAATGCAGGAGCAGAACGCATGGGTCCTGTGGGTGCTGGAGCGCCAGGGAGTGAGAGTAGCAGGAAAAGCAAGAGGACCTGGACCTGGACCCTGCTCGGCGTTAATGCTGGTGATATTGTCCATGCTGCGCAACTCACTCTCGTCGCTCCATCTTTTCCAGCCAGCTGTTCTTCCACCGCTCCTCCGCCTCCATCTCAGTCTCCTCGGGGTTCTCGGGGTTCTCTTCGTCGATCTTCTCATGCTTGTACGCGAACCACATCATGGCCTCCTCCGCATCTCCAGAGCCACCATCTTCGTCCAGAATCTGGCTGATACGCGTATGGTACTTCTGCGACGCCGTCCGTGGAGTGAGCAAGAGTGGACGCAAGGCGTCGTGCAGTGGATGCGGTGCGGCGGGTGAGGTGGTCTGTACGGGCCTAATCCGCAGGAAGGATGGCACCAGATAGCGCAGGGACATAATGGACTAAAAATAATACGTCAATGTCGTGTCTTCCAGCGTCGATGTGTAAAGTATAGAGCGGATCTCGGATGACACATGTGCTGAAGATTTGAATCACAGCAATAGAGGACTTTGTATCGAATAGGGTACTTCATGCGCGGTGAGCCCGTAGAATCACAGCGCATACCACGACTGAGATCGGCGCTACGGCATACACACTTCTCATTTCATTGACTGACCACGCTATTCTCCACAAATCTAGAAGCTAACCCCATCTTGCCACAAGGATTTGCCACCCTCTCACTCAATCCACATTCTTGGATAACTCCAGACTCACCTCTGGGAGCCACAGAAATTGAAGGTACACGCGTGCAGCGTACGCCTCCGGGGTCTCGTTAGACGCATCCTCAAACGGATGCTCCTTGCTGATCGTCCGCTCCTGCAGCGCAGTCCACTTCACAGAGCACTCCGCGGGAAAGGCATGTCGCAGAGGTGCAATGGATGCCATAGTCTACGTTGAAGCCGGTTCGGAGAATACAGAGCAGCACGCGAGCAGTCTAGTCGGTTGCCACAAGCCAAAAACGCGTCGGCGACGGAGTCAAAGTGGTCCAACAGTGCGGCTTGAGCGTTCCGGAGAGAATATCGCGGTATATGTATGTCTAGATCTCCAGGCTGTGGTGATGCACGCGGTGTTAACTGCACGGGAGCGAAGATCGGTCAGGCGCGAGCAAGCCTGAGCGCTCTTGAGCGCGTCGTCACTCAACACTGTGACTGACGCGAATCGTCACGCGTTAGATTGTCACAACAAACGCTAACCATAAAATGCCGAAGAGCCGCCGGCTCACAGAATTGCAATATTGCTCGACAGTACATAGACTCTCTCCGCGGCGTTCAATATAGCTGCCCCTAGACTGGTTGATATACAATGCAGTAGATGTGCTCTTACGGCGACGCATCGACCTCACTTGACCACCGTAGGTCGGCTCGACCACACTCGCCACGGCCGCCATAACCTTCCCACCGACGTATATGCACCAAAGATCCAACACCAACGCCCACTCAAGCCGTCGAAAACGCGATGTGTCCGTCACACTAGGACGCGGAACGCAACTCGGATATCTCGAAGCCAAAAAATAGTAAGCGACGGGTACTGGGTACGGACAATGCTGGTGATACACAGAGTGACGTGACACAAACATAGCGAGAGGCTACACGAAGAGTGTAACGGACGGGAATAGGATCCCACGTGTGCGCGATCGGGGGGCAGCAATAGCGGGACGGCACAGGAGAAGGATGGGGGGCGGTGGGACCAACGGAGGGTACTTGGAGCACGGCAGAGTCTAGGGGGTGAGAAGGGGCGAGGCAAGAGAGCGCTGCGAGCAGAAGATGGAGTCCGGGGAGTAGGACGTAGGATGCAGCAGTGCCGCGTCAGAGGCTCTGTATCTGAACGATTAGGAACTGCTTCTCGTCCTGGGGGAGGGGGGGTTGGTTGTGAGCGGATCATTCAGCATGAGGTCATACGACAAAGCCTTACCGTAAATTGCTCGTCTGAATGGCCGATTCAGGATCATGGCCGCCATGCGAACGCGCACGGTCAGCAGCAGAAGGATGAGGAATACCATGTCTACGCACCCTCTTTGTCGTTGTGGAAGGTCTTCAGGAAAGCCAGCAGCTTGTCCTTGTTCCGCCGCAAGATGGTCTCTATCTGTGGCGGTTTCTTGGGGTTTGCCACGAAGACCTGTACGCCGCGACATCCACATGTCTCAGAACTCGACTGTCCCCAAAAGCAGGTGATGCGACTGAATTACCTTGAATACATGGAAAGCCTCGAATTGGATGTTCTTGCTCTTGTCTCTGAGCAAGTTCATCATCATCTTCAGGTTAGCCTCGCTAGCGATGTAGCGTGTCATCACTGTGAAGTTAGCTCGGTCAAGGAGGATCTCGCCGAGCAACTTGAGTGACTGTCGCTTCGTGACGTAGTTGTTTGACATGATCAACGTGGTGAAAGAATTGAAGAACTTCGTGGACGACAAGTGAGCGTTAGTCCGTACAACAGCGTACTACAGATACACACTCGGTCATAATTCTTGTCCAGGTATTCTGCAACCATTGTCTTGTGGCGCGTGAGGGTCTCCTTGAGATTCGCAAATGCATCGCAGGAAACGCCAAACGTCGTCGTCTCAATATAATGAGGGAACGTATAAAATCTGGCAAACGGTCAGCTAGCGGTAATAGAGAGTATGAGTACACAATACTCACTGGTCAGAGTGCAGCAGTATTCGTGCGAGCGGCTCGTGCCGGAGCATCTCACGAAGAACCATGCCTGTGTTCAACGCCACGTCCTCATCCCTGTACCCATCGAACGCAGCGAACAAGACCTCTCGATGAGTGTTCAGGTACTCCACCGTCGGGAAGCGGGCACCGATCTGCCGTCGAAGCAGGTTGTTGAATATCTGGACAACATCCTTGCGGGCCTCAAATTCGAGCCGGCGAATATTCAGCAATAGCTGGTATAGAAGATCTGTGGCGTAGACCTCTTGGGCTAGCTGTGCGACCAGTTCTGGTAGCGGGTCTGTATGCCTAGTGAGAATGGCACGGAGAGCGATTCCATCATTTGCATACCGCCATCACCATACAAGATCGCTTTGATCTGCTGGAGATTCTTTGCAGCATCCTCGTTGGCCTATAGCAGAACATGTTCACCAACGGGTGTATAGGCAAACGGACATGCACACCTTTCTCCTGCTCTCCGTTCCTGGCGGCCCCGCATCGAGCTTGGGGAGTGCGTCTCGCAGCCCTCGGACAAGATCTGGTGGGGTGCGCGGCTTGGATTTGAAGAAGTTCATAGCGAGAAAACGACAGGATGTACAGCAGCGAACGACGTGAGGGGAGGAGGGGAGAACGAGAGAGCTATCTCTGTATTAGTGCCAAGGGAACTACGTCAGGTTACCGCCAGGAACGGCTGTATGTGGATAGCTGACAGAGGCTGTGAAGGTTGCCAGTGCCGCCTATGCTGACGCTGCACCGGAAACAGGTATCTCTTCAGTTGCTCTCAGTCTCCGGATGACGGACGATGATCAAGCCCCGCCTGAAACCAAACCACTTCAACACGCGCTGCTATCTCGGCGCTACCATTCGCCAGGGCGCTTCGCGACATTACAGGCCGCTCACGTGATCCCTTCACGTGGGGCGCGTCCGGTCGCGAGCAGTCGCGACTCGTTGCTCGGTGTGCGTCGGCACCGGAGCATTGGCCACAGTAAACAACCTGCCTTTTGGCGCCCTCGCAAGCCCATCGGTGACATGGCGAAATCATCTCGAGCTCGAAGCTCCCACGTGCCATGCTTTATCCTGTCGAATTGGCCTTCCGGCTTCAACCGAATGATGGGTCTTGTAGAAAAGCGAGAAGACACAGGCTGGATGCGGGTGAAGGGGCTGTCACATGCCTCACCGTGAATTCAAATGATAAGGGACTGAACGCCCACAGACCAACACACATTTGAATGATACAGCGTACGTTATAGTGCACTCGTGAGTGTGAGGCCCGAAATGTAAGCTATTATTAGCAGTCATCCCACCATCTCTTAGCATTAAGGTTATGCCACAAAGAGCCCGCGGTTTCGTGGAACATCGACAAGCTGATCCTGAAGAGTACCTGTCTCCCCGGCCTATCCGCAACCCGGTGTGTATTAGAAAAGCCTCCTCTCCCATCCAGTAAGGGCAAGATCAGGCCAACCGCAAAAGCCTCTGGCAAGGCCTCCTGGCAGCTGCTGGAGCCCTAGCCACTCGGTGACTTGTAAAGACAGATCCGTGCCCTGTCCTCGGAGAGATGCTCTCACTCTGCCAAGGTACCTGTGCAGTCTTTGGTCGGAAGTGGTGCCCTTTGCTCGTTTCTCCCCTAGGAATATTACGATCAGTCGGTCTGAACACATTGACCGCAGACAGCGTTCGCAAGGTCGGTACCTAGTAATTATGCTGTCCCTGGGACTCCACGACATGATGAGATACCTCGGGATAGATACCTACTTCTAGGTCGCGTACTGACATTTTGTTAGAACACAGATGCAATGCCTCGGTTCAGCATACTGTTCGCAATCTATCGCGACTGTGGCGCCTGTCTCGTTCTCCCGAGCGAGATCCAGCGCCTTGTTCCGAGGCAGGTTGGACAACGCGTGCATGGACGCTGCAGGAGGTAGTCGCGCCGCTGCGCGTGTGCATCCTCTTCGAGAGCTTTAAATCTCGATCCAAACCCGAGCGTCTATGTGGTGGTGATCGGGGGCGTCTGCTCCGTGCGCCGCTGGCCAACGTTCTGGCGAACGCCGTCCTGTACTCCGGCGCCGCCGGAGCGCGCCCTGTAGGACGTGGTGGCGCTGCATGGAGCTATGAAGGAGCAGGCGACCTGGCGCAGCGTTCTGATGCGCGCGGATGTCCTCGCGTCCTGTCGACATTGTCTTCAGCAAAAGGAAGACGTCCTTAACGAGTCCGCTGGACTACCGGTCTACAAGATGGCCTGAGCGAGGACCTGGAGCGCAAGCAACCCGTCGCTCACGCCATGGCCGTGTGTGTCCGGCGTCGAGACGCCAGGCATACCCATACGCCAGGTAGACGCTCACAGACGCCCCCAGCCTAGCGGCCGTGGGCGACGCTGGGTATCTGCACTTCTCCAGTTACGCAATATCAGTTGAATCCGTGACTTGCGGGAGGATCTTTCTGCCCAGCGTGGACGGTACATTGTGGTCCATCACCCGGGACGCGCAATGTTTTTTAATTTTAGTGTTTTATTCTATGCTTCGATGGAAGAAGACCCGGCCTTCATTGGATTGAGCGGGCGATTGTACCGTAAGGGCGATGGTCGTCGAGGAGCATGCTCTGGACATATTCCGGGAGAAAGCGTGATGCTGCCTGGATGTCATCTTCATGGACTGGAATGGCGGCGACAGGTCGGTACGATCTTGTCAAGTTAGCGAAGCGGCTTAGCCCTCCCTTAAACATCAAGATGAGAAATTCTTGCCAAGCCCGTATATCTATACTCACATGAGTGGATGCGGATTTGTCAAGTTTAGAAGTTCTCCGCCAGGGGGGGGGACAGACTGAGTGAACTGCGATTGCTTGTGGTGAGGCGTGCCTCGACGAGTTGCAGACGATACTAGTAGCATCAGTAAATCCGAAAGTCAGCCTATGATAGGTTGGCAACGGGTACTGCCATATTACAGTATCTTTCAAGATCTACATGTCAATATTAGCGCATCATTTAACGCACCGCCAGTGAGCAGATGGACTCACCTACAATCATGGCGACCCAGTAAGGTATGCCACTAATTGATGCGTACTTGATCGTGATCTACGACCCGGAAATCCATTGTTCATGAGCCGCTTTCCCGATAATGTTGAGCTACCGACCCCAAGTGTCCGCTATCCTACACTGGCAGGTTACCACTATCCGTCTCTTCTATGATCGACAGATCGAAGTTCTCAAAACTTAGCATTTTTGAAGAGATGGCGACAGGCAATGCAATGTAATGCATCGCACCCCCGTCAACGCAGTAGGGAGCGGGGCCCTTCAATGCGTTACCAAGGGGGTCAATGCAGTGTACACTCTACAGACGTAAACGTAGATGGACGTTTTTTCACCGGTTGGCGTACTGGATTGCCTCCACGTGCCTGAACGGGTGCTGCGGCGAGTGGAACACGTCCTGATACGTGATGGTTGTCCAGCCCGCCATCCTGATCGAATTCACTTTGAACGCTCCTCTACGCGCAAACCGCCCACCATTTCGCGTTCGCGCTCGCGCAGCACCCGAGCATCACCACCCTCAACGTATGCCAGACAGCCAGAGCAGTGCATGGAGCCAAGCTCAGCGTTGGGGGGGAGGACGAGCGATCTTGCCGACGCACAGCATGTGCTCCAACATCACATCCATCAAGCGAGGTGAAACGCCGTCACGCGCGTAGCCGCCATGCTATATAACTCCGGAGCAGGCTCCAGGAGCGCCAGGCTGCGCCTCCCCTTCGACCATCACTTCGCCGTTCCCCCCTTTCTTTGGTCTTTCTGTTTCTGCCTTTCTTTTTTGCTGCTTTCATTTGCAGTTGTAACGACCCCCACGCGCGTGCATCGCATCGCACTCTCACGACCTTCGTTGACCTAACTTGCCAAGTTAACGCAAACGAATACTCACGATGGGCTACGTTCGCTCCCGCAAGTTCTGCTGCTGTCTGCCGGTCAGATTCGGTGTCTTTTGCTCTGCCCTCCTTGGTGTTGCCTACAGCACAGCGTTCAGCGTGCTTGCATGGATTGAAGTCCACAGACATGGTGAGTATTTGTTTTGATTAGAGACCACGAGAGCATAATATTGATCGATCGGGATTTCATTTAGCGACTCACCAGCTTGACCTCGGAAAGGATGAGGTTGTTGGGCTGGTTCTTTTCGCCCTCGCGTACACATTTATGCTACTATTCTCGATCATGGGGCGAGTCAACATGCTTAGGCGGTGCTCTGTGCGGTGCTGACAGCAGTTGCAGTCTGATTGGCTCGATCGGGGGTGTGCGCGGGTTCGTCAAGGGTTACGGTATCAGCTTGACCATCAACACCGCCATCACCATCGGTATTGGCATCTTCTGGTGCTGGAGGCTGTTCCACACGGATCGCAACTCTTGCTCGATCCAGGAGGAGAATGATGCTGACAAGGTCGCCCACTGGGTCTGCCAGAAGGGCTTCGACATCATCCGCATTGTCCTAGTCATCGTCATGGTCCTTGTTTGGATCTTCCAGATTGGTGAGTGTCTTGCCACCTGTTATTGCATGAGCGATGGTTGATGGTCGTGTGCCTGTAGCTGGCTGTGCTATTGTGTTCGACTACGTCGGCCAGCTGAACGAGGAGCTCGAGATGGACCAGCAGGCGTATGGCGCTCAGGATGCGCCGGAGGTCAACCCGTACCCCGCGCCCGCCGGCACAATGATGCGCACGACCTACGACGCGCAGGCGACACCGATCATGAAGAGTGCTTACGAGCAGGGCAACTGGCAAGATGGCGCAAAGCCGCAGTATCCGTTCACACAGCCGGAGAACGCGTACGGCCGCGAGGGCGTTTGAGCGGGAGGAGTGTAGTTTGTGGAGTGCACATTCGTTGCTTGCAATTGTACATGACTCGCATATTCAGAGTGGACCAATGATTAATGATTTGATGGTCGAACTACACGGGTCCGAGTGCAAAATATTTGGCGTTGGCAAGTTGCTGCAAGCCTGTAGTCTGAACAAGTGATGATGGTTGGCCACCTAAATCTTCACCCAGAAGTTATGCGACAGGAAGTCCAACAATAGAAATAGTCAAGTGTGCTGTATCGGGTATGATGCGTTGCAAGGAGATATCTGGTCGGACGGCGTGAAACCCGGCGAGTTGAGAGTCCGGAAAAGGCAAACAGGGGGAGCACGAGGTTAGAAAAGGAAGAGCCGTGATTGGCCCGGAAATGAACGGGGCGGCGGAAACGGCCGAAGATGTCCGCTCGGTGTTCCTCCCACCAGTGACGACTTGGCTGCATTTCACAAGCTCCTTAATCCCTTGCACCTACTTTCCTCGCCATGCAGTCCGTCGTCGCTCGCGTGCCCATCATGCGCAACAGCGCACTCAAGTCCTCGGTGCGGACATTTGCCTCCTCGTCCGCGCGCAGCCAGGCGGTGCCCACCGAGAAGCCTGTCCTGAGCAAGCAGTTCAAGATCTACCGCTGGGTGAGTCCATGCGCGGGCTCGCACGACTTGTGCAGCACATTGGACTTATTCGAGGCGCTCTGCGCATATACAGAACCCAGACGAGCCAGCGAAGAAACCAACGCTGCAGACGTACAACGTCGACCTTAACCAGTGCGGTCCCATGGTGAGTCCGATCTATCTCCCATGAAGTACGGGGCTCTCTGCGCGGCTGGCGTTGTTGTCGAGATGTTGGTGGTCACAGTGGCTGTCAAAGAAGGCACAACCCACACACCGAGAGCTCAGATGGTTTGGAGTGTTGAAGTTGGACAGTTCGCGTGGGCTATGCCCACAGTTTGGCGGGGAGGCTGCACGACATGCAGTTAGCGTAACTGTTACGCGTACTGTGAAGGCCTTAACCCATCTCTATCAGCCTCCGGACCATTTTCAATGCTGTACTACAAATTGAACCTTCGCGCTGTCGTCTGCACCTTCATGAGGCTGTACAGTTTCCTGACCTATATCTACGTCAATGCAGATTCTCGATGCCCTCATTAAGATCAAGAACGAGATGGACCCCACGCTCACCTTCCGCCGCTCTTGCCGAGAGGGCATCTGCGGCTCGTGCGCCATGAACATCAATGGGCAGAACACGCTCGCGTGTCTCTGCCGCATCGACCGTGACGCGAACAAGGACACCAAGATCTACCCACTCCCGCACAGTTCGTCTGCCCCTTCCTCCACGTCCCGGTTGGTCTCACAGTAGGCTGTATGCGACAGTGTACATCGTCAAGGACCTCGTACCAGACCTCACGCTCTTCTACAAGCAGTACAAGTCGATCGAGCCCTATTTGAAGAATGACAACCCTCCCGAGGGTCGCGAGCACCTGCAGTCGCCTGAGGACAGGCGCAAGCTTGACGGGTGGGTGCTATATGCGTGCCTGTGGTGTCTATAGAGTAACAATGCTGACCGCTCGTACATCATCAGGATGTACGAGTGCATCCTGTGCGCATGCTGCTCAACATCGTGCCCAAGCTACTGGTGGAACCAGGACGAGTACCTCGGCCCGGCAACGCTTATGGCTGCCTACCGCTGGATGGCTGACTCACGAGTGCGTGCCACCCCATGCTATCCTCCCTCCCAAAGACGCTAATACATGAGTGCAGGACACATACGGCGCGCAGCGCAAGGAAAAGCTCCAGAACGAGCTGAGCCTGTACCGTTGCCACACGATCTTCAACTGTGCGCGCACGTGCCCGAAGGGACTTAACCCCGCAGCGGCGATCGCGAAGATCAAGCTTGAGCTCGCCGCGGACTAAGCGTCATCTTTACATGACCCAAGGCGGCGGGGACGAGGCTGTAAGTCCGGTGCGCCGTCGCGGAGGAGCGTCAGGGCTGACGCGCGAACAGCAGCGGGATCCCGTGCATGAGAGGTATCTGGCAGCCTAGAAGATACGTCGGGGCCGGGGCGGTAGGCTCGTGTACGGCTTCGGCTTGCATGTGTTCATTAGTTGAATTGGGACTCGGATGCATGATGGACTGTTGTACAACGTGGGTCTAAGCTGCGTGGGGCCTTCCAGGTTCGAAGGAGGTTAGTGCATCCATGCTTTCTTTGAGGGTGATACCAGACACGCGATGAAGTTGCCAATTACTCCTGTGGTACACACTTAGTCGGAGAGCCATGAGCTTGGTCTCCGTAGGGTTATGGGCTCCTCTGACGGCTGTATAGCCCTCAGTCTTTGCATGCTGACCGTCGACAAGAGGCGATCTTCAGCAACCCTGGTGGCTGTTCAGGCAGAACTCAAGTTTGGGCTTGCTGTCCAAACACAAATTCAGAGTAAACCATTCCCGTTCCGTTTTGAATCAATATACAATGCTCCTGAAAGTGTTTATTCCACCTGGGTGATCACGACCGTCCCGCCCTTCCACCTACTCACTCCTCCTCTGAATCCGACTCCGCTGGGAGCGGCAGCGCCTCGCCCTCGATATGCTCGTGCGAGATGACACCGTGCCTGAGCGCCGCCCGCGCACGCGCAACGATGTCCTCGACCTTCGCGCCGCTCTCGATCGTGAGGAGCACGCCGTGGTGCTCGATGCCGCCGTCATCGGTCTCGTGGTAGGGCCCGTGGAGGCCGGTCGTGTACAGCCAGACAATGATGCCGTTGCGAATCTTGCCGTCGTCGCCCGCGCGCCCGCGGTTCTTGATGTACTCCGTGAACGGGGTGTAGTCTTCCGCGTCGGAGATCTCGTCGAGCGATATCTGCGCGGCGAGGAGCGCGGCGATGAGTGGGGCGCACTCGGTGCCCGTGGAGCGCGCGATCGCGTACGGGAAGATTTCGCGGGTTTGAGGGCCGTACATGATGTCTCTGTCTGCGGCAGGTTAGGGTGATGTGTGATCGGAGAGGGAAATCTGTTCATACCTGAATGCGGGGTACTAGGAGGGGAAGGGTGTTGGCAATCGATGGTACGTGGTGCAAGAATTCGGACGCCTTCTTGTAGTTTATGTAGGGCGGATTGCTGATGTCAGCGCTGAAAAGGGGCAAATATGTACAGCTACGAGTGCGATGCGAGTGATGCTCCAGACAGACTGCCCGGTACGTAAAGAGACAGAGCGCCGTGTTTGAGTCAACTGATAATGCAGTGAAGCAGGAGACGAGCTGATGCAGATCACCCTGATCCGCTTAGCTGATGAGCGAGACTAGGTGCGCAGCTGCTCGAATCGACATTAGTTGTACATTGTACGCCGTCCGAGCAGTATTAGAGCAATATCGTCAACTCGAATTGTAGCGCAGCAGCGTAAAGCAGCGTCGAGCATATATAGCAAGGCTGAGCTCTATCTCACCCAATTGATCCGCCCTCGATGATCGATCAATCCGCACTTACATTCTTGGTATGCGAGTTTCCTCATCGGGCACGTGGACATGCCCGCCAATTGATGTTGTCATCCCGCACAGCCCGGTCGGAGACGGTCAAACAGTGATTTACACAACATTTCCACCGCTTGGCGGTCAGCTCTAGGCCGCCGCAGCAACATGTTCATGCGCAAGCACGCCAGCCCTCAAACAGGATCTCGCCCGCTCCACCACATCCGACAGGCGCGCGCCGCGCTCGATTGTCACCAACAGGCCGTGATGTTCGATATTTCCCTCTTCTGTCTCGTGATACGTCCTGTAGAGCCCTTCTGGGTACAACCAGACCAGGTGCCCACTCTGCGTGATTCCATTTTCGTCTGGCATGCAGTGGTGGATGACGTATTGTTCGAAAGCCACAAAGTCTTCCGCTGAGGAGACCTCGTCGATATTCAGTGGTGCGGCGAGAAGCGCGGCCAGGAGAGCAGGGTACGCCGTCCCGGTAGAACGGGCGACTGTGTAAGGGTATCTGGAACTGCGGTCGGAATCTGACATCCTATGGTTCCGTCAGCCCGACATTGACATGCGATAAAAACATAGCATGCACCGATCACTCCCAGCAGTTGAAGAATTTCAAGTGTAAATAGACGTATTTGAGAGCAATGGCAAAACGCAGCAAGACTCGATTAGATAGTGATCATACGTAGTTTGCCCGCGAGTTAGCTCGTGCCTTGTACCCCTGCCCTAAATATTGTCTCCTCGTCGCCTGTCGCTCTGTATCACAACAGGTTTGTCAATTAGCGTTACAGCCAAACCAATATTGATAGACCTCCCCTCGCAAAGTATACACTTCGGCAAAGTGGGGCAGAAGCTCGCGGCAGGAGTGCAGAGACGGCGACGATCAGAGACGGGCTACTGAGTAGACGCTTGCTGTGATCCCCTCGTCTTCCGACCATGGTCGGTGATCGTCGATATGTGCATCCTGCTCAGAAAGGATTGGTTGTATACATGTCTCGCTCTATGGCTAATGATCAGAAGCTACTGGTATCACGTCACAGTAGGGTGCAGAGGTCGTCGCTGTATGCCATTGCTTGCGGAAGCAGACGGACAGCAGACCTCGACAAACGGACGGATCTTGAGGCATTGGTGTAGATTACTTTATATGGGTGCCGCGAACAATCTCTGAGGAATGAATGCACGTCACCCTGAGGTGCCGAGCGCCATTATGCTCCATGCCGCCTATCTGTACTTCTCGCGAGGGAGGTCTATCAATATTGGTTTTGCTGTAAGTTCTTGCGATCTACATTCACTGGCAGAACCTCTGTCTGGGTGGACCGTAGACATCATTTACGTTCGGCAAAGGTTTTGTAAACAACAGATACGATTTCTGCTAACAAGAACATTGTCTCAGAGTCCTTAACATTACGAAGAACGGGCTCGCTTCACTCCTGACCTGTGCATATGGCGTGGCGGAGTCTTTACCATCCAGCTGGCTTGCCCATAATGAAGTAGCATGACTCCAGATACCTGCTCTCATAAAGCGAGGACACGGTTCACGGCTTGTCGCAAACATACATGTTGCTGAAGGTTGTCATCTTTGTCCACTCCTGTCGATTTTGAACTGCGCACGACAATTCATTGCATGGCTTGTATCGTAGATGCCCATCGGTCTATGGGATACTGTTGAGCTCTAGGTGTGCAACAACATTCGCTTTATCGAGTCACTAGTGCGTGTGGTAAGTCCACTAGCCTATTCCTCTTCCGCGAAAGCTCCACATTCCAGATACCTTTGAGGAGCTGTAGTAATGTATTCGAATTGTAGAAGACATTAGTGTAACGCGACTTAAGATACAAGGGGCCGGATGGGAAACGGAATGCATAGCCTAACGGGCTATTCCTGTGTGGGAGGGTGAGATGCAGCAGTCGTCCGAAGATGGTCGATGGTCGTAAACGACAGTAGAAGCTAGCTAGAAGAGGAAAAGAAGTAGTATGACCGTGGTTCGTGATGATATGTATGTGACGACACGAACAGACTACGACCAAATCACGACGGTTTTCGAATATGGGTAGCGGAGCGAAGAAACAAAAGAGAGAAGAAACCGACTTTTCATCGAGTTTGCCGTCGCGGACTGGATGCTGCAGGTACGTCTGTCGTCCATTTTCCCCGGATCCCGTCTTCTAGCTCCTGCGCGCTTTCCTCGACCACATCCGAGCACTCTCGGGAAGGGAAACAATCGTTGCTTGGCGACCGTCTGTGACGAAAGACCCAAGAGCCAGCTCCAGCAAGTGTAGATGCTTTGATTTGCGTGCCTCGTCAGGCAGATCATGGAAGGTATCTGGGCACGGTTTGTCGTCCAACGTATCCTCGCTCTCTACTCGAGTGAGATGATCTCTATAAAGTTCATGGAATACCCCATGCAAAGGCCCATCTGGGGATGGAGCGCGTGGGGAAAGGGATATTGAAGGAGGGGACCAGAGTATACGACTTATCTCCTCGTCGACAACCACGCGGAGATCTTGAGTGATGATATCAGGAGATGTTTGACCAGAATCAACCCTGCGTCGTCGATTGTCTACACGCTGATGGGCCTTGAGATTGGCGATGATTGAACCTGCACCTGGACGCTGCTCTCGTTGACCTTGCCAGCACATGCTCATCAAATGCCGTATGTCCGCGGGGATACCCAGAGTACGCCGGGGCCGGTCACCGCGCATTACCCTCAAAATAACGGATGCATCCTATGCTATCTCGTGGAATGGGATGCGACCGGTGTAGAGCTAGCTATGCTTGTCAGATGAGGGCTTGTTGACATAGTATTCTGACCAACCTCTAGCATGACCATCCCGAATGCGTATATGTCGCTTTTTTCTGTGTGTCTGGATAAAGTCCCGAAGAGTTCGGGATTCAGCAGCTCTGGTGCCATCCATCGTGTTGTGCCTTTGCCGTGGTGGTGTTGGGTTGTCGAGGTTGTCTGTGTAGACGTGAAATCGCGCATGAGGGCAGCTAAGCCAAAATCGGCTAAGAGCGCGTGTCCTTGGTCGTCAATGAGTATGTTTGCCTGGGATATACGGCTATCAGCGATACATAATTGAGATGTCATGGTACTGGAATGCCTACACCCTTTAGATCCCCGTGTACCATGGGCACAGAATGCAGATAGTCCAGCCCATATGCAATGTCTAGGAGCTACGAAGGACTGATCAGTGGATTTTCTCAAGATAGTGAAATGCATGGAGGCTACCAGTGCAGTTCTATCAATAGAAGATTTACAGCGTGCGAATTGCACAACATCGCCATTCCTCAGCCACGGGGAGATCATGCATAAATTTGACCCTATGTCGCTCATGCCAATTAGAGGAAGAATGTTTGGGTGGCGTAGTCGCTTCCAATGAAGGAATTCGCGCGTGAAAATCTGTAAGTAATCAGAATAGTATTGCTGATATTGTGATACAGGACTACCTGTCGAACCTTCTCCACATCATCATTTGCGAACAATCGGATCATTTTGAGAGCAACATCTTGGCCGTGTAATTGGCCAAGCCAGATATCTGCAAATCCTCCATGCGCGACTGGCCACTCGCCCAACCTCTTGATGGAATGATGTGGAATATGTGAAGACTGTGGGAGTAATCCTGTTCGATTGCACAATGAGTCTAAGACCTTCATAGCAGTCTTCTGAATCTCATTAGGCATGTTGTCTACCACCTGAGAGGTTGCTGATGTCAATTCAGCAGTATAATGAGAGAATACACTTCTCTTTTCACCTGATCCAAGAGCTCGATGCAGGACGCTATATGGTGCTCTAATCCCTCCATCCACCTGACGCCCTCACGATCAAGTAGAATAGCCGTGACGGCGTCGAGAATGGAGATTCCAGCATCCTCCGCCTTGACATACATGAGTCTTGTATGTCGCTGCATCACAAAATATAAGATAAAAATACTTACCTCGAGCTCTATGTAACTGTGGTCATAATGATATATATGGGTAGACTTTCGCCGAAGTTGTTGACTGAGTCTCTCCAGGGCATTCATGAAAGAATCGCAGACGTTCCGAATCTTCCCGCGTGATGTGTTCTGGCTCCGCATGCTGCTCCCTGCGAAGTATAATGAGTTTGTGATTGTACAAACGGTGATGAGAGTGTCGAGGAACTGACCCGAAGACGGAGATGGAAGGTAACCTAGGATATATAAGAACGAGTCACGTAAGGCAATTGAGACCTTATTAGATGCATAACTGTAGTATCACCTTCAAAACCGTGATCCTGATGCTCATTCTCAGTCCATGTGCTTGTGATTAGATTTGCGCTACTACCTCCCCCTGGAGACAATGATGTTGCGGTTCCATTCTCGGCTAAGCTGCGGTACGAGCAGGGATGCGCGAAGCAATCTACGAGTATCACCACGCCAGAGACAATTTGCGACATCCTCATTGTCTCTCCTGAGATCTTCTGGAATATTACTTTGAGCTTATCAGTCACCTTTTGTTAAGAGAAACAAACATTCTAGTTTCTTACAGTCAAGTTTCTCCCCAGTGGCTTGACATAATGAAACATCTATACCGGTGCTGCCCATGAATGTGAAAACGACTTCACGCCAGATCTGGCAAGAACACGAGCTCGAATCTGAACAAATGCGAATGCTGATAATAAAGCATAGCCATGCTTGAGCAATTGAGCATGAAACGTACTCAGTGGTAACAGAATTGCAGCATATCTGTCGAGCAAGTACCACAACTCATCGATGAGTTCTTGCAGCGGCCTGTGATTTGTAAGCAGTGAAGTAGCTATATAATTCCGAGCGGCACGGCGTGAACTGTTCCGCCTTTTCCTGACCACCTGTGTACTGAGAGCAATTATTTTCAGTATCTGAGCTAACATTCGAATACGAATGGGATCTGGCTGAGTTTTTGAGTCATTGAGGTAAACAGAGAGCAAACTGAGTACGAGCTGAACATGTCGGAAAACGTCGACCAGGAAGCGGTTAACACCTCGGTCGCCCTTTGTTTCCTGAAGCAGAGCATTAGTAAAGGCAAATACGGTACATAAGCGCATACCATTGCCAGTAATAGCAAGGCACCAAGGAGCGACGCTTTATTCTATTCATTCATAACATTGAGTGGAGTACAGTTTGATGTCCGGGCCTGAGCTACTCACGGCATCAGTGAAAATGACGTCTTCGGGAAGACCGATAAACATGCTGGCGATCCTATTCAATGTGTTGGAAAGGTGCGTGCGCTCTATGGAATATGTTTGGACCGAATTCCAATGTTCGTTGAACTTTGTCATAAACTCGTCTGGAGTCTCTATCCTCAGGGATTGGGCACCAGAAGGCGATCTCCCGATCAGAGCAACGTAGTATCTGAGGGCGTGCTGCCAACTGAGTGACAAGCGCGCTGTTAACCCCCCTTCGCAAATGTCAGATGGTATACGATCCAAAGGGGTATGAACAGACCTAGCTCCCATGATACTTCACCCAATTGCCACCGTAGCTTCGGGATAAGGATACTCACGGAGGCATCTTGCGCGATGACTGGCCATGAGGGGGGTTTTCCTAAAGCCCTTAGCATTTGTGACGGGACACAGTGCCTCAATCACCTACGACATCTTGATGCCACGAGACTCTTACGTCCTAGTCCCATCATAATCACGATGGAGGCGAGGATATCAAAGAATATTTCCCGAGATGCGAATGCGGGATTCTTTTCACGCAGACTCCCTTCCGCTCTAGGCACGCGCTCGAACAGATCGATGATACTGGCGTGTTCCAACGTCGTGGTATCTATCTGTAAAACCGTCCAGGCTGTCGTTTTAGCTAGTTTAAAACACAACGCACCAGAGCAAACCCTGCCACCGAACGAAACAAACATCGGGTATACGTGTTCTTCAGACAATCGCATAAGACCCCATCAACAATGTGTATAATACGAATACTCACCCGCTTAACCTCGCCATTGTTGGCCATGCTGAGAAGCCAATCTATATCGTCTAGAATGGGTTCCAACGCTGGTACGAGTGGCTTCTGCGAAGGCCGCAGATTGAGAAAGGATGATATCATCGCTTTGGTGTTAAGATCTTGTTGACCCGGAAGCGCATTGTGAAGATCAATGCCTGTATCCTGGTTGTATCGGTCAAGCGCATGATACCAGACGACAAGGATCGGTTGAGTAGGTTCGGACGCCACAGGTTCTCCCACCATCGAGGACTGAGTAACTGCAGAAGAAGGATAGAGGTGCAGACGGGCTGAAGACGATGACGAATTTCCAATGCTGATTATATTCACAATGAAACGCCGGCGTCTGTTACCTGAGGGCGATACCGTGGCAGTGAATAAATGTTCGACCGACCATCTACATTGCTAGAAGGCATTGCCTCTGAGCACAAAGCATCCCACGATGTAACGTGGGTTCCCTGACAAGAATTTCCAGGCTATGTGTGCCAACCGATGCGATGCTATCAGCCATCCACAAAGCGCAGCAGAAGCAGGGAACTCGCTTCTGTTTGTATCAAACATGCTGCGGATGTGTTTCGGGAGAGATCACAGCTTTGATTGACTTTCGCAGGCGATCGAAACCGTTTTCGTATTCGTGAAGGTGCCGTCGGGAAGCCGCTTTTTACCTATTTGGAGTTGACTCACGTAAAGCTGAAATAACTTGCACGATGGACCTGACATGGAATCAGTATTCGTGTCGTTTGTCTAGTGATGAGAACATTGAATGCCACGCAGAGAAAGACAGATCAAGAGATGTGTTGCGTTCTGAGTACATGATCAGACTGTTCCTGTATAGACGGCAACCCGTTGACGCGATGTCTAGGCATCAGCCGAGGAGTATGGTATACCGTAAGATCAATATCCAGGACCCGGACGGTGGCTATGCTATAGATCGTCGACCACATTCAGTGGGCTTTATTGCCCTATTCCACGCAGCATGGAATAAGGCACGAACTGTGAGTGAAGAGGTGCAAGCCGGACGAAAGGTTCCGAGGAGATCGAAGACATGCCTATTTGTCCGATCGACCTCAATGCCTAGCGCCCTGACCTCACTCCTAAGACGCTCCAAGGACCGGTACTGTGGCCGGTGTGGGCTTGCCGAGTGCCAATTCCAATAGTTGCAGTTGCGCTCGTCGGTGTGGTTCGTCGGAAGAGTCGTTTAAAGTGGTATTCATGCCTTTCTTGGGTTCCAGCAGGCCTAAGGCATGCCACTGTGTTGCAAGCGCCGTGGTAGGGCTCTCGGCTAAACATTGCGAGAGGTGATCTGATATTGTGTAAACTCGTAATGGCTCTGATGCACGTGTGGCAGATGGGGAAGCATGAAGACAGTCGAGCACATCCGACAGGAGAGTATCCTGTGGCTCATCGCAGTCAACATGGACAAGATCATTTTGTTTCGCCACACTGACATATGCAACGTCTTGAATATCGCTCGCGGTGGGGTAATGTTCGCGGAGTCGCACACTGGCTGCAAGGCTATCTAGCACCATTTTCGCAGTTGGGCGGCGCCCTCGTTCTCTCCAACACAAGCTCATCAGGTGCCAAATATGGTCGGGTATGCCGACACTACGTGGAGGCCGACCACCGTGCATGACCTTGAGAATGACTGTGGCGTCCCATGTGATCTCATGAAAGGGGATGCGACCTGTGAAGATCTACGTGCACTGTTCAAAAAAAGCCAACGGAGATGTGCATCCGACATACCTCCAGCATAACCATGCCCAGAGCGTAGATATCTCTTTTCGTCGTATGCCGAGTAACACCTCCAAAGGCCTCTGGATTGAGTAGCTCAGGCGCCATCCATCGAGTCGTTCCCCGGCCTTGGTTATACTGGGTAGTCGTGATTGCCTGTGACGTCGTGAGATCACGCATGACAGCGGCGAGACCGAAATCCGCTAGGAGTGCATGTCCGTCATCGCTAACCAGGATATTTGCCTGAGAGAGGGAATCGCTCATATTCAGCGCTCTGCGAGCAAAGATGAAATACTCACACTCTTGAGATCTCCGTGCACCATGGGCACGGAATGGAGATAATCCAAACCAGAGGCTATATCTAAAACCTACAGACACCTACGGGTCAAACCAACTCTGAGCCGCACGCTTTGGAATACAATACAGAACCAATGCATATCGGTCGGCAGACGTATTGCGCCGAAGATAATAGCTCACGTCGCCGTTCTTCATCCATGGAGAGATCATGCAAGGGCATGTAGCCATATCGCTCATACCCAGCAGAGGCAGGATGTTTGGATGGTGCAGTCTCCGCGAGTGGAGAAACTCGCATATAAAAGCCTAGCTCTTGTCAGATATGTGTTCCGGAACACAGACAAGAAAGGGGCCTCACCTGTCGGACTTTCTGAGCGTCGTCGCTCGTTGACAGACGGATGATCTTGAGTGCAACGTCTTGTTCTGTTACCCGGCCGAGCCAAATGTCCGCAAACCCTCCGTAAGCGACTGGCCATTCGCCAACACGGGTGACCGAATCACTAGAGATGTAAGATGATTTCGGGAGAATTCCTGTTCTGGAACAAAGGGAAACCAGCGCATTGATGACAACGTTCTGGTACTGATTCGCGCTTGGCATCAAGTCTATTATCTAAGACCATATCAGTACATCGAAACCTCACGCATCGCAGTGTCATCCTAACCTGGTCTAGGAGCTCTATACAGGATACTGTGTGGTGTTGAAGACCATCCAACCACTTGACACCGTCACTATCAAGAAGGACCGTCGTGACCGCATCGACGATAGAATATCTGGCGTCGTCCAACAGCACCTATGCAACCACCGTTAACGTGGTAGGCGCAAGGCAGGCATAACGAACGCACATCAAACGTTATGTGATCCGCCTTCAAGACCTGAGGATTTGACTTGCGCTGGATTTGATGGCTCATTCCGTGTAGCACGCTCAGAAATGTTTGGCTAACATCACGAAACTGCACATCTGATAGATTTTGGATACGCCTGGTCGGGTCTAGTGGTAAATTACTACACTAAGTCGGTGGTGTACATGAGGGTGAAGCTTAGTACGAACCTGGTGATGGAAGTCTACGACGGCGAGATCTTTCATTAGAAGCAATTTCCATTGAAGCAATAACTTCACGCGCCTGCAAAAAGATAATCTGAGTCTGGACCACAATGATGACGTGTAGGTCACAAACGCTCTCATTTTCTGACTCCGAATTGTCAGAGCGCTCTTCGTCCGAATCCTGACCAAGTCCAAAAGCAGACGCGTAAAGGGCCGAGCTAGGATAGGTGCACGGGTGCGCAAAACAGTCGTGCGATAGAGCATTTAGAGATTCATGTTCTGTGGCCTTCATTGCCTCTCGCGAAAGTTTCTGGATAAGCACTGATTGGAAAAGAAATTAGACAAATACGCTGGTAAAGGGGCGGCTGCTCACAATCAAGCATTTCGCCAGCATTTCGACAGATTGCCAGGTCGATACCCGAATTGCCAATGTAAGCGAACATTGCCTTCTTCCAGAGTTCGCCAGCGCTTAGAGTCGACACTAGCACGATTGAGTCACCGCTGGCTATTCCGCCAAAAAAGGACATACCTGGTGGTAAGAGCCTCGTTGCGTACCTGTCTAGCAAATACATCGATTCGTCTACGAGTGCTTCGAGAGCGGGGTGGCGTGAGAGAAGCCGCGGATAAGCACCGGCCAGAGAGACACGACGAATTGAACGGCCCTTCTTAATGACCTGCGTGCCGAGAGCACAGATCTTCATGATCTGAGAGAAGGTCCGAACACGTAGTTGATGCGCCGATACATCCGCATGGGCTGCGTTAGACAGGAGCATCTCGAGAACGAATCCAATATGTCTACACAAGTTGAGAACGAGTCCGTTGGCGGTCGCATCACATTTAGACTCCTGTCGAGACGCATGAGAGAATTTCGATAACTCGAAATGCGACGCTCGCCATTGTCAGCGCCAACAGTGCAGTCAAAATCAGCGCTTTCTACAGGCTATCAGTCGCGATTCCATGTTATGCGCTGATCCGCTCACCTCCTTGGCAGCGACGTGCTCGTCGTCGGGAAGAGACATGATCTTCTCGGACGCGCTCCTGAGTACCACATAGAGTTGCTTCCGTTCTATGGAATGCAACTGGACGATGTCCCAGTGCGCATTCAGCTGCATCAGGAGGTCCTCCGAGGTATTTGCCCTGGGCGATCGTGTAGAGGATAAGGAGACCCCAGTAAGTGTGGAGTGATATCCGCAGGCGCGTTGCCAACAGAGGGACAAACGTACATTCGGATTTCCTAGGTTCCATTAGACAATCGAAATATTGAGGGAAGTGAATCCGGACCTAGTGGCGATGCGATCTCGTCCAACTGCCAGCGGATTTTCCGTAAAATCACTTCCATTAAAGCATCAGCACCAATAAGTCGACTTGATGAGACTGCTTCCGCAATGATGTCAAAGATGACTAAGTCACATCGCAAGAAACTTACGGGTTTCCGGTGATCGCATGGCTCTGTGTGTGAGTCCCATCATGGTCACGATCGACGCCAGAATGTCGAAGAAAATGTCTCGCGATGCAAGGGCGTCCCAAGTCTTCAGGCGAAAACTTCCTTGCACTCTGGGTACCTGGCCCAGCAAAGAGATGACAGCGGAGTACAAAACGTTCGCGCCGCTCATCTGCGGTAGATTCTAGGCACGTCAATCGACACAAATTTGATTGAACTTACAAACGCTATAGTACTAAATGCGCGGAAGAGACACCGCTCAAAGTCTTCCTGCTTCAGACAAGAAGACGACAAGAAGACTTTTACAAACTGCCTACCCACCATATCGTCACTACCAAGATCCATCATGCCAAGGAGCCATTCTGAATCTTCAATGATTGGCTCCAAGACCTGTACCAGTAGTTTGGATGGTGAATGACTTCTAATAAGCTGCTGCAGCGCAGACATCTTGTTCCGAACATCTCTCAAGCACTGAGGCTGTAATGAGCTATCATGTCTGTCATCACGAAGGTTGATGCCCGTGTCCCTCTTGTATTTCTCGAGGGCATGCTGCCAGACAATCGGGGTTGTATTAGTATGCTCCAGCCCCATAGCGGGTTCCGTTGCTCCGAAACTCAGCAGAGGTGATGCAGAAGGTATAAGAACGACAGCTGACTGCAGCTACTGTCAACCAAATATATACCTGTGCTCAGCGGCTAAAGTGGTACTAAACACGAGACGATAGACATAGACACACCTTGATCAGACCTAAAATGTTGAAAGGAAGCCGGACAACGTGTGTGTCTATAATTTTACGTTGGGTTATCCTAGGTACAAGGGATAATGGCGAGAACAAGCATACCTCAGTCTAGTGGCACAGCGATTGAGGAGAAAAGGGAGCAGAGGGGGGGGCGAGGTTTATGTATACGGAATAGGTAACACGTGGAGTTAGACAGAGAAGAAGCTAAAGTATCGGACAGGCAGCGCGAATAACGACTGCGGACGTCAAGTGCCACGAGGATGCCAGGATCCGACAGAAATTAATGGCACCGCCTCCGAGACGAGGCCCGAAGTCTGACCTTTCCGATTTTGATTCTGAAAGTCTTCAGCAGGCCCTAAGGTACGCAAAGCGAAGAATGGCATGTATGGATTCGAGAGCTGAACAGAATGAATGAAGGGAAAAATCATGCGAGACATTTACCTCAGTCCAGGGACGTAAAAGACCGGCAAGCGTTGATCAAATGACCGCGCCCTTCACGTACTGGCAGTGCGGGGTGTAGAAGCGATACTAATCGCCGACTTGTATGCTGCCATGTTCTTATGAACACGATAGCACAGGTTTGAATCAGATACATACAGGCGCCAGTGGCGTCCCATCCTTGTCGATGATGTCGTTAACAGAGCAGACTGGAGCACCGTATTGCATGAATAACTTCCAAACTCTAAGGTTGCAGCGGTTAACCAATTCGTCGCGGTCGAGAATACGTACGCACCACACAGGTCCAATCATAGCCATCATAAACGAATAGACGTCAGGTATCAGCAGACTATCGCCGTGTCACAAGAACGTTCAAGAACGCAACAGCGAAAGGAGCGACTTTCAACTCATGTAATAACCCCGCGCGAGCAGAGCAGTATGGTATATTTTAGTACAACGTCCATAGGGCGCACGAGGAGCCCACATCCTGCCCTCACCCATCCATGAGCCCAACAGTCGAAGGGTACGCAGCTATCCCTGTGCCTCCTCGAGCAGCGTAACATGAACCTCACCTGCGGCCGCCCAGAAAGTTAAGCAAAACCACGGGCTATTGCCTACTTGGTGAAGGCGCGGATGATCTTCGCAGAGATATGCAGGAAGAAGATTGAGGCAATGAATGAGAGGGACAGAACGAGGACAATGAACGGGTCACTGTACAGGAGGCAAACGGCATCAGTAAGAACGAGGACAGGCTCCCCCCCTCAACGTAACGATGGTAGTACATAATAACTTACACTCGCAGACCCGGAGAATCGTCCGTGTAGAGCTTCAGCATTGTGTTTGAAGATCCACCTGCACCCGCCGCACGCGTGGAGTTCGGTCGCGACGCTTGCGAACCAGCCGCTCTCCGCCTGTCCCCGTGGCAGAGTGTGAGCACGTCACGAAAGCGAAGCAGAAGTTGTACAGAACTCCTGCCGTGCTAAATTATGCACGCACCGGATTTGAGCACCAGGGGGCCTTGCAACTGCAGTTGCCCCGTTCGCGCGGCCTACACCATTTGGCCGAGTGGAATCTGAGTCGGACTGCAGATACCGTGAGTTGTGATCACATGCTTATTATAAGTACAATGCAGAAGGAAACCCACCATGTTGAAACTGTAGGAATGGCGGGTGTGCTGGAAGTGTGCTGGCGGGCGTGTACAGAGAATGTATGCGGCCACGTGGAGGTGAGGAACGACAGAAGTCGGTTCGAGCGTCACATATAGGTGACATATTGGTTACGCACGTGAGACTGACATGCATTCCATTGTCACGCAAGGCGTCCTCCGTGCAGCAATCCCGCATATACAGCCTCGACCGTGTGTTGGTTCAGCGCAACCCACAGGCTACTAAGCAATACTACTGTTCATAAACTGACCCAATCCGCCATGTCTCTGGTAAGTCGATACCACAAGTCAGTCAACAAACAATGCTCACCTCTGACAGATTCATGCATTAGTTGCTCAGGGATCGACTATTCTCGCAGAGCACAAGAGTGGCCAGAGAGATTTCTCTCAAGGTAAGAGATTAATTGCTGCTGTCCTGAGCAGAGCTTTGTTTAGTAGTCCATTGCGGGAAACCACATGGGATTTGTCATTGGCATTCTAAGAGACTACCAAGACTCGTCTCCACACGTCTAATGATCCTGCTATGGCATGGCCGAAGCAGTTTTATACTTTAGACATGGACCTCTGCCATTACTAATTACTGATTTATATTTGTTCTTCTTAGCAACGCAAACCATTTTGTCGAAAATCCCACCTAACAACAGCAAACTCACGTATGTTTGGGAGCAGTATCTCTTTCACTATGTCTCCGAGGGAGGGTTCACGTACCTCGTGATGGCCGATGATTCCGCTGGAAGGTAAAACTAAGGAGTGTCCTCTAGAATGCTACTAGCCTCACCCATTCGCCAGACGCATGCCGTTCGCCTTCCTCGCAGAGCTTCAGCAGAAGTTTAATGCTCTCCCCTCTGCTTCCTCCGCATCTTCGGGGCCCGCCTATGCGCTCCAGGGTACTTTCGGCCCAACCATCGCGCAGCTCATGCACACATACAACACGAGCCCGCCTGCGGACGAGCTCTCGCGCGCGCAGTCAGAGCTCTCGCAGGTGAAAGACATCATGGTGCAGAACGTCGAACAGATCCTGTCACGCGGCGAACGTATTGAGCTGCTCGTCGACAAGACGGACAACATGGCGAGCCAGGCGACTGCGTTCCGCCGCGGCGCACGGACGGTGCGGCGGAGCATGTGGTGGAAGAACAAGCGGGTCGTTGGTCTCAGCTTCGTTGTAGCTTTGGTACGTGATCGTGCACATGAGATCTTGTGCTGGCCTTGACACTATTACGCCCGCAGCTCCTGATCTGGATCCTCGCTGCTCAGGTCTGTGGTGCTGGCCTGAACCAGTGCGGCGCAAAGTCAGACTCGTGATAAAACTTTCTCTAGACATATGTTACTTGTTTCATCTTACCACTGCACTCTCATTTCATCTGCGATTCGGAACCTACTGTACGTTATATATTATTTTATCTGTACTTACTACGTGGCTCGGGATGTATTTGATACTCACAGAGCTCACGGCAATTGCGAGAGCTGTCCATCAACCAATCCCTTTGAAGGAAGTCATACGCAGTAAATAGAAAGTCCATTATCATGCACTTGCTACGTGTCGGTACAGTTTCACGCTTCCCGGAGCGCCCGTCTATTCCCCAAACCTACCTCTCATCGTCAACTACCGACTTGTGTTGTAGCTCTGGCTTTCTAGCTTGTCTGACTCTAACTTGTACTTGGATTGAACTCAAGTAACTCTAGCCCTTCTTTTAGCCAGTCTATATCGAAAGTAAAGCTTGTGCCGTCAAGCTGCACGCTACACCCGACAGCCACATCTCCCCCGAAACCACCCAACCATTCTCTAGCTACTGTCGCTGTGTCCATCTACATAATGCCCGCTGTGGAATACACCGTTGTCGTCCCTGCGTATAGAGAGGCGGGCAACTTGCGCCCGCTCGTGACGCGCATCTTCGCCGCGCTGGCCCGCATCGACTCGCCCGTGCCCGCGCCGCTCGTCGAGGTGATCATCGTCGACGACAACTCGCGCGACGGCTCGGAAGAAGTGGTGGAGACGCTCCAGCGCGAGGGCTACAACGTCCGCATCATCGTGCGCACAACCGAGCGCGGGCTCAGCAGCGCTGTCGTCCGTGGCTTCCAGGAAGCGCAGGGAGACAACATGCTGTGTATGGACGCGGATCTGCAGGTGAGAGTATGACCCCTGTCGTGACGCAAGATAGGCCTGCTGAGGCTGGGATGCTAATTTGCCCTGCTGTAGCACCCGCCCGAATATGTCCCGGCAATGCTCGCCGCCCTTTCCCCCTCAAAACAGTTCGTCCTTGGGACGCGATACGGTGGCGGCGCTGGCGCTGTCGACGAGGGCTGGCCGCTCTACCGGCGCGTCATTTCTGGCGGCGCACGCGTGCTCGCGCTCCCCTTGACCGCCGCAAGTGACCCCATGTCCGGCTTCTTCGGCGTCCGCAAGGAATCTGTACGTCTATCATAGTAACTCTTTCTGCACTCATGCCCAACTCCTTGTCCCAGTTCTTGAAAGCGCGCAACCTGAACTCGCAAGGCTTCAAGATCGCGCTCGACATGCTTGTGAAGGCGCAAATTCCCTCGCACGCGATCGCCGAAGTGCCGTTCGCGTTTGGACTGCGTTCGGTCGGCGAGAGCAAGCTCACGGGCAAAGTCATGCTACGCTACCTCACGCAGCTACTCGAGCTGTATTGGTACGCGTACTCCGGCGTCGTCGCGTTCGTATTTCTGCTACTAATCGCACTTATAATCCTGTTCATACGTTGGCTGTGGTACATTGGGGAGGAACCGATGATCACTGTGCCCATTAGCAGGGGAAGGGGAGCTGGGCATTGAGCATTGCTGCGAGTGTATATTGTGCTTCTATACCCATCGGACATGCAATACTGTTTCCCTAGTCTCTTTCCGCTTTCGCGTCATTTAGTTCTGATGGGCTCAGGATGCTGCCTGGTAATATAGCACGCGAATTTTCCGGCTCGCGAATCGATCTAGGGCGCAGTGAAACGGTGCACTTGTTGTGTCTGTCAATCAGGGCCAACACAGCCTGCTATTGCCCGAGTGAGGTGAACTCGCGCGATGAGTTTACCGGGGTTCTTCGGGCTGGATTACCCTTAGTGACGAGCATACGATAAATATGGTATGCCTTAGATGGAAGTGTATATAAAGCGCATCGTAGATTACACAGACCCAAGGTACACTTAATGGGACTATCTCCTTCCTCGTGAACCCAGTAGACCGAACAGACCATCGCTGCGACTGCCGGGTCGCGGGGCTGGCGCGTGAATGGCAGAATGCTCACCCCGCCCGTTGACAGCAGAAGATGTACTCGCGGGACCAGAAGAGAACGACAACAACAGCGAGCTCTGCCCCAGGGCCGGCACAAACCCATTCTCGTCGATCGCGGACGCAGGTGTTACATGCCGATGCGCATCACGATGCCTCCGCTCCCGCGAAGGCGCTTCTACCGGGCTCTGGAACCGAACAGTCTGAGCTGCACGGTCAGAGATGGCACGGGAAGCGGCGGAGTGTTGCCTCAAGGCGGATGTTTGGGGCGGGGCAGCAAAGGGTCCCGCCTGCGCTGACATGGACGAATGGCGACGGTGGCCAGAGTGCCGCGGGTAGACATGCTCGGAGTCGCTGATGCTGCCGCGGTCGTACAAACCATATGAGTCGCTATGGGTCCGCGAGGGTAGTACGGGGCCTCGCTGCGGCCTGTCCTCCTCACCGCGTCTTGACTGCGGGCGCGAGCTGTACAAGGGTATGCCAGTCCTGGATCCAAAGATGGTGTCGGATGTACCAACATACTCGGTGTTGGGACCAGGGGTTGTCCGCGCGGAGTGATTGTGCGCATGCGGCTCTCGCTGCTGCTGGCTGGCATACTGCATGAGCGACTGCGAGACGATCTGGAGCTCCTGGGGCCCGCTGATGACCTGCCGTGGAGGGGCGGCATAGACATGTAGCATCAGGCCGGGCGTAGGCTGAATCGCCCGCGGTTCTTCAGACACAACGCTTCGCCCATGCGTCAACGGTCGCCTCCTCGGAGTCATGAGATTATCTTCGTCTAGCACCTCGTCTTCGCTAGATGAGCTCCCCTCCTCCTCCGGAGGCTCGTCGTCCTCTGCAGATATATCCATTGGGGGCAGTCCGAAGAGACCCAGATCTCCAAGGCTCGAGTTGGCCGAAGTCCTCGAGGGAATCTGCGAGGAATGCACCGTGCCCCACGTCGGCGCCGGAGACGACTCCGATTGCTGCGGCTCCATAGGCATATTAAGGATGCTCAGTATATCGCGCTGACTGGCGGAGCGTTGATCGTGGCTGCCGCTCCTCGCGCTTTGTGGTGCGCTCAACAGTGTCATGTGGCTGAGGCTGGCATTTGAGAGTGTGCTGGTGTTCGAATTTCCAGGGGGTGGCTGGGAAGGGCCGGCACTCTGTACGCCGTTCGGGGACGCGCCATTCTGCGCGTGTCCCGATCGTGTACTTGCAGATCGCGAGTCTGTTCTTGCCCCCTCTCGAGCGAGCGGGTTCTGCGTTGCAGAAGTGGTATTTGGGGCATGACGCGATAGGCTGTCGTTGCTCGCGCTGGGCTGTGCGTTGGCATTCCCACTTCCCGCATAGGCCACGGCACTGGTGGATGGCCCAGTTGCTGGCGGCCATGGTACCTGGTACCAAACGTGTCCCTGGCCTGGGATGAAGCCGTACTGGTACCCATATGTCGTCTGTATGATGCTGCTCCCAGACGTGCCTGCATGCGACCCGCTAAGGGACGGTGGGGGCACCGTATTGACAGATCCGGAGGATATCGAGCGGGGAAGGCCCCTCTCTTCTCTGCTGCGATCCTGCTCCTTGGGCGGACGCGGAGGGATAACCTTTTGGGTAGGCGGGGCGCCTGGGATAAGTAGGGGGGCTTTGAGTGTCTTGTCTCGACGTAGATCCTCCCGATGCTCTGATGAGGATTCCGTCAGGCTCGTGGCGGATGCGCGCACTTGGTCGAAGCTGACTCGGCCGCTGTTATGGGTTGTGGTTGATGCAGCGCTGGAAGATGGTTCAGCGCTTGCCGGCGCATACGAGCGGGAAAATGAGGCCAGGCGTTCGGGCGTGATGGGCTGGGGAGGTTGGGGTAGCGGATTGGGAGCGTCTTGGTACCTCGACGAACCAGGAGAGGCAGAGTCCGGTTGCTTCAACGAGCTGGATGTATCATACTGAACTTCCTGATGTCCGCGTAGCTGAGCGAGCTCTGCCTCTGCCTCTTGAAGCTGTGCAAATTACCCTTCAGTTATCAATATACATGGCGACCATAGTAGACATTCACCTTCCTGCGAAAGAAGGGGTATGAGAATACGTAGCATGTGCATATAAGAACGGACTGACGCTTGCAGCTCGTGTTCCATTTCACTCATCCTCTTCACGAGGTTATCTTCTATCGTGCGTGTAGTGTGCAGTTCCTGTTCCTTTGCCCGCATCTGCCGCCGGTGCTTTTGAAGAAGGCTGTCTATAGCCTCTTTCGCTTCGCGGCTCTCTTGTTGGAGCTCTTTATGTCTTTGAAGCGCAGCAACAGCTGAGCGCAGTGCCCTATGCTAGGTATCCGCAAGACGAGCGGAGGCCGAATGCTTGACATAAATACCTCATGAACATTGTCCAGAACAGAATAAGCTCGAGCATGGTCTCAACATCGCAGAATGAGTGGGGTATTGCGATTGGACCAACGACAGCACAAAATCAGCACATGAGGTGCCTTACTTGTTTGGGGACCATGTCCGAGCTGAAGAAACGAGCAGAACAAGCGGAACTTACAGCACTCAGATTGTCTTCGCGTGTCGAGAGCCAGTCATGGGCTTCTCCGACCACAGACTCGACGTTATCGTCCGGTGTATGTTCCCCAAACAGAAGGACTAGCCGCTGTAACAGCTCGTTTTCTTCCGTGTCCCCCGCAGATTCTTGATCGCCATTAGATGTGAAGCGATCGATGTGTAGCTTTCTGATTTTCTCTCGCCGGAACGCCTTTCGACAAAGGGGGCAAATGCTAGGCACCAGGGATTGAAGACATCTGCGCTCGTCTGTGAGTTACCGCGCGAGCAGGTGCAGCTCCAGACGCACTGCAAGCAGAATACATGTCCGCAAGCAATGGCATGTGGCGTATGGGAAGGCGAAGACCAGTTGTATCCGTCCAGACAGACATCGCACGTAGACGTTGGGTGGACGATCAGCATGAAGCTGAGTGACCTGAGGGGTCCAAAAGCCAAGAGTCAGCAGGAGTAAATCGAACTGGGCGATGGTCTGTTGTGCGAGGTGCAGGCGAGGTGCCACCATCACAACTCGAGGGGCCATCACATCCTCGGGACCCAAATATGGCAAGCATTGTTGTCCTGACATATTTTGTCTGAGACTCGGACAGCGCACTAAACGCGGGTTTATAGTATCGCAGTGAAATATCTGTAGAAGTGTTTGCAATGCACAATGCGTGTGTATATAAAACGCAAGAACTAGCAGATCACCGCCGCGTTATTCAAGTCGCAGACATCTATAAGAACAGCCAGTCCATGTATATATAATGAGTATGGCTAACATTTTGTATTGCCGCAGTCCTCAGTACAGAGGTACATTCAAACTGAATACCGTTTCCTACATACTCCCAGCATCTTGCGCTGAAAGCGCGAGGCACGCCACGCGGCGGGTTGCCCTCGCATGAGATGTGAGTTGCCTCACTTGCCTCACTCCTCCGCCAGTGCTTGACACCAAAGCTGACAGTTTCGAGCAGCTGCGCTCAAAGTTGCTGTAATAGCTAGAAGATAAACGACTGCTTCAAACGCCCATATATGCTTGGGGTCACATAAGCGTGATGCAGCTGTCACATGATCACGTTCTCGCTTCGTGAAGGGCTGACCAGCCAATTACGTCGGCGAATTGTGCGAGCGTGACACGCCGTATCTGCGAGCGCTGGAGCAGTCGCTTGTCGCTGTTTGAGAAGATAGAGTGAGATTCTCGTCGCCTGTTTCCCGCCTTTTTCCCATCGAGCTACAAGCTGCAACGTTGAGCGCACCTATTGCCGTGATGAGTTGAAATATATCGTCTTCTTGTCCTCGTTAGCCAGATTATCTGCTTTATCGTCCCTCATTAGACGCCTAATAGCGCTCTACATTTCGAAAACGCTGTCAACGGACATGATTTTGTTCGAGCAGAAATTCATAGACTCAGAAGCTCTAGGTGGGGCCAAACATTCCAATCAGAGACGAGCAGGGGACATGCTCCATTCGAGCCTGGGTCGTTAATGATCGCCGCGTCACGCATTCAGTTAATGTGGTTGGCGAGCTCTGTTCATAGCCGCCGCTAGGTGATTATGTGCTGGCCCGTTGGGAGAGGGCTGGCTTTGTACTGCGTACGTATACGAACCTCTGCACGTAGCAAACGACTTATGACGTGTTGAACTCCCGTCGCATAGTGTCTGTGGTCACCACGCCTGGGGTTGGCTCGTTATCGACCGTGCGCACTGCGGTATGCGGTGCCGCGTGAGCAACGTGCCTAGCTTCAGGGCAATGTCGCTAGGCCAATAGGACATCAACGAGGCCTCCACCTGGTTCCGAGCATTCCATTGCTCAACACAAACGTGGTCTTTAGCCCCGGTGCGTCTCCGGTGTGTTCGCCTGTCCGACCGCGAGGGTGCCCTTCACCAGCCTGCTGTAAACCCTAATGGAAGTTAATTTCTGTCCCCAGTCCGTCGCGATACTCTCCAATTCCCGTGTAGACAGTCGCTGCGCAGGCCTATGGGTTCTATTCGTATAGCCCTTCTACTCTCAGACGGTCGCGTGCAGCATTTAGGTTTCATCGCTTCGTCGCTGCCTAACTCGTCTGCCGACGCTACAACCTTCTCTCGATCTGCCTGCCCCGCTTCGGTCGCCAAATCTATGAGCTCCCGCATCTCGGCCGTGAGCTGCAAGTCGATTGGGGTCAGTTCTTCTCGTTCATCGATGCTGCCGTTGGGGCGGTCAATTGCCTCCACTTCCTCGAGAATGGCGAAGGTACTCCCATTGTTTCCTCGGCACAACGGAACTCCTCGTCAGTGGTTTGTGCCATTGGCATGCAGAAAGGTTTGCTTTAGACGTTTCACGTGGTCTATGTGGTTCTCATGGTCCAAATTGGACTCGAACTCAGGAATGAATTGGTGAGTGGCGTATACGACACGCATTAGGCAGGACGATAAGCTCACTTCTCCACGGTATCATACAGGTCTATCAATGTCCGTCGAACATACTCGTGTGCACCCGTGAGTATGCGAGCGAAGGCTCGTCATAACACGCCTCCGCAAACACGCCGTAGACATGAGGCCCAGGAGGCCCGATCCGGCAGCCGATCACCTGGCCCTCCATTCTATACTTCTTCCGTCACCCTTCGCGCTGCTCCTGGGGGCCGCAGCGTCTGTAGGGCGGCATCAAACGCAACCGTACAACGTCAGCGTCTTCCCGTTGCAATAAAGAAATCAGGCAAATGGACTCAGGTCAAGGTCCGACTGCTATCACCTGGTCATTCTCTTGGAGTTGGGACGCAACTACACATCACGGGAGGTCCGAAGACCGACCCGGATCCTCGGAAACATCACACCACGATTGGGGCCGTTTGTGTTTCCGGAAATCTATGGGGCGCCTGCTTAGATTGAATCCCGATCTCCGGGCGCCTCGTGTCCTGAATGTCACCTCGAAGGCACATCTTTCCGATCCACCATAAACATGGTCTGGCCGGCACGCGAAACAGGCTAGGCGACCGTGCCACCTTATTATCCCAGACCACCAGCCCTTCGCTTATCGTCATACGTGCTGGCAGTGCCCACGTCCGCCCGTCATGCTCGTCCTCCACTCCTCTTCGACTTGCGACGTCTGCCTCGACTCTTACGGCGAGGACAAGGTCCCGCACACCATTTCATGCGGGCATTCTTTCTGTCTCAGGTAAGCTATCTCTCCGTGTCGCGTGGGCTCCTCCGACGCTCATCCGTCATCCCGTTAGGTGCTTACAACTGCTTACTCGTCAATGTTGTCCCCTTTGCCGCAAGCCCTTTGTGCCCGAGGAAGTCCGTAGGCTTCACACCGGCAAGGCCAGTCGGTCTGCGACACCGCCGCCTTCGGACCCCGCTCTCGCAGCCGAGGCTGCATCTCGTGCACAACGGCTGCTCCGACGGATCACCAGGATCGTCTTGGAAGGCGCGACGTCTGAGGATCTCCAAGACGCCATTGGAGAAACTCATTCATGGCTATTGACCCAGCCAGAATCCGCGGTAAGTCTTGTTGTGTCCCGACAGTTCCGGCCCCTCATGGTTCGTGCACAGCACCCAGATCTGCGATCTGCCTATCTCTTGCTTTACAAGTATACGGCCCTGCAGCGCAAAGCCGAAGAGAAGAAGAATGCGCTGAGTAACCTTGAAAATACTTGCGACGATCTCAGGGAGCAGCTGCAAGCCCAAGCCCAAGACGCAGAGAACAGACTGCAGGAGCTCGACAAGCTGAGAAACGAAGAACTGGAAGCGGCTCGGATCATGAAGGAAAGCTTACACGAACGATACGACAAGTTGGACAAAGAGTGGTGTGGGTGAGTGGCTTCCTTCTGACTACGTTCCACTTCGCGCTGATGGTAAACGCAGGAAAGTAAGACAACGCTCCAATTGTGACGTATTGAGACTGATTATCTTTTCATCTTAGTTTGAAGTATGCTTATCCGAGTGCCGACGTCTGCACAAGGAGTTAGAAGACTTGAAGCAGGCTCAGTATAACCCACTTCCCCATCCTCCTCGGGCGGCCGAAGCGCGCTACTTCTACCTCAAGACTACCTCGTCACATCACGAGCCAGTCATTGTGGTAAAGGGCGACGGCCTTGATACACTCGAGTCTGTCAAGGTACAGATAACGGGTAAAGACGACGCGTTCCGTCTCTCACCCGTTCCGCCCACTCTCGCTATCCCGGCATTACCGACTGCGTTCCGACCACTCACGGACGATGTCGATGATCGCGACATCGATGAGGTGCCTGCTCGACGACAGTGTGACAACTCATCACTACGGGCCCCTCAGCCTATCCCGATCAAGTCAAGCATTCAGCGTATGGCAAGCAACGCTTCACTTCTTAGTCGGTATGATGATCCCATGGGTCGCTCTATCCCTCATGGCTCTGTCGACGTCCATATGGCTAGCTGCTCATCATCACCAAGCGTCACGACGATGCACGCTGCAGCCCGCGATCGACTTAAAGACGGCATCTCTGGCTCACCAGCTGTCGTCTCGGAAAGTGCTCTCGGTCTGCGAAGTGCTGGCTCTCGGAGACCGTCTATTGGCTCGCAGACGAGCAGCTTCGACCAGGAAGAGCAAGGTCTGCGCTGGCGTGCTCAGCTTCGCGAGCTTTTGAACGACCCTTCTCCGTCGCCGGCACGCCCTGAGGCAAGAGATTTGAAGCAGTCACTTACCTTCGACTCGCCGTCCTGCGCACCTGAGATGACGCCGGCCCCTGTTATCCCTCCCCTTCCCACGAGCACAGCCAGCGCATGCCTCGCTCGGTCGAGTACGATATCGAGAGCCAGTACTGCTGCGATGGCAGCCGAGCGCGCGCGCGCAGCTGCTATGAACAACGGATCACCCACGTCGCCGTCTACGCCATCGTCGAAGAATCGCGACGCGGCACAGCCTCTTTCGCCGGGATCTCAGCCACCATATTCCCGACCAGCGTATACGCGCATGGAGTCCTCAGAGAGCTTACGAAGTAAAACGTCCGCGACGACGACCTCAGGCCTCACCTGGAGTCTGCGGATGCACGAACAGCGGGCATGACGAACGTATCCCTGTTCTGGTCTACGACAATAGTCGTGGCTGCATTGTGGGCAAGAATGGGTCCCGGCATGGGTACGGATATTTAATAACGCCTAATTATGTATGCCTAGGGCTCCCTTTGTCTCTTCGGTGACTGTGGCAGCATGATGTTACGTGCTTGTACAATGGTTGGCCTGCATCCTCATGCATAGTAATTGCAGCGGTTGTTGGGTAGTTCATCAAACATCAGGTCCCCTCTCAATGGCAGGTTCCCGTACATCTGCAATGCATATCTGGTGCGAGTGCATCCGTGGGCCAGGTGCATTTAATCCCAATCAGGGAGGTACTGAACGCACCTCCTGCGCGCGTCAAAGACTCCTTAGTCTGATCGGACTCGGTCCCTTTGTGTATCGACTACTTCTCCGATCACTGGAGGCCGTGTATGTTCAGAGACTAGAATGCCCGAACGTGAGAGAGGAATGGACGAGACAACGCGGCTGAACTATGCTCAAACAGAGCATCAGCCTAACTTCCACCAATGGCAGACCATGCTTTGCTTTCGCCGGGCAGATTGTGTGCCGAGCCCAGAGAACAGCCCTCATTTCCAGACTCCCTCCGTTCACCGCCGGGACGAGCAGAGGCCTACCCAATACACTGGACGTATCACTGGTGTGAACCTTGTTTCGCTTACCATGCTTCGCCTGAGATATCGTTCAGGGCGCGATAGTGCGTTGTCAAGATTTGCCCCTTATTGGAAACCCTTTCACTCACCATACGTTTGACGTTCATCGCCGGTAGCCTGGGCCCGTCGCCAACTAAACACCGCTGGTATTGTCTCCGAAAGTAAATCTGCACATACTGGAACACTACCACAAGAAGATGCATGCAAGTGTCACAAACACCACCACCCAGGCTCAATCTCTCCCTTCTCCTCGCTCTCGTGCAAGAAGCTCCTTCACCCGCACATTTAAGAGGGGATGTAACGTGCGCGGCTTGTTGGAAGCCATGAAGAACTCTGTGAGAGCAAGCGTCGCCTGCGCCCTTGCCGCGAGCAATGGGCGAATAAGCTTCCGCAGTGGCGGTGCGAGGACGTCTGCGGGTCCGCTTGTCTCTTCATTCACGGAATTTGGAACAGTCTTGATGAATGGATTGGCAGCTGGCCGTGGGGGAACCGTATATGGCGCAAGTGCTTCTTCACTAAGGGAGGCCGACTGCGACGAGAGCAGACCGACGAGGATTTTGTACGATGCAATGAGACGCTTTAGTCTGTTAAGATGGTGAGAGATGTGGTTCTGCTATGCTGTTTCAGATCCAGATACGGAGAGTAGCCAGGACCTACTGCCTGTAGTTGTCTAAAGTCGAGGTCAAGTCGATATTCGAACAGTATGGGACGTAACTTACCTCCGACAAGTATATTATGTCATCCGGATAAGAGTCTGCCGCAAATGATCCAAGTCGCGGCAAAGCAGACGCTGTACTTCATTGGGCCTTCTCTTCCTACCATCCAGTCACTCATCCGTTGAAGGATCGCGCTAAGTATGTTTTCGCCCTTCGCGGAGTTACTTGACAGTGTATTGTAACGTCCTATGCACGACGCGAGAGGGCGCAGCATAGCCTTAGCTACCAAGGCATACGCTCCAGTAGCTCCGAGCACGCCACCGACAGCTTTAAACTGTGCATATGTCTCCTCTTCCCGCGGACTAGCGAGCGCTCGCTTCAAGGTGAGCGCGGCGACGTATGCAGGTATGTGCAGAACGAATATAGGGAGGAAGATGATGAACCGTGGGTGCAGGAACGTGACCGATAACTCGCGGAGAAAGACAGCAAGTGCAGCACGGCTGGTAGGGACCAGCGACCTGCCGGAACCAGCAACGATGGCAGTGAGGCAGCTATGCGTTATCGATGTGTAGTGGAGGAGGGAGTGGTAGCGAAGAAGTGCTTGTATGACGTCGCTCCGGGAAGGTGAGTCGCCATTCGTCTTCGACAGTACGTCGACGAGGCTGTCGCATGACTCATGAGGATCCCAGGAATGCGTTATGGCATAGCACGGACCTCTGTGTCACAGCGGGGAATTCGCGGAGAGGGATGTTCCGTTCATCGCCCCAGAGGATATCTCTGGCCATCCTGGCCGCATACAGCGAGTCCCTGCCATGATCCGGAGTCAGGGTGCGCCACCATCAGGGATACAAAGCCCGACTGTATACCACTCACCAGTCCGGGGCGTTTACAGACAGCTGTACCATCCGCTGCTCAATCTCCTTCGATAGGGCCTTAACGACATCACGAGGATCTCCCGTGTCTTCAGCGAGATACCTTCCGGCGTGCGCGGCGACATCGATCGGAGTTCCCCACCTGCGGTTCGCTGTTAGAGTTACAGCCTAGACGTCAAGAACCACCCGGACCTTACGCAGACCTGGACGACGCACGCGCCGTACCCGACCCAATCGCGAGCGTGAGCACCTGACTACATCCGTCATTCAGCGCGAAGCTTGGCACGCACCCTGCTCTGATACTGCGACTTGTCAGTGTGAACGATTCCTACAGGGACAATGAGCAACTTTCTGCCGTTGGTGGTCGTCGATGAACGTGCGTGATCGCGCTGCCACCGGACGTATTCCAAGGCGGCCCTTGCTGCGCCCTCCTTAACCTGTACGATCCGCGGCTGAGTGTAGCTAGTGCCCTCAGGAAAGACACCGATGGCCTCTCCCGCATCGAGAGCGCGGAAAGTCTCGAGGAAGAGTGCCTGGTGGAAGTCGTTGGTGCTATTGTGCCCATTGCCGCCGGCCTTGTAACCCTCGGGCGCGGCGCCGCTGTTCGGATTGCGATGCACGGGGATGCTCCCAGACGATGTGAGGATCGCGCGTGTGATGAGGCTCTTGAAAAGCGTGGATTTTGCCCAAAAACAGAGAGGCCGTCGATGGGGAATAGTGACGGCTGAGCTGCACTTTAGCTCGGCGACTCCAGTAAAAGTAGCACACCCACCGAGCGTTGCGATATCTAGTATCTCATTGTGGTGGCACGACACGCTTTCGGCACCAACAAGCGTCAGCAATGAGATCCCAGAGGACGGAAGGAGTAGATGTCGTACACGAACGAAGATATACGCACACAATGAGAGGACCACCCACAGGCACGTTCTCACCGCCCTGAACGTCTATCTCCGAGTAGAAAGTCAAAGCCCAGTCCGACAACTTGCGAAGAGCACGATAGACCAGTTTTACCTCCATGCTGAAAGCCGTCGTTGCAATTCAACCATGAATACCGCGAAATGCTACAGCGTCGCTACATGCCGACGCGAACCTGACATCTTGCCTGTTTGAGAACCACCTAGCGACGAACGCGCACACTTTTGACTATGCAGTCGACATACATTCTATTCAGACAACTGGGATCAGACACGGATGGAAACACGATGCAGCGACCACGGGGCAGGTCTTTGTGCAAACAAAGAACCTGATGCGCGTCGGGCGGCGACCATTGATCATTGACAGCATAACATATACATGACGATGACCCAAATTTTGTGCCCTGATCCCTCGCAGCGAAGCGATCAGAGACGACGACCACGGCGACCACCCTGTACTCATGACACGTCAGAAATGGACACCACAAGCAGAGATATTCCTCGACTGACCTTACGTCTCGTGGAGTCCGTCGGGATGGGCGTCACGTCCTCGATACGGCCGATGCGCATGCCGGAACGGGCGAGCGCACGGAGCGCGCTCTGCGCACCAGGGCCAGGGGTCTTGGTGCCGGTTCCACCAGTTGCCCGCAGCTTGACGTGCAGAGCAGTGATGCCGACCTCGCGGCAGCGGGTAGCGACATCCTGGGCAGCCAGCATGGCGGCGTAGGGCGACGACTCGTCACGGTCAGCCTTGACCTTCATGCCACCTAGAAACCCCGAATTCTCCCTTCGTATGCATATGCGATAAGTTGGGTAAGACGAACGTACCGGTGACACGGGAGATCGTCTCCTTGCCCGAGAGATCAGTGACATGGACGAAGGTGTCGTTGAACGACGCGTAGATGTGTGCGACGCCAAAGACCAGCTCGCCCTCCGCGACCTGGGGGCCGAGGGAAACGGCCTCCTCCTTGGGCGCCTTCGTCTTCTTGGGGGCCTGGATGTCATCCGTTGGTCAGTACGCGCATCCAACCACTCCATGACGTCCCAGCGACAGCAAATCATTCTGGAATGGGAGACATGTCAAGCACAAGCATACGTACCATCTTGTGAGGGTACTAGAATGTCTTGAGGAGAGTTGGAGGATGGACGAGCAATGGCGATCAACAAAACTTGGCCGCACTTGCGATCGGGGTGTCACGAAGGGTCACAGGTACGTAACATGTGACCATGTCCATTGCACGCCTGGCACGCGCAAGCGCCTTATACCTCCTCTTGCGCGCAACATGAAGTATGTACTGCTGCCGCCTGCGAGCCTCTCACCTCGCGAATCATACACAAACAATGGCGGTGATTTTACATATACCTCAAAACCTTGGGGACAGTGCTCGGATTGCAATCGCTATTCTAATCTGACTGGCCAATGATCTTGGCTCTACAGTCACGAATCCGAGTGCTGAGTCGGTCATCAGTCTTCACGGTACCAAACGCTCTATATGGCGCGCTGCCCCACAAGGTCGCCCACACCAGGATGAAACTGGTGTAGATTGCCGTCTGTCATGGAGAATGGGCCTATCTCAAGGTGTTGCTGTGGCCCCGCTTAGTCTTGTGCGCTAGTCTCTCGATTCTCTGTCGCTTTGCTGTCAATGGCCAGATCCGAGGAGTGTCTACAGGCACTGTTCTGGCCCCTAGGCGTACTTCCCCACTGCAACTCCACTATGTTCTCACTTCTCGGATTGTGCAATATATCGTTGTGCCGTGCTTCTGCAACACAGCGAGTTTCCATAATACAATGAGCCTCAGCATCCATATGTCATGTTCGGGGAACTCGTCCGTCAATTTCGTATCCATAATTTGACGCCTCGCCCGAGCCGCCAGCGGTACTTTGGCTGATCAGCCCAGAAACGTTGCGATAAGACGCATGAATCGATATCCATCAGTCATCTGATAGTCTCTATGCCTATTCTCAGATGACGAGCTTGGACAACTATATAAACTAGGTTGTCCTCTATCGGATCTGGCCCAGCACCGCAACAGACACCACTTGACCCCTCCTTCGCATACCTTCATTGCTCGCCATGGCCGCCAGTCCTCAGTGCTCTGCCCTCGCCGCGGCGAAGGACAAGAAGGGTGTGTGATAGCCCGTTGCTACAATGCTCGGCAGCCTTCCTGAACGCTTGTGGTTGTCTGACGTGCTTCTCTGCGAAGGCCTCTCCTACGCCCAGATCGCGTCTCAGCTCGGGCTCTCCGAGCAGCGCGTGATTGACAGTACGTGTGCCATTGTTTCCCGTTGTAGTTGTAGAATACGGATCCTGATACATGCGCAGTCTGCACGGGCGCCGCCGTCCCCTCGACGGGCGAGTTTAACTCGCTCGCGAGTGTGCTCGACATCAAGTCGCCGGTGAGTCTGATGCAGGACGGGCGTTTCCTTTGACTAATGCTCTACGTTATCCGCAGGCCCCTCAGGATGCTGCTCACGTCCGCGTTTGAGCGCGCTGCTTGGTTGTCGTCACCATATCATCTCTCTGTATCACCATTGTACAATCTGGCATCAGGATTCTACCCAATTTGTATCACGAATAGCTATCAAATCAATCATCTTGCACACGGGAGCCTGAGACCGCGTTCCCAATATCTATCGGCGACGTTCGGCCTCAACAGCATTCTGTAATGTGCCATGCCAGACTAAGTACTCATCCTAGATGATGCGGATTTGTTTGTTCGGACCATGCGCGGAACTTGCCTTCGATGCAGATGCACGATCCGACTTTACGACGCCCCCAGTACAGATGCAATCATGTGCCACTCGCCACATATGATCGCAACGCGCAACGAAAGCTTGCCTCGGGCCGGACGTGGCGCCTCACTCAGATTCAGAACTCTGAGGTCACACTTCGCAGGTTGTCTAGGCTGCTCAGAAACTACCTGAAAGGTACTCAGGGCTATACCTTCAAGACTGAATAGCATCGATCTCTGCATTCTTTCACTGGGTTTCTTCAACAGTCGCTGTCCAGTCTATCGAGCACGAAGTAGATGCTTCGTTCAAACAGTCGCAGGCCTCCACATGTATATTGCTGTCCTCCGTGGTGCCGCGATTGGTATAGAAGGTGACTTGGCTACCTTGAAACGCGCTTGTCCCACATCTCGACCGAAGCGAATAATCAGTGTTATTATTAGCTGCCAAATGAACTGATGATAAGATGTTGCGGGCAGTATCTCCGCATCGTGACGAACACCCCGTCATCCTACCAGCGGGAAGAGTGCGGCACGATGACATCCGTAAACACGAGAGCACCAAAAATCTCTGTCTCTTACGTAGCTGCGAAGTGCATTTGGCCTTTGCCCTTGTGTACAGTGTGCTTCACATAGATCTGATATATTCGTTTCCACGCTGTCTACTTAATAGGACGTATCTGACTGGTATCCCCGGGAAAGTATTGATTAACAGATCGTTGTGATACACTGAACTATTATAATATGTTCTTATTGAGCAGTATTGTTTGATACGTGCGTGTGGCAATTGCTTGGTATCGTGCATTCCGATTATACATGACTAACGTGCTATGGGATATGCAGTCTCGCAGCTCAGCATATAACAGGGCTTCTGTACTCGCACATATGCGGACTCGGAGATTGTGGCATATAGGGTCCCCTCTTCGCATTCACGTCTTGTTCTTCTCTTAGCTGATCATCACTGTTGGCCAGCAACAGCTTTTGGCAGTGGCATGAACGGGCCAATTGTGGCGGAATACATGAAATGTACGTTGCTCTTCACAACGCACTGCCTACTTATTTGTCCATGTATTATCAATTCGCCAGAGTGGAGATAGGCTATGGGACATGCCCATTTCATATCATTTGACTACATAAGAGGCCTCGTATGTATCAACATCCTTGTCAACTGCCCCTTGCTAGTTCTGCGGAAGACATGTCGCTCATCCCTTCCTTTCCGCTCAACGCCACGCTGGGTGCATCATTCTTAGGCATTCTAGTTTCTGTATTTTGATCGTGGAAAAATGTCACTCATGAATCCGAAAGGCAACATAGGGGCATCGATGTGAGTCATACTGTACTTGACCCATGGCCATGCAACACGCAGCTTAAAAATGCCTCAGTCTTTACGGCATTTCGTGCATACAAACATTCATTTACTATAAGCGGAGTGGTGGCGATACAATTGTCCTAAAGTCGTTGGTGAGTAGAAGCGCCTAGATCCTTTCCTTGGGGTCCTCTTACCGGTACGCATGACCGGATGGCAACAGATTCTGCTTCTATGGTGGGCGTGCTCCTGCTCGATATATATATTGTTTAACGTGCCTCGCAGGATCCTCGACACCATACACTTGGCGTTCGTCACCCATGCAGTCTATAGCTACGCAATCTTGGATTTTGGCGACTATTTATCCATATCGAAACCACTCTGGTGAGCCATATGCTGTATCAGAGTTATTGCACACGCTCAGAATGATCTTTGCCTAGGTGTATTACCGTATGTGATATATTGCTTCGGGATGATTCACATGCATAAACTATAAACTTGCGCAGAGTCATGTCACGATATCTGTAAGTGTTACTGTCATTCAGTCTTAAATATGATCTACATCTCCCACAGAGCTTAAGTGATCTCATCGTCAGAGGGTGAGGAGCGTTTATGCGAGCAAGACATTGTATCCTCGCTCATATGTTGATAGTCTGTACTGCCATCGGATTTGGAAGCGTAAGTAGTTTCAATCGTAGTGGTGCGTGCATTGAGCATTGACCAAGAGACTTTTGTAGTCAGCCAGAGAAATCTTTGGATGACCATTGCAGTTGTGAGTTGGATTGCTCTTGAATAGCGCCTCTTTATGTGAATTCTGACACGCATCGAGGCCTCTATATCTCTGCTGTCCTTCGGTAAGACTGTTTCGCTTAATCAATTTCGTACGCCTACATGACAATCATGACCCCTCACAGCCAGCGGCTTTGGTAGGTATTATCTTGGCTGTTCATGCCACCAATGCTTATTTTTGTGCAGCATTCTCGATATGGGGGTATGTGGACTCAATCTCAAGACTGAGATAATCAATCAAGCTGAGTAACGTCTAGCTTCCAGCATCCCAACTACTTCCTTGCCGACGCAGAACAACTCTCAGTAAGCAGAAAATCGGTCAGATGTTCTGTTATACTCATGCCCGTGCATCGCCCAGGTCTTCTTGTATCTCAACTTCGTATCCGGTGTCGTCGCGGACTCACTGATCGCTGTACTACTCTGTGTACTTCTGATGCGCCAGCGCACGGGATACTCGAGGTTTGCTACAGTCATGACATCTTGCCACAGCAGGGGTTCACTTATTAACTTCATTACTCAGAACAAATACACTTCTCTACACTTTGTTGATTTACACCGTCAACACTGGCGTGCTTTCAAGGTTGAATATTTCATCCTCGCGTCCATTGCGTAACTCGCTGACTCAACGACTACATAGTTGTTGTGCACTGTTGTGCTTGCTGTTGGTGCGTGGCATGAAACTTTGTGTTAACTTATTGACATTTCCTCAACAATCACTTACCTCCGCAGTATGCATCTCTTCCTGGATATGACAGACTCTCTTTTGTTGCTGTATATTTTGTGCTTCCCAAGCGTGGGTCACCTAGAAATATTGATATCGGACTACTGTACTCACAGCCTTCGGCGCAGTGTTGCTGAATTCGCTTCTAGCAACGTTGAACGCGAGGCGGAAATTGATGGAGAAGACATCGCGCTTCTCGGTATCTCTGGATAGACTCGCCATTCCTAGCCGCAATATTGCCACAAGACACTCTAGAGTGTCTATGAATTCTCCGGTACGTGAGCTTTAGATCGCAAAGATGATCTGCTATACCAATAACGCAGGTTCTGGAAATCAAGATCGAGACTTCCACTGAGGTGGATTCAACTTCGTCCATACCGACTTTAAGTCCCCGCTTATAAGCTAACTCCAATTCTCTAAAGTCTCAACCATGAGAATGTCGGTGGATGTAAGGATCTAATCAGGGCATGATCATATTGAATACAGCACTAAATCACATTCTGCAGTGGAAAAGCTTGCGGAAACCTTGCAGTGATAGCCTCATGATTTAATATCATCATGTGCCTCACGTCCCTCGTTACGCAGTCGGTTTATCTCCATTTTAAGATCTCGCGCAACTATTCGAACATTTCAATCCGCCGGATTCCCTCGTAGTCTCGCTGCATTTCTCATTTCGAATAAAGTACACACGGTACAACATACGCTCTCAGGCATTGTCTCATATATGTACGTGCGTCCAGAAATCGGCACGGCCGCGTGCTTCCCTCTCCTATTACGCGTATTAAATCAAGGCACGTGACCGTATAGTGTGATAGCCTAAGTCTGAACCGAGTTTCATATTCGACTCGTATTCGTCGTTCTCTCCAGTACCTTTCATCTTTGAAGAATATACACGTCCGACGTGGCTCTGATGCGGTCGCCCTTGACTGGGACTTCACTCGCTTGAATGCCGATACCATCCTTGCCCACGGAGCTCCTTCGTGAAGTCATCCTGAACTATCTAGTCGTCGTTCTTCCGCAGTCGAATCGCGAAGATGTCCGTTCAATTGCCTCCAAACCGGACTGGAAATTGGTTGAACCACTTTCATCATCCTCGAGGACACTCCGTCATCTGACCTTAGAAGCCTGGTTCGAAACTTATATCGCCAAACGACCGAGCGATCTGCTATGCCTCGATTGTTTCCCCCATATGATTGCAAGAGCGACGTATGTATCTTCCTGTCATTCAAAATGTCCCTTAAAACCTACTCATGACTAGCGAGCTGCGGTGTATCGATCGTGAAGACACGCGTCGAGATGAAGAGTTTCAGTGGAATCTGCGCAACCTGTGGAAAGTACGAAGTCTACGATTGGACGTCGACCCGTTAGACTACGGCTACAACATCCACTTCCTGAACGTACCGCCAGTTCTCTGCGTATTGGAGATTCACGATCACCCATCGCCCTCTCCGAAAGTGATGCAGGAGATAGCGCGGACGTTTCCTGCGCTGCGGACGTTGAAGCTTTCTCAAAACGCGATATGGTGTGGCTTGTGCAACACATGCAATGTAGCGTCTTTCAAGGAGGCGCCTGTGTCTCCTGTCATTTACAAAGGCGGAATGGGGCTTCCTGTGAGTTTCTCGGAAATCAGATCTACTCCTGTCCATTGATTTGCGTGAGAGAAACATTATAACATATTCTTGGAGCCCCTCAAGCACCTTCACGCAGTGCAATTTACCATAGGCTATGATACAGACGGACAATCCTGTCTAGATCATGAGAATGAAGACTGGTGGTGCGGCGAATGCGACCAGTGTATCGCGTTGATGTACCCCGACGAGGATTTTCGTGAAGAATGGATCGAGAAAAAGAAGGATGCTCAGCCCAGACCTCCCTCGCTTCAGGTCGTTGAGTGGCGGTTTGTCCACCTTGATTTACAGGTCCCCTCTGTTGAGGCCATACTGCAAGAGCTGTACGAGGATAACGATGTGTGTCAATTCGCCCCTTGATTCCGGTGGAAGTTGACGTTCGTCCCATTAGTGAAATTCTCTGCGCCTCCATACGGCCTGACACATGACCGGGATTGTGTAGCGCACTACTTACCAATGTCCATACTCGCGTGGTCTCTCATCGAGCGTCGTTTGCGTGCGTCAAAGTCATATCCGGCAGGGCGTGACGGTTTGTTTCGCTCTTCAGAGAACCCATTGAGCGCTGTACGCGTCTACGGAAAGTATTGTCAGCTTCCAGAAGCGCCAAGATCTCGTGTCATTACAAAGTTTTGGAAGTCAGGTCTTGTCGCAATTCGCCATAATGATCTTAGGTTTCTCATAAGCCCTATATTGGTCGAAGTGTCCTGGCGGTGATCAGTATAGATGTGTTATCAAAAGGAACACATCATCCGTCAGATCCTCTCTATCTAGGTATGTGCGCTACTAATATCACTGCCATAAAGGACAACTGCTGTAGCAGCTTGAATCCCACAGACGACATACTTGATTCCCGATCTGATATTTGAAGTCACGAGGCAGTGCCCAGTCTGCGACATCGTTCAAGTGCCTTGGTCGCAACTGTCAGTGCAGGAGATGAGGGTATATCGTTACTCAACTGGCTCCGGGCAGGGCATCCTATATCAAGGTGACTGCAGGGGAAGTCGCCGTTGTCGACCCTCTCCCAGAGTCATGTCTTCTATACCGTGCCACCCGCTTGACGCCACATTGGGTGCTGCATTTATCGGTACTTTTGTCTCGAACTCCGGTATTTTCATACTCACCGAATACATTTAGGCGTAGTCGCTGCCTCGATGTATGCTGTTTAGTACATTTCCTTCCATAGTTGTCAGGTTGACTCTTTCGCATCGAATAGACTCTACGGGATCAGCACGGTTCAATCGTTCACCTACTTCAAACGTTTCTCAAGTACAGATCCGGGGGTTTTAAAGCTTTTGGTGAGTGTCTAATGCCGAGACATCCGCCACTTGCCTTTTGTCTCACCATGGAATAACAATGTCAATTTCAACACTCGAAAGATCCTATTCTTGTGGTGAGTAATCATATCACATGTATGTACGGCGTGTTCACCTGACGGGGTCCACTGTCTTAGGATACTCGATAATGTTCACTTGTCGTTCATTGTGCATGCGGTGTATACCTATGCTATCACCGACTTTGGCAACATGCTTGCCGAATTGAAACCTCTCTGGTGCGTACTTTTGGCGTCAACCATAGTAATGGCTACTCAGTGTGGTTGCCCGAGAAGGTCCATCACGGTATGCACCCGCGCCAGGGCAATCTTTAATTACTTACGAGAACGACCCAATAGAGCCATGTTGTCATTTCCGTGAGTTGTATATGGCGATAAGTAATTCAACTGACGTGTCGTGATGTCGCATGCACACAGAGCTTGAGCGATATCATCGTCAGAAGGTGAGCTGCTCGGTGTCATGGCCACAGGACAAGCCACTGACAGACGTTCACCGTACACGCTAGTCTATTTTGTCAGCGTATCTGGAAACGTGGGCATTCCTGTCACTCAGGGTGCTCCTTCACTTGCTAAACCATGGGCCTACAGTCAGCGACAAAAACATTATGTTAACCGCCGCTGTGGTCAGCATGTTGAGATGATCGTTTTCTACGTTAGCTGAACTTACAAAATGACAGGGGTTCACATCTATCATCGTCTTCGGTCAGTATCATCTAAAATCCCTGAAATGCTGTATTGACACGTTTAAATGACATATATCCTGGAACTGCTTAGCTAGTGGAATTGGTATGTGTCATTTTATGGTCGTATGCTACGCAATCTGATGTCAGGCAATCGCGAATGCATTGTGGTACAGCCTTCTCGGCATGGGGGTAAGTTTGCACTAGAGCTATGCTTGTGCAGACCGTCCAGCGCCGACCGCATTTTGCATCTAGGTATTTGGGTCATAGCTACTTCGCTACAGATGATTGGCAGCTATCGGTAATTTCCTTGTCTCGTATCATTTTACTGCCATCTCAATCGCGCTATGCCAGGTTTTTCTGTATACATACTTCATCTCCGGTGCAGTTTCAGATATGCTCATAGCGACGGTGCTTTGCCTATTGCTTGCGCGGAAAAGAAGTGCTTTCCAGAGGTAATGGAACACGGAACTCCTTCCACAGGAACTGCTGACAGAAGATGCGATGGTACAGGACCAATTCCTTGATCAATATGCTGATGATGTACAGCATCAACACGGGCGTACTTACTAGGTGAATTGACAGTCCTTGAGAGATATCAGCTTATTCATAGGCCATCGCAGCTGCTGTGCGATTCTCTGCCTATCGTTGGTGAGCGAGAGCCCTCCATGCCACCGTGCGTTGGATATAGCTGACGCGCGTAGTACGCGGCATTGCCCAGCTGCGACAGGTTCTCATTCGTCGCCGCGATGTTCATGCTACCGAAATGTGAGTGCGTCTACCAAGTCTCCGTTCAGTGCCCCTGACAAACATCTCGCAGTGCTCCTGAACTCCCTGCTGGCAAGCCTGAATGCGAGGAAACGCGCGATAGATGAGACTTTGCCCTCTTGCAACCTTGAAGCGGATCGGTCGACTGACACGCAGTTCATGACTACCGCCCGCACCTACCTCGGGAGAGAATCCGCAAAGGTGCGACCTGTTGCAGTGTGGCTATCCCTGGGTTACACTCTCACGATGCGGATCCCACTAGAGCGTCCGCGTCACGATTGAGCGATTCACGGACAGCGACATATGCTCTTCGGTGCATGCGGCAAGTCTCTGCCGGCAGGTGCCTTCGTAGCTTCTCATGCATATGCTCGGGGCGACAGCGTGGTGCAGAAAGAGTCGTAACCAGGTGGCAGCTCGCTGGCTTCGTATCGTTAGGGATCGTACACTGCTCCGGTGTGTCGACATAGCACCGTGTGTACTGTCGTAACGTATACCTTCTCACATTGCAACTCTTCTTGCGGATCTGAACATTCCCATCGCGCATCTTCAGCCCATGACCTTCGCGGCAGTGCACCAGTTGAGATAGCATCCGCGACACCTCTGAGTCCCGGAGGCATTCCTGAGCTTATTCGAGACCGCAATTCACACCGCCCCCACCGCTTCTGCGCTCCACCTTCGTGCGGCCCGACGCGCTGACGAGGCGCGCGATACCGGGCTTTCAACCGAGGAAGCACAGAAGCCCCAACTCTATTTCGTCCCGGCCGCCCTCGGCGCGCGGGGCATGTGCAATGTGCATGCCCTAGCGTGACGCGTCGATTGCGATTGTCATCACACAAGTCGTACCCGCGCTACTAATGGGCAAGCTGTGGTGCTAGTCCAGTGCCGGGCCTTGGATTCCTGATCCTGTCCGGGGTTCCAATGCTGCACAGGCTCTTGCGGGGTTGCTGCGACGATCGATAACGCGTCTCGTCTCCGCGCTGAGCAGGCATGAACGGCGAGTTGGCGTGCTATTCCGGCGGGCATGCATGGCGGCACGGACGAAGCGAGCTTTTTGCGTCTGCTACACAACCTTAGGACATGAATCGCGCCTACCGATGGAATGCCTGCCGGGAAGCAATTAGCATGGATCGAGCCGGCCAACGTTTGATGCGCGTTGTGATCGCGCGCGCAGCGGTCTGCCTAGCGAGATCAGGGACAGGTTTCGAAACGGGACACCTGCTCCGGGGACACGGAGTGTTTAGTCTGTTGCTCTGTTATCTCTGCTGAACGTTCTGCGCGACGGCGCCTCGCTATGTCTCGCTCTCACAGGGGCGGCGGATTCGACCACGGCAGAAGCCTTCTCTGTCATCGTCGCGTAGCATTTTGTAAGGGCACGATATTCATAGGACGGGGGGTCGTGTTCATATTGGGCGGCGCTGATGAAGAAATGAAATACGATGTTGAGGAGATGAAATACGATGATGGGGAGATGAATTGCGATGAGATGCAGAGATGCAGAGACGCGGATATGCAGAATGAGATGCTTCGTTCGAAGACGTACACAGGATATTATCGGGAAGCGAGATGGATGCTGAAAGCAGGCCAACGCCGGCGAGGCGTATCTCCCTGTGCTCGTGCGCCCGACACGCTTCCCCCACGCCCCGTCACACCGCACCGCGTCTCCGCCCGAGATACGACAACTCTTACTCTTCGCTGCTCGTCTTCCTCTTCGGCGATGCAACCCCGCAGCCCGCGCATACACGTGTCGCTCGTTATCTCTGCAGCAATGATTTTCCACCCTCCTACAGAGCAAGACGGCATATCGACGGCCGCGAAGCACCCGTTCGCGCCGCAGCCAGTAATCAGTGCACCATAGACTGAAACGAAGGCGTGTCGTTATCTCTTCCCGAGGGGACCATCCAGCCCCAGTCTGGCCTGTAGCCATGGTTTTCCACCCCTCCTACAGAGCAATCCGGCACATCGACAACCGCCAAGCGCTGATTCGCACCGCAGCCAGCACCAGTGCAGCGGAGACTGAGACTGGGACTGAGACCGCGACGGAGGCTGAGACTGAGGCTGAGGCCGAAATCGAGACTGAGCCCGAGATCAGAGCGGGGCACAGTGCCCCCCACTAAACCTCGCGCGCCGAGGTGTGCCAGCCCTCCACGGGAGCAATCCTCGCGGCCGATCCACGCTCGGCGCGGAGTCAGTCATGAGCGCCAACGGGTGCAAGCACTGATCAGGGCGCGAGCCGAGCACCGTATGAGATCAGGGTCGGCTCGATGTCGATGGCGTGCGCTAGTGCTAGCGCCGGGTGGCTGGAACACCGGGGGTGGGGTGGGGTGGGGCGTCGATAGGTCATCGGTCGCCCGGGGGCAGAACGCGGACCCGTCGGACGCGTGCCCGCCCGATCGCTGTGCCCAGCGATCGACAAGTGCCTCCGGGCCGGGGGAGGGGGTGCTAGGACATGATGCGCGCGGCGGGGGGCAGGTCGCGCACACGGGCTGGGGAGGCCCCGCCGGGGATTGGAATCGGGGAGACCTACGTACGCGCGGGCATCATTGGCGCATACGCGAAGAGAGCGCGGGACGCCCGCGCACACGTCGTGCCCAGCGTCGAGCACGACAAGATGCACCCGCCCACACCCGTCGTGTCCGCAATCCGCAATCCGCAACCCGCAATCCGCAACCCGCAATCCGCACTGCGAAGGCCAATCTGGCCGCATCTGCGCCGCGACCCGAGACTGGCTGCGCTCTGGCACACTGGAACATGGACAACAGGTCCCGTCGACCATCGCCCGCACACCCCTTCCCTCCACCCTCCTTCCCGCCGCGGCGCCATGCACCGGCCACACCCGCGCGCCAGACATCGGCACGCTCCATGCGGCGACGCGAGCACGCAGGCGCGGACGGCACGGTCCCCGCCCCGCTGGATCTCCAGTACCAGTGCGCCAGACCGCGCGCGTCAAGCGCCATCGGCGTGGGGCGCACATGCACACCATGTACCATACATCATCGCACGCGCCGAGGCCGCCCAAGCAGTGCGGCCGACCCGCGCGCGCACCGGCGGCGACGGCGGCCGCCAGGGCGCACACACGCACCCGGCGGGGCCGGCCACCACCCCAGCACACGAGCGCGCACAGGCACAGCCGAGACGCCGCACGCAGCAGCGCCGGTAGTCTATGACGCACGCGCACCGCCGATCGCGCTCCGCTTCGCAGGCGCAGACAGGCGGGGACCCTGGGCATGGCGTGCCGCGCGACACACAGAGCCCGAGCCTCGAGCGCGCGACGGGATCAATGAACCGGCGAATGGACTGATGGATGAGCGCATGAGCGAAGGGACGCACCCGTCACGCCATAGATGCGTATTCGCGCATGCATCCCATCATGTATCGTGCATGCATCGGCACTGGCCCCTGGCCCCTGGCCATGGTCCCTCTGAAGTCTCCCCGGACCACACCTGCCAATCGGCGCCGCCCCGCGCGCATTCCTGGCGCGCGCGTCCGCATATGGGTCTGCAGGCGAGGCGTGAGGGGAGGGACGAAGGGGGGAGAGACCTCAGACAGGAAGGCAGGCCCGTCGATGGCCGGGCGATAACGCGCGCGGGGCCGTGTGCGCGGGCGCTGGGAGAGCAGAGCAGATAGGGACACGGCTTCAGCAGTTCAGTGCAGCTTCAGGTTCAGGTTCAGCCTCAGCACGGGCCCACGCTCGCTCGCCCGCTGCAGCGCTCTTATCTGCATCTGCCGCGCGTCCGAGTCTAGCTCTGAGTCCGACTAGCACTCCAACGCCAACTCCGACTCCGACTCCTGGAGGTTGGGTGGACGGGCGAACGTGCCTCGCGCGATGGCGATGATTGAAGGGGTCCTCCTCGGCTTCCGCGTGCGTCATGCGCGGATGGTCCTCGGAGCGTATGCCGGCATCGCTGTGGCCCCTTGGATTCGTCTTCGAGTCGGAGGGCAGGGTCGAGATTGAGGGGCGGCCGGGGAAGAGATGAGGGACGACCGGGGAAGAGACGAGGGGGGTTGGGACGCTTCGATTTCGCCTGGCCTCGCGGCGCTTGGGAGCGGGGGTGCCATGGGTGCAGGCCGCAGAGCGGAAGCCGGACGAAGCCGGTATGAGCATCGAGACATGGGTCTGCGTGGGCTGGATTGTGGGAGGGGCACACGGGGGCGCTAGAAGGCCGGGAGGAGAGGGGCGGGGCGGGGCGCGGGGAGCGCCGACGACGCAGGCTCGGTGCCCATTGTTCACGTTCAGCGTCCAGCGTTGAGCAAGAAGCCGCCGTCCGCAGAGAGACACGCGATGGGCAGCCGGCGAATCGGAGCAGTAGATGCTAGATGCTGTACCAGGCTCAGCGTAGCGGAAGGCTCTCGACGCACCCCGATCTCCCAGCATCTACGAGATCCAGCGAGGAAGCCCGGCGCGGTGCTGGTGCGAACCTCAGACTCAGACTTCAACATTCAATGGCCCAATGCCCGAGCCAGGAGCCTGCGCAGGGTGAAGTGCAGGAAGCGTACGTTCTGCTCTGCTCTCGATAGGCCCACTTCACGACGCGAATTCAGACGAGCGTGGTGGAAGCATCGAGGGCACTCGATAATGAACATGAATGAATTGTGAATTCGCGAGATGAAGACGGGGCGCGTGGACGACAAGGACGGGCTCGGCACGGCCAGTGCGCAAATTCATAGTAGCGGCCAGTGCAGTAGTGCGAGGGCAGACAGACTGCGTGGACAGGGAGGGACACTTCTCATACGTCAAAAGTAGCCGAGATACATAACGCGTGGCATTGCAAATGCAGTGACACAGATCAGCAGCAGAGGGCGGCGTCTCGGGGTCCACGCCGCGAATGGGCATGCTCTTTCTCGATCTGGCAGTTGTCGCAGCGCAAGGATGCAGAGGCTGTTATTCTTGGTGGCGTGTATTGCGCTCGGCGATCGGACGGGACTCGAGAGGCGCGCGCACTCGGGATATGTCACCGTCGTCTCTCGGTGTCGTTTCAGCGGGAGCATATGGCCCGCGCATCGGCGTGTGGCTGTGCGCTGCTGTCCGCCAAGCCGCGGTGGGATCAGGTTTGGGCCATCGTATGTCACATCCTGACCAAACACCGGAAATTGCTTGCGCTGCTGCGGGCTCACTCATCTCACTCGCTGGCTCATCTCGTCTGCGCTATTTGCATTGACGACTCATCGTGGGTCCTTTCGCAGGGCGGCGGACGACACGGCTGTCTGCCCCACGCAGCGGAGCCAAAACAACAGCGGAGGCAAAGCGCGGACAAGCGCGCCTGAAGGTAACCTGACAAAGCGCGCCTGACCAAGCCCGTCGTCGCATCCCATCCTGGGATCATTTGACGCATGATGCCCCTTCCTCTTCGGTCTCGTTTCGGGCCCTGCGCCGCCAAAATTTGCAGAACTGTACAGTTCCACCCATGCCTGCGCGCCAGAAGCCCCCCTCCCTCCCATTCGCATTCACCGAACACGCCTCCGCGTCCTCGCTGCGCATATACCCACCCCGGTGCCCCTCTCCTCTCTGCGCTTTGGCCCAGGTGCGTGCGCAGGTCCAAGGGCATGCACGTCCGATTGTATTGTGTCCGGCACTCACGCCGGCCCTCCCAGGAAATTTTACATGCCATTGCCGCCGACCGCCAGCGCCAGCGACAGAGAGACGACGCACGGACGGCCCGCGCAGTGAGGGGGAGACCAGCCGTGGAGGCGCAGCGACATCCCGCCACAAAAAGACCCTAGGTGCGTATCGAGATATAGATTATATACATAGATGTATGCCCTGCCGCGGCAGAGGGCATGGCGTAGCGTGGCTGCCCCTCCAGGCACGCGCGGGTGCTTTGTGAGACCTGCCTATTCCGGCCGCGCAGGCCCCCCGCTTATTATATCAATGACTCGCCTCCTCCCTCCGCACGCCTTTTCTAATGTCCCCCGCGTCTTCTGCCCCCCAGGTGTGTCCACATAGACAGGGCCCTCTTCATGATCTCCCTTAGTCCCGGCTCGCTCTGCGACGTCTGCGCAGACGAGTATGGCCCCCGCAGCCTCCCACACTCCATTCCCTGCGGTGAGTAGCCAGTCCCCCCGCTGCCCCCGCAACTGCCCCGTGCTGATCTGACTCCCGCTCGCGCCGCCAGGACACGTCCTCTGCCTCCACTGCTGCACCAACATCCTCGAAAAAACGCCGCCGCGCCAGACGCCGTCCTGCCCCTTCTGCCGCGTGCCCTTCACCAGCGACGGCGTGCGCCTGATCCGCGTCGACTTCCCCAGCGCGGGCGCCGGCGCGGCGCACAGCGGCTACTCCACCCCGACGTCGGCCGCGCGCCGCGCCTTGTCGCCCATGCCCACGCCCGCGGTGGACGCGGACGACGACGTGCTGCTGTACAGCCCCGGCCGCGACCGCGAGCATCCGCTGAGCCTCAGCGCGCGCTCCGAGGCGAAGCTGCTCGAGCACAGGGTCGCGAAGGTCGCCACGAAGAAGTGCTCCGTGGAGGAGGTCGTCACGCTCCAGCGCGAGCTGCAGGACTGGCTGCGCGCGGACGGCAAGCACGATGACCAGGTGCGTTCGAGTCTCAGTTCCATGGCGACGCGATGCGTGCGGTGGCTGGTGTGGCCCGCGCGCACGGTGGCGCGTGTGGCCCGAGCGCACGGTCGCCTGTGTGGCCGGTATGCTGACGCATGGCCCCTCATTCCACAGGCGGCTCTCAAGCTCAGCGCGGCGCTCCTGCGCGCGATCATCCTCAACCACACCGCGCACACCCAGGCGACGGAGCACGCAAAGTCCGTCGAGGCCGCGCTCAAGGAGAAGCTCGACGAGGTGCAGGCCGCCAAGGACCAGCTCGAGGCCGAACTGCGCAGGTGAGTCGCCCTTCCCTTCCCCCCTCCCCCTCCCGATCGTCACCCCGATCACCACCGTGCCTCATCTCATATCACACGTACTGACGACGTCACACAGACTGGTGCGTCTCTGTTCCTCCGCGCTTCCCGCGGCATCTGTATCCGTCCGTGCACGCCCGCTGACGCCCGCCCCCTTCCTCTCTTCCCCGCAGACGACCCAGTACGCCGCCAAGGCGCAAGAGGCCCACGCCATGCGCGCCGAGCAAGCCCGCTTCAAGCCCCGCACCCCCGGCCCCGGCCCCGGCACCGCCTTCACCGTGCCCCCCACGCCGCCCCCGCTGCGCCCCGCCGCCCCCGCCCCCGCCTCGACGCCCGGCACGCGCTCGGGCGCCACCTCCCCGACGTCGCCGACGCCCAGCCGCGCCATGGCGTACACCCCCGCGCCGTACCCGCTCTCGCGCACCGGCGCGGGCGCGGGCGCGCTGCA